CCGCGGCAGAGGGTGATGATGGCGAGAAGTCTGAGCAAGGTTCCGATGATGGAAGCAATGAGCTCAAAGAAGTCGTGATTTAGATTGGCAGTTGTTGCTGAAGGCATTTGGTTTCTCAGCACAATTGGGCTTGAGAAAGGGAAGATGAAAGCTTCAAGCTAATTGTTAAGCTCAAGCATCACGTGGACAGATACACATGATAAACAGGTGTTCCTTCACACTTCGAGGAATCACCTGAGTCCACTTTAAGTATATCTGCGGGTTGTGACCCAAGGTCAGACGTTGACTCGAGGTAGAATGGTGTGTATAAACTTTAGCTCAAAGCTGAAGTATCCCAGCAAGAGCGTTGGTCTTAAATACTGTACAGATGTCCCTAATTATATCATTACTTATTATGTCTATCTGTGTCCATTGTGCTCTTTGTCCTTGAGCATCGTTACTGTGCATAAAAGGATGGTTGTGTGTCATTCAGCTTGGTTGTCAGAATGACTTGATAGGTGGGTTAATTGTGCTGACTAAGTTCTCCCACGATCTCATGCTTCTGACCAAGCATAAATAGGGGTAAAAGGACAATGAAAAGGAAAAAATCGTAACATCACTGCATACCACCCACAGACTGATGGATAAATAGAATGCATCAATCAAGAAGTCGAAAAGTATCTCTGACTTTTTATCAATTACTGATAGGACAACTGGGTAGAGTGGTTGGCTCTTGCAGCTTTCTAACATAATAACTAAATCCATTTGGTGATGGGAAAAATCTCATTCTTTGTCAACTATAAGCGACACTCGAACATTACCACCACAGAGTGATGCTGTATTACCATGCCTGCCTCTATAGACTTTGCCTCCACAATAGTCAAGATTCACACTGAAACAAAAGCAGCACTAGAATGTGCCACAGCATTCATGAAATCACAATATGACAAACACCATTGCCTCACTCATGCATACTCTTCCCATAATAAAGTATGGTTAGACATCACAAATCTTCATCTACTATGACCCAAATGAAAACTCACCGACAAGTGCATGGGCTCTTTCTCAATCATTTCAAAGATTGAAGTAAGTACATACAAGCTCAAACTGCTGACTTTCTGGAAAATTCACAATATTTTCAATGAGATATTGTTATCTCTATATATAGCACTAGCATTTTCCAATCAGAAAAAACCACTCCCACTACTATCAGACCTGATCAACGATGAGAAACACTATGAAATTGATTAGATATTAAACTATAAATTACACAAAATTAAAGCGAAAGGTAGAAGAATGACAACAATAGTCAATTATCTTGTCAGCTAAAAGGAATACAGTCCTGAATCAAATCAATGGATCAACAAAAAAATGATAAATGTGGAAAAAGTAATACACAATTATGAAATATCTCTAAATTAAGCCATCAGGATGATAGTCTTAAGGAGGAGGTAATATTATGATTTTCCCTTCTTTTTCTTTTCTAAACCTCTATTTATGCTTAACCAAGGCATCAAGAATAAGCACTTAGAATTATGGGAGCAGCTTAGTCATTATAACAAGCTGACTTCATTATAGTTTTTCGATGCTACTGACATCTGACAACAAATACACAATCGATCTTTTATGTACAGTAATGATGCTCAAGGACAATAGGCATCTAAGACAGAAAAACACACAATAAGTACAAAGTATTAATAGCAAACCATGTATAATATTTAAGAGGGCTCACTCTTGCTGATAATTCCAGCTTTGAGCTAAAGTTTATAACTACTATTTTACCTCAAGTCAATCCTTAACCTTATGACACACCAATCCAGATATGCAACAAGTGAACTCAGCTGATCTCTCAAAGTGTAAAGGGATATCTGTTTATCATATGTATTGGTTCATATGATGCTTAGATCTAACAAGCAGGACTGAGGGAATCTCTAGCACAGTTATCAATCTCAAGGGTTCGAGAGGTTCTGGAAGGGTCAAGAGAGGGAGACTGCTGAAAGAAGTCTGCTGGAAGGTCCTTATCTTTGTGGTCAGAGGTGATAGTTCACTGCCAAGAATTTCTGAATCCTGTGAGGCAATTGTTGCTATTTCTGCTGACTGGTCGAGAGGAGTATTGGTGTCCTTCTTCTTGATTGTGCCTCTAATGCAAGCCACTAGACCTGGCTTTGGGTAGGGGGCTTGTTGGGAGCTGATGGGATGTTCATCGAGAGTCAGAGATATTATAGAGGGAGAGGTCAGAGGTTATATTGCTTAGAATTTGTCAGATGTGTTGAAACTCATTGTAATGTCTGATTACCTAGGCAGTGATTGAATAGCATCTCTGGCATAGCTGAATGATCACCAATAATCCTAATAATATTCTGATGATAGAAAAAAAGAGTTCAAAGAACTCTTAATCAAAGTTTGGGTCTGATAGGATAACAGAGAGCATATGGTTTCTCAGCACAATTGGACTTGAGAAAGAGAAGAGAAAGCTTCAAGCTGATTGTTAGACTCAAGCATCACATGAACAGATACACATGATAAATAGTCTAGTCTCTTCACACTTTGAGAGATTAGCTGAGTCCACTGATATGTAATCTGATCAATATGTCACAAGATCTGAAGGATTAGCTCAAGAGTAGAATGAGATGAATAAACTTTAGCTCAAAGCTGAGGATTATCAGTGAGAGCAAGCTTTCTTAAATACCATATAGGCATTGTCTAAATATACTACTCCTAATTATGTGTTGTCAAGTCCTTTGTGCCTATTGTCCTTGGGCATTGTTATCATATATAAAAGGATGATTGTGTATCATTAGGCAGTATTATCACATTGAAAGACAACAACAGACTTGGCTAGTTGTGATGACTAAGCACTATCCTATAATCTTAAGCACCTGTGTTAGTGCTCTGACTAAGCATGAATAGGGGTTAAAGTCAAGAAAAAGATGAAAAATTGTAACATGAAGTGGTATAGAATAAACTTTAGCTCAAAGCTGAGATTATATAGTGAGAGCTATCCTACTTATATACTGCTTGTCCATCAAGATAAATATACTGCTACTTACTGTATCTGTCTGTGTCTTTATGCCTATTATCCTTGGGTATTGCTACTATCTACAAAAAGACTGTTGTGCATTATTAAGAGTTATCACTGCATCAGAAAACAATGATGGGCCTGGCTTGTTGTGATGACTAAGCCTGTCCTATAGTCCTAAGTGCTAGGCTAAGCACTCTGACTAAGCATAAATAAAGATTAAAATAAATAAAAAAATAGAAATTTTATAATATTACCCTCTCTTTAAGACTATCATCTCAATAACTTAATTTAGGGATAATTTATAATCCTGTATAGTATTATCAGTGTTCATCTATTTTTTGTTCACCCACTGGTTAGATTCAGGGCTATAACCCTTCCAACTGACCAAATAATCAACTATAGTTGTCATTTCTCTCTCTCATATGCAAATTTTACAAAGGTGATAATTTAGAACTTGTTCAATTTCATATTGTTCTTTATCACTGACAAGTTTAGGATCTGGAGAAGGAGAGCATTTTTGATTTGGAAATGCAGACATAATGTACAGTGAAAAAAGAGTTTCATTAAAGATATCATGGATTTTCCATATGCTGGGAAGGCATAACTTGTAAGCAGAGGTGCTGATCTTGGTAACTATAAAAAAAGATCCTGTTCATTTGTTGGTGAGTTTCTGTTTGGAATGAGAGAGATGGAGATTGGTTGTACCCAACTGGACCTTATCTGCAATGTTGTATTAGTGAGCAGAGGCATAATGCTTGTTATACTGCTGTTTCAAACTAGTTCACTTTCTATGCCTAAAACTGCAGGGTCTTGCAGCTTTTACAATTCCAGATTGATGTTTTCATTAGAAACTATGAGATTGAGCTGCTGTTTAGAATGAGAAACCATAATATGGATGATTTGGATGTAATGATTCAAATCTCATCAAGCTTTCATTTGCTGAGGAGGCTCACAAATTTTAGATATATGCTGCTATTAGCTCTTGCAAGGATGTGTTTCTTCCTTGGATGCCCACCCACTTGCTTCAAATCCTCAGTGCAGCACTCAAATGGAAGGACTACTCACTCATGGACTTGGTAGCTATGCATGTCATTGCTCTCTCTGCAGAGCAAGTCATACAGTTGCTAGACAGCACATATCCAGTGCTTTGGGCATGTCTTGTCATTTCTGGTCAGCAATCATTACTCACAAACAACAGATTCTATGTCATTGCTCTGGGATATCTACCCTCTCTTTCTCTGCACTTGCACAGCTCTATCTCCCATCTCTCATTACTAAAAGACCAAGTTGGCACTGTTGGAAATCCAGGGTGTTGCACAGGGTAGACTCCAGGCCGGTAAGGCCAGATGGTATGAACTTATTATTTACAGCTCCTACAGAGCTTGTATTTATACTCTCCAGGCTTATATCTAGAATTTACTACAACTTTCTCTTTCTCTCGAGCTTACTCATCAACTCTCGGCATGATGCCGGATTGCCTTTCTAGAACTTTCCAGCAAAATCCCAACAGGCACCAAACCTATGGCTAATCTCTGTGAAGTATACTACCATCGCATTCAATCTGGAGGGACACCCGGAGAAACTCGCTGGTGAAGGAAGCGTGTGGCCAAGTACTCGGGAGATGCTTGGGCAGAAGTGCACGGCATGTGAGGTGTGGCTGGATGAGTAGGAGGCTAAGTTTAAGTGGAGAGTGGGCAAGATGCCAAGATTCTGGGAAATTGCATTTGGGATGGAAGGCTAGGATAACTTGTGCTGGATTACAGGTGAGTGTGTATCTATTCTCATTTTTGTATGTGAAACCAACGAGACAATTGAACATTGGCAGCGAGTTGCCTATTGTCCATGAATAAGAATCCTAACAAAGCGGTGACTTAGTTCAGGTTGAACGTCCAAATCATAGCTCTCCACATGTCCTACATAAGGATCTAGAATTGAGCATAAATTCACCTCGAGGCAAAGTATTAGCCAATAAATATTATATTTGCAGAATTAGGTATAAAGGCAATAGCTCCGAAAATGAGATATGAAAAGTCCTCATTATTTATAAAAGAGGCAAACTTGTGTGAACATAGGGAAATGCTTCAGTTAGTCGCAATTGCGACCGTCAGCGGATCCAAAGCCGCCATCTGGCCCCAAGTTGTAAAATTTTGCGCGGGTCCGTTCCAATCCGGTGAATACGAGCCTCCATCCTCAACCTGTGTCAGAAGGGCATTGTACTAAAACAAATTCTGTCAAAGAGCCTTGAACAGAAAGCGTCAAACATTCTCTTACCTGTACGTCAACATAGCTATGTATCAATACGCGCAAGTCGTCGTAGAGAGGATTACGATTCCACGCTTCAAGCAACCCTCGTATGAAGATCGCTACGGAGGTATGTGCTGTCAGCTAGAGAAGAAACACTGAATGAACGTCCGAACCTTTGAACCCGACGCCGTCATTGTTCGACGTCAGACTTGCGCCTTCAGTAATGATGCCATCGGCTCCTTCCCAGGCAGACGACTTCACTGCACTTGCCAGGACATTTACCATTCTGCACAGAGTCAAAATATATTCGCTTCCCGACGAATTACAGAAGCACTTACAAGTCATTCCAAGTATCGTTGCTCGTCACATTTGCGAGGACGCTCAGACCTTCAATGAACTTTCCACTATTATAGGTGAACAGCCATGTTGCTGGGCTTCGCGAACAGTTGTTTCCATTTAAGCTGTCCAAAAGGATACCATCGTCATTGATTTGGAGCGCTTGGATCCACTGAGCACTCTGGATGGCTGCGTCGGTATATTTGGAGTCTCCCGTTATATCAGCAAGGAAAGCAGAGAGACTAGGAGGTTATTGAGCCCTGCTACTGCTGAATGTAGAAGAAGTATACGTTATGTAGAGCCTACGGGAAATCAGCAAAAAGACTAGGTGAAGCAAAAGGCCTACCCAGTTGTGATGGAGTTCATGCCTGGGTCGTCCTCGACCGGCCGCTAGTGGGGAAAGGAATTAAAAAATATATCGAAGTGGATATTGGATATATCTCACCCAGAAAACGCCCCCTACCATCGACTCTAGGGTACAAGTGCATTAATTGAGTGAAAAAAGATAACGAAAACAGTGTACGTACTTCCATCGCAGGTCGCAACTAACGAAACATCCTTATAAGGACTACTCCCCGAGCTTGCTTCATCAGCGGTCAGAACACTGATAGAACAATCGTCAGGCGCTATAAAAGAAGACATCAGAGTCATTCACTAATTGCTGACGTGAGTCCAAGTGTCGATTGCATGTTGAAGCAGCGTTGCACTCTGAATTCTGCTCCTTAGAATGCGTTTCTTAGAGAAGATAGAAATGTCGCATACGCCATAAGCCCTGTATGCATATATTGCCGCTTGCGCCCACCACCTAACAAAAAATTTTAGGCGCCCCACCGATGTCCAACCCCCGAAGACTTACATTGCATCGTCATTGTACTTCATTCAAACAGTCAGTCGAATGGTCTTTGTCCATGATACCACGCTCACCCTAAGTGCACAAAGTCAGAGTCGGTTAGCAGGATCGACAGACATCTCGACGCAATACTCACCCGTATTGATCATAGTTCTCCCATAAACCCCAAACCAGTTCCAAGTTGTCTTCAACGAGAGCTTTGTTCGTCGTCGTATCTGCGAGCCAATCTTGAATGGCCATCACGGAAAAGACATTTCCGGATTGCCAATACCCGATTCCTGGCACACCATCATTACCGCTGAATTCTCCTGTGGAATTGTCCAGCTGAGGTAGAATCGTGTCGATGGCAGTCTGCGCAATGGATACGCGCTCGTCATACGGCCGTGAGTTGCTAAAATTCTATGAGGAGTTTAAGTTAGCCAGTAATGTTATGGTGAATCGGCGCGTACCTTCCACGACAGCGGCACGCCTAAGTCCTGGGCTTGAACCACGACCAGTGCAGCACTGAGATATATGATCGTTTGAAACATCGCAATAAGTGGAGTAAGAAAAGATGGGGTGCTGTCCGAGGCATAGTGTGAAAAGACGTTACAATTTAATATAGTGAACCTTGAAACCTGAAACAGAAAACCCATGATAGTGACGTTTCGCGCCTCCAGGATCTGACGGCAGTGATTAACAGTCCCGAAAAGAAGTTTTTGATTGATGGTGACCACGATGCCAGTTTACCTTCAAGTCGTTAGGTACTCTCTCTTTCAACGAGCGAGTCCTCACAGTAAATAGGACAGGTCTGGATTATGCGACGTCCCAGGATGCATAGCAGGTAGTCACTGAAACGCACGGCGTAATGATTTTCGTGTCAGAACACTGGAATGCAGCACTTTTACTACTTATCATGTGATTGCCGTATGCATGCGTTCAGATGGATTCTAGACATCCAGTATTCAGTAAAAGTGAGAGTTAGAAGGCGAACGTGATTATGGCTCACATGTCTTAATTGAATGCATACCGTATGCATCCGAAACGATATCGATAATTCGATAATTGTTACGTAGAGACGGTCTCCAACGGCTTCGGACCAAGTCGTGAAACGAAAGGTCATGCAGCCAAATTAGTTTCATCTGATGAGGGTACAGTCGCAGCTCTCAGCGTACGTTTTGTAGACGAGTATGGGCCCACTGCAGCCGCAGCACTGGGCAGTGTTTGCTGATACGCTCGCCGTCTTGATTCCGGGGTAGAGTTGAATATACGAAGCGCCTTCAACTGTAAAGATGGAGCAAGTAGTCATTTCGGTGATCAGAGAGCAACGTTAAAGATTTTTTCTTTTGAAGTAGAAAATTCTATCAGATAGTGCATGTATGTCAAGTTTCCTTGCTCTTTCTTTTTCTCGTTGACTGAACCGTAATGTTATGTTTATCCTCAAACCATCCTCTTGTGTGGGGCGTCAACGAGGATTCCCTTTCCCTCTTTCACACTGCATGGAATTTTGGCTTATTTCATGACCATGATATCTCTGTGGAGGACGTGTACGGATCAACAATTACTAGAAGACAAGACTGTACTGGGCATTGTAATAAAACAAGCCCTATCTCCAAGAGTATAGGGCCATGCAATAATTGAAAAAAAAATCAAGAAACAATACAACCCCCGTTTTCTGGCTTCACAAATGGTTCGTCGTTATACTGGACCGACACCCCTCCCGATTTCGCTTCCAAGTTGATCTTATCTCCCAAATCCTCCGACCATGCAGTACAATCCCCTATAAAACACTCCCTCCGCTTTTCGCTCTCATTAAAGATATTCAAGTCCTTCTGCAGTGCGGGAGAAAAGATGACATTGCCGCGAGTGGTAACGTTCAATCGTCCCTGCATGCGCTTCCGCGGAATCAAAAGGTAGATGTTTCCCGAACTCGCATAGACGTCCATAACACACAGCGGTCCTGGGCGAGTCGGATCGTGGGGAGAGACGGTGCCGGGTAAACACTACACAGCGTTACTAACACGCAACTCGTGAATGGAAAAGACGTACTAAACGGATCACGATGTCGCCACGAGAGCGTATGTTGACTCGGAAACGGGTCAACCAGCCTGACTTCATGACTTCAATGTCAGTGTCGATTTCTCCCGACTTTGTCTCAATGTTAAGATTGTTCCTACAGCTCTCCGTTTCATAAGGAGTCAGAGAAGATAAAAGATCTGACGGAACGGAGAGCATGGGGTCTATGAGAAAGCTTTCCTTGATGGGACCCGAATCCCGAATGATTGTCAAGTAGTTGCCAGGCTGCCTAGGTGGCGGCGTAGCCTGAGAGCGAGATCCATAAGGCGGAGGCGGAGACTGTGGCGGCATCGGTAGTAAGTTCTGTTTCTCAACCTGAACGATTTGGAAAGGAGAGTAAGATGGTGACAGTAAGTAGTACCTTATCGGTGTTCGACCCCCCAGTTTTCTGAACACTACTCCGCTGTACCTGGACAAGCGATCATATTAGATGATCTTATCGCAGAGGCATCGACTCATAAATTGATACCACAAGAGCTGGAGCCAATACAACTGGAGAGCGCAAGGGTTCCTCCTCTGATGGAGAGTCGAAATCGTGCTACAATACACCCTGTTCAGCATATACGCCACACTGGGAACCAAGCGTGTAGCCACCAACCGAGGATGCTGGAACCAGAGCTTGGGAGACGGCAGGCTCAGTCTGCTGTGAGATGAGAGTCAACACAGCTCGAGGAGTATCGGAGGAAATCGAAACTCACAGACTTCTTGGATCGCGGCTTGCGAATCATCAAGGAGGAGACGAACAGCCGTCTCTGAGCGCCTATTCCTTTTATCTAAGAATAAGACGCAGATAGGTCGGGCTGGATCCCATAGTTGGACACCTCGTGAACACATGCATATGCGGTGAGAAAAAACGGCAATCTTGGCGCCTAAATCGCGGACAGCAGCCCGAACGCAAGGCCGGAAGGATTCATTGGTTGAGTTTTTATCAGGCAGAAACTGCACATATGGATAATGAAATGGGCGACCAGAATTAGGGTTGAACACACAAGTTCTTGGGAGTACTCAGGGATTGTCGTAAAACTTTTATTGAATACCTTTAGAAACAACTGTAGGTATTGGTTAGTGATTGTCAAAGCCGCTAGAAATACACTATGGAACCAAAATATGTCACTTATATATCTGGAAAATTGATGCTACTGTTCGTATGGTACAAGATATTGGCATCGGGTGGCTGAACGACAGTATGAGGCTCCATGAATGGCGGCTGTCGATCGTACAAGTTGCCTGCACTTGCCGCAACAGCGGGAGGTGGAGCGTGCCTTACACTGCCTCTCCCCCTCAATGGAGAAAGCGACATCAGTGGCTCTTCCCAGGGTGGTCTTACATTCGTCGCAAACGGATTCTCATCTACATTCACATTCAGATCCGGACCATCCGCACGGATAGCATGCCGGAAGGGCCCAATCCCCCGTGGCGGAGGTATCGAGGAGCGGTTAGTGTTATGGAGGAACGGGGGTATAGCCGGAGCAGGTGCACCCATCACAGTATCACCATCGTCATCCAATACGATGGGTGATGTACGTGTACCTGCACCTTGCATGCGGTCTGGTCGGGAGGCGCGCAATAACATAGGTCTTGACAGAATATCAGGGCGAAGAGGTCGTGGCAACCGGAGCGTCGAGGGATTTTCGGATGGCATATCCCTAGATAGAGACTCGTAGTTCGGTGGACGGGACGTATGGTCTGTGTCTGGAAACATCTGGTCCAAAGGGAGGGCGGGAGAGTTATGTATTGGCGGTGGATTCGACATACCACTTTCTATATGGGCTCGCATAGATCCGAAGTCTGGCCGCGAATGAGGTATGAACATATTGTTGTGTCGATCAGGACCAGCTTCTGCCTGAGTCGAAAGTCTGCGCAGACGGTGGAATGGGGTCGGTAGATGCGGCGGCAACGGCCGCGAATGGTCGATACCCCCCAACCTCTCCAGATTATGTCTCGTAAGAGGAGCATTCCCCCTCATAACAGGTGGGGCTCTTGCAGGAGGATGACGATCAAGAGGCTGTGCAAAAATAGGAAGGTAGTCGAAAATGCGGTCGCGAGGTAGTGGTGCATGTCCCATTGCTAGCAATTCACGACGGGCACAATCGCATGCACCCCACTCTGCATTGCAACGATAGCAAAATTGTGTACCACAGCGGCACGTCATATGGCTGCACCCCACAGAAAGCTCAACGAGATTGTTGCACCCAGGACAAGTTGCCCATTTCTTCTTATCAGCTAAAGCCCGTACCTCTTGTTCTAAAGTATCTGATGTGCAGGTATGCGAGCGTATGTCTCCATTCGCGATAGTTCCACGACAAGAATTGCAAGTAACCGTGGTACAAGAGCATGTAAGCGGAGCGGAGGGTGACTTGCCGTCGTTTTTAGGGCCCAAGAAGCGACTGCAATTGGGATTGGAACAATAGACGCGGATAGGAGTCGAAAACTCGATGGACTTTTCTTTGAATGCGGCTACAACAGAGGCTTCGACGTGAGATTGCACAGATTCGATTGGAATAGGATCAAGGCAGCATTTAGGCGGGAAGAGAGACTCGTCTTTGGTTGATGCAGATATAAGTGCCTCCATACAAGCGGCATCGAATGTATGACGGCATGGTGCGGTTATTACAGGACCTTCGATGTTACCAAAGCAGACGGAGCAAGTAGGTCTAGCACGGTATGAGCGAAAACAGAGACAAATAAAGAATCATCCGACGTACGATTCGCTCATATTGGCGCTCCTGGAGGAAGATGCACCCGGGAACACGACACGAGGTGGTCTGCCGCTAGCGTGAGATTGGGCGAGATACATAGATATCATGCTCACCGTCGAACACCTTGGGGCCAGGGAAAACGATCTAATGGAATCTCCTCTGGCCGTTCAAAAGGAATAGCCCTCTGTCGCTGTCTATTTGGGAGAGGCGCAGGTGCCTCTCGAATTCTATCACGGCGGTGGTGAAAAAGCTGTTCAACCAGGGGGTCAGGGTGGCCAAATTGCCTAAATCTGAGTAGATTATCTCTCGCATCCTCAGCAAAGAGCCTCAATGCCACGTCTTCGTCGCTCATGGGAACATGCGAATGTCGCTGCGCTTGCTCATCGAGAAACCGGGTGACCCCTTCGAAACTGAAACGGCCAGCGAAGACATCCGGAACGTGGTCGTGAAAGTCCATGAATGGCGGGAGAGACGAGAACTTGAAGGTGACCACCGTGCTGAATGATGGAACGAAACCGGCTTTTTGTACGACCAAAACGTGTCGTGACTGCCTTTGATCCCGATTTAGACAACAGCTTGTTCGCTCACTATAATATTGATATTCGGCAATGGTCCTAGCACAAGGACTCATTGTATCTATTGTAGCAACGGATTTATTTTTCAGATCCCGGGTCTAAAGCTACAATATTTTATTCAATGACTCAGCCGCTGCATCATGCGGAATTCCACAAAATATGACGTCACCCTACAAAACCAACATTGCTAACAAAATTACAAGGATCACAAGATAACTAGATCATAAATAAAATAACCCTGAATAAGGTCGCCTCTTTAATCCTCGGCCAACAGATCATTCACTTCATCTGCCTCTACTTCAGAGTCACTATCAGCGGGACCAAATAAGGAGTCGTCAGCAACCGAACACGCCTCCATCTCCTCTCTCTCCCGCTCTAGCAATTGGCTGATATCAGCGTCAATCACTGATGCCGTTTCAACCTTTACTCTGCAAAAAGGAAGGATCAGGTCAGACAGCACCAGTTTGATTCAAGTACCCAACCTGGTCGTGGATGTGGAGGGAACAGGTGTTGGCTCCATCTCATCATCAGAATCCAGTGTCAAGTCGATCAAGACCGCATCCTTGGGTGCACTGGCCCAGGATCGTTAGTAGGGTTAATAGGCCGACGACGACAGAACTCACGCTGCTCGCTTGGGATTTGTCCTCCTCTTCATCCTCGGCGGAGGCGACGATGTATGTTCTGCCCGCTCGGTCTCAAAATCAGACCCATCATCGGAACCAGGGATGCATCGTTTCCTACAATGACTCCAAATGAATACACGTAGTGACCAAAATCGCATCAGATGCACTTTGCTTTAGCCTTTGGCTTATAATCAGTTTCTTCGGAGCTAAGGCTTGTAACACTGCCCGATCGCCTACAGAGTCCATCAATACAGTGCTGCTGAAGTGCCAAAGAAGAAAAAGGCTACCTCTTCCGCGTCCTCTTAGGCTTGACATCGATGACTTCGTCGTCGTCGTCTAATGGAATGAGGTCGTCAAGGAACGAGAAGAGCTGCTTCAACTCGGCCAATTCCCTGTACTCCTTTTCACTGAAGTTGGCAAGTTGCAATTCGAACTTCTTCGACAGGGCCGCGTCGAACTTATTTATGGCATTCTTTGCTGTGGCATCTTTGACCGGCTGACGCTGCGGGGAGGGTAAACTAACTGATCACGAGTCTACAGGGTGAGCCATACCGATTGCAACCTGTATAATAGCATCTTGAGAGTGCGTACATCGTTGTCGTCAGGGCTGTCAGGTATATGCAATTTTCCAATAGTTGTACAAAGGGCTTTCTTGTCGTCCTCTGAAGAAGTATGAGTTTTATCTCGGCCATGGGACATACAAGGATGCTCACTGTCAAGAGTATCCTTTAAGAGGATCTTGGCAATATCAATCGCCATCGTGAACTGAATGGAAGCAGCATCGCGATACAAGGGGTGCTCCTCGGTGATGACAGTCTCTTGGTTCACCCTAAAATGCTGAACCTTAGAGCAATCAAATAGGGTTCCTATTATAACAAACCTGAAGGTGTACGGGTTTGTCCATGTCACAAAATGTCCGATGATGAGTGTCGGAGAAATCATGGTGTCGTTGAACGGATCCTTTCGGATTTTACCAAGCTCCTGCAAGGTGTCAGTGAAGCCCTGAGCAACAGCCATATCAGCAGGCAACGACGGACAAAACAACAACAAGAACCTCTGCTACGAGTCGCTTGTTAGCCGGTGACGATGCAGAATAAAAATGGAAGAAGTGCAACAGAAGTTGACGGAGCGGTTGGTTGCCGACCGTTTCCGGTGAGAAATACGCCATGAGCAAATGAACAATGATCTGGCAAGATCAATGTCAACAACCAGGAACAACAGAACAAAAACGGTGCATTCACCAATTTATCCTTGAAAATGCCCGCCATGACGAGTTTCGCCAGTCCATGACAGATCACTTCCTGAACTTTTGCTGACGTTTCGACGTCCAATTTTGCAATCAGACTATCGGCTAACACTCGGGCCTATAACATTTTTAAATTTATAGAGATTAAATGGTAATCACAGGTGACACTAACATTTTCTGGACTCAGAATAGCGCGTTCATAAACCATCAGAATGTCAAAGAGTCCTTGCAGAATGATTATCTTGAGTTCCTCTGGAGCCGTGGCTGAGTGTTGAAGGAACATCGGGACTGTCTTGATTGCAAGTTTCTAAAGAGAAAATGGACTATGTCGAAATAGCACACGTACATGTTGGGCCTGCGTACCTGATCAATAAGGCATATCAAAGCGAGACATGTCCAAGCTTTGTCCCGTGAAATATCGTCGATAGGCTTGCTCACGTTCGGTAGGATGAGATCTTTAAATAGTCCATTCAAGGAAGAATTGTTGCTTATTGTCTACGCTGGGATGAGCCGAGGTAGTTGGGCGAAGGACGTCAAACTTACATCATTGACCTGCTCCAGCATTGCAATACTCATCGTCAGGCATTTAAGGTCGGTCGAAGCCTTTTCCTCTGGAGACTTCTCTTGGACAGGTATCTGCATACTGGGTCGCGCGGGCGTATTGGGCATGCTTTCAAAGCTCGCGTCGGGATCTCTCTAGATAATTCATGATACACCCACGAAATCGCGATTGCCAAAGGGTGTGAAGACTTACCTCGGCCTCCCGTGCCATGGCATCGATATCGTCTCCGGGATCTCTAAAGTCATGGATGAGCTCGACCACGACCCGAATGAGATCTCGCTCGCTCGCTGTGATAAAAGGAAGAACCCGCATGCACCCTATAAGAATATTTTCAGGAAGATCCTCTCCAAGGATTGATTCTAGTAGACGTTAGCTCCAGGTTCATTCAAAACCGGATATACTTACTGATCAATTGATACATATTACGCCGCCCAGTCTCATCGCCATAATCGAGATGCGTCGTGATTTTCAGCATTTCCTCAAGGCAAAACTCCTTCTTATCCTTTTGGTCCTCTTCTCGGAATTCACAATCATTGTATGCTTGCTGCAAGGAAAAGAGGTAGCCAGTCACCGAAGGAAGGTAATTCTCCAGCGTCTCTAGCTTTTTCATCTTGTCCTCTTCGGTCTTGAATCTCTGCAAACTTTCGATGTACACGCGAGCAAGAAAAGCTGACTCTGGGGACATCTGACGAACTAAGCGGGCGTCAATATCGTAAATAGTAGGATGGGTAAGCAAGGCACTTGCCTTCACAAGTCAGCAGCTTAGTTTCATTGGGTTTCGTTTCAAAGATACTTAGGAGCGCTTTCTCTGCCGACTTTGGCGCGACTAGCAAATCGAACAGAGACAAAAAAGCCATAAATTTGGCTTCGCTCGCTGCATGCTCGTCCTTGTCCAGGCCCTCCTGCTTCAGGGGTATTTCTTCAGCGAGATCAAACCATGTTGCAATCAGGTCTCTGGCAGCGTCCAGGACGGAGTCTTCGCGATCACCCGTTCCGTTGCACACGATCCTCTCTCGTTGTGCAATGGTTAATATGCGAGGATGGGTCGGACCAATTTCATTATTTTGCAAGGCGTTGCGTTTGAGAAAGATGTAGCAGTTTTTTCTGACAGAAGTGTCGCGGTCTCGTAGCCGATCAAGTATGGCATCCATTGTGATGTCGTTGGTAGGGATATTCCAAAGGATTGCACGACGAACATCCCTAGATAGATGAGTCAATAGGTCCTTGATATACGTGCACATGAATACATACGCAGAATCATCAGCCGATAGGGTATTTCGTAGTGTCAGTGTAACTGGTATGTCTTCACTTTCGGGGTCCTCTGCACCGGCAAATTTGCAAAGTCCAAAGGCAGCTTGCGTTCGTACTGCAGCATCTTTGTCCTTAAGACGATCCTCCAAATGCATCCATATAGACTTCCAGAGCCCCTCACTGTCAATATCATTGAGCGAGAAGAAACTGAAAGATGGAGAGCACTTGCTCGATTTCCCCTAAGTGCGATACCACAGCAGAACATGTTTGAACTACCCTGAAGCGCACATTCCTGTCTTTTGCTCTGAATCCTGACAGCAAGAATTTACAAAAACCGAAAGTGAACCGAGACGCCAATGTATCCTCGTCGTCGTCGACCTCGTCGTCTTCTCTTCCTCGCAACTCCTCGATCGCTGTGAGAGAATAAGTTTGGGAAGATCGGTGTAAAGAGAGAGTTCGCGCCTCTTTCATTAATTAATCTGACGTAGGCTCCCACTAGTTTGACAATGTTTTCCGTAGATTTCTCGGCACGCTTTATGAGAAAGATGCGGCTTAGAAGCTCACTGACAATCTCCAGAAATCTGGTTTCCCCGGACAGCTGATTGGTTTCAGAGAATCTCATCCTGGCCATTTCTGCATGGCACTTGTAGAGCTCGACGACGTTTTTCTTGTGGCTGGTGACAGAATGTTGGGCTTGATCAAAAATTTGGCGAATTTTCAAAGATATTTCATCTTCGGAGAGAGTATTCTTCTTCTTTGTCCTAGCGGGCATAACGGCAGAAAAGTGTCGTGGAGGTAAGGTCGGAGACCGAGCGTTGATGGTTCACGAGGGGCTGTTCACGATCACGCTAGTCACGGTAATCACGTGCTTTATCGCGACTGTGACAACCCCAACAGCGGCCTCTGGCCTAAATAAGTAATTAGCCCCCTGGCCTCAGCGAACCGCTAGCATTACTAGGACTTTTCATTCCAGATATCCATGATATGCTCTCCAAATCTGTGACTTGTCCTGGCATGGAGTAACTGGTGTGGAATGTGCTACACGATGCATGATTTGGCTCATATTTTCTCTGCTATTCGCTTAATAGGCGTTTCATTATCGCTATCAACATAATATTATTCAAAGACTTCTTATCCGACAATAATAATAATCACTTGAGCACATGGAGGGAAAACGGCGGGATGGTCTCTAAAATGTCGCTGCCCTCGGAAGTGACGGCCGCGGCCGGCGGGGTACTCTGATATGCTGATAAGTACACATCGGCCAATAGAACGACGCGTTGGTGTTTGAGCAGCCGCCGATGTCGCGTCGTCCTTGTTTCCGAGTTGCACAAAAGCACCGTGACTTACGAGATGGCGATATTCTCTGCCCTTCTCCACCTCCATGAGTACTGCAACTATCCTGACGCAGATTGACGCGTCCGCGCCTATTCTCTCCTCTGGCGTGGGGTATGCGATCGTCTTAGATATGGGCATGGGCTTTGCAGGCCTGATGTTGTTCATCACCAAATTGACCGATCGGTATACTGAGCATCACGCTGGTGGTTCGTCGGAAAAGTTCACTTCGGCAAGCCGTTCGTTGAAACCAGGTCTTATCGCTTCCGGGATTGTTTCTGCGGCAACATGGGCCGCTACGCTCCTGCAATCGGCTACGGTTTGCCTCGTTTATGGATTATCAGGCCCTTGGGTGTGCGGAAGTTGCTGGCATGTTTCAGCTCCATATACTAACAACCTCATTCTTCTAGTGGTATGCGGTAAGAGCACAACATCGAAGTAGGGTTGTTTATTCTCTAAATCGCTTTTAGGCTGGTTCGGCAACACAAATTGTCCGTTTCTCTTTCCGTTTTATTTCTGTCTACTAATCAATATTGCGTAGATGGCATTTGCTCAGAATGCTATCCAGCTGAAAAGAAACGCGCCTGGAGCTCACACCTTTCTCGAAATCATTGCCGTACGATGGGGGACGTTCGCACATTTCAGCTTTATGTTCTTCGGATTAGGAACCAGTAAGCGTTCATTTCTCCACGTTGTCAAAACAAATGCTGACCACGTCCTAGACATCATGTATGCTCTTAATTTTGCACTGAAAAACAAGATCCTCACTTGTCATAAGTCTGACGGCACAGCTGACTACTGTTGGAAGCGATACTGTGAACACACGCACGGGCATGAACACAATCGCTGCATGTTTCCTTATTCCCGTAGGTGTTGTGGTGTATACGTTAATCGGTGGTCTTCGCTCCAGTAGGGATTATGATGAGCCTTCCTCGATTATACATACTCACGACGTTTTCTATAGCTTTTTTCTCCGACTACCTGCACACCACTCTTATCTTCGCCATCATCCTGGCTTTCGGCTTTTCAGCTTTTGCTATCAACGAGTACTTAGGTTCACCTTCGAAGGTGTACGATCTTCTTCAAGTTGCTGCAACAAATTATCCCATCACGGGCAATGCTGCTGGCTCCTACACAACTTTCTCTAGGATTTCTTGCTTTTTTGAGGAATGTTATTCATCATAGGATAGGCAACGAGCTGTTGCTAGCAAGGCTAGCACTTCCGTCGAAGGTTATATCTTGGGAGGCTTTTCTTTTCTTCCTGTCCCCTACGCATTCGCCACTGCAGCAGGTCTCGCCATTGTAGCCCTCTCTGCCGACTCCACGTCCCCGTACGCTCCATTAAGTGCAGCACAATCGACTTTGGCAGCACCAGCTGCTGCTACAGCATTGCTAGGGAGATCTGGCGCCCCCTTGCTATTAATTGTTCTCTTTTTGGCTGTAACCTCAGCAGTATGTGACTGGTGTCTTTGATTGCAGGACATAGCTGACCTTCTTTGAAAGGCGTCTGCTGAACTTGTCGCGGTGTCGTCAATTATTACTTACGACATCTACAAGCGTTACATCAACCCTCACGCCACTGATAAGCAGATTCTCTGGGTGTCTCATGTCGGTGTCGTCGGTTTCGGCATTTTTATGGGTGTACTGGGGGTCATTTTCTACGAAATTGGCGTCTCCCTTTCATGGCTTTGTGAGCATTTTAGATCTTATTACGTGTACTTACTCATTATTTTACATCTCAGACGGATTCACGGGTCTGTATTCGTTGTGGCGGTTAGCTGAGAATCCATGACTGACATCATTTAATGTACAGGAACTTTTGCATCTTCTGGTGTTGTACCTGTCGGCCTTTGCCTGCGTTCCCGACACGCCAACAAATGGGGTTGCCTTGCCGGTTTGTGGATCGGTTTCGCGTGTGGTATTGCTGCGTGGTTGGCCACTGCTGCAGGTTATGGGGTACGTTTTATCTACTTATTTTCCATGTCGATTTTCCTATGTAAACATCAACTTACAGGGCGTCATCGATGTTACGACAACCGGAGGAACGTACGAGCAGCTAGCTGGAAACGCAGGATCTTTCTTCCTGGCGACGATTATTTCAGGCATCGTTTCCTATAGGTGGCCCGAAGACTTTGACCTTGAGATTACCCGAAGGATGAACACTTTTCAACCGGAAGACGCTGACGCTGAAGGACACGTTGATGCTGCCGAGATAGACTCTGGGGACGAGAAGAGGATCGACACCAATGTCAGCGAGGTCGACATGGAGAAGGGTGTGCATGTCCATAACGATGCTTCGGATGATGATTTGTATAAAGACTCCATTTTTTCGGTACGACTCACCATCAGTCTATTTGTGGTGTAAGTCCATCACCGCTGATATAGGCCGTGCCGGGCTAACTGGTTTTTCCTCTCAGGCTCTGTGTTTTCGTGTAAGTATCCGGAAATTCACCTTAATATTCACAAAGGTTTCGTAGTCTATGCATGATGGTCATCCCGCAAATATGGTCCAAGGTACTTGAATCTCAGTACCTTCGGCTGATTTCGTTCTCTTACACTCTGACAGGCTGGCTTCATCTGGTGGATTGTCCTTGCGTTCTTGTGGACATTCGTAGCTTCTTTCATCGTCATTATCTACCCTGTTGTGCGTCCTCATCGCGTTTACTCTCTCGTTTACAACTAACCGTTTACATAGTGGGAATCTCGATATGCTTTATGGGAGATATTACGAGGTATAATGGCGGATATATCTGGAAAACGCAAGGCTATCAGATGATTCTGTGGCATAGAAATCGTCCTGGATTCTTTAATCGACTATTTATGTACAAACACGTTACTATATAATTTTGAAGACCAACGACATGATATATGTGCATTTTCATGATAAAACCAGTGGCACTAGTCAGACAAAACGATACCCTTCATAGTTAATATAGCCTTGAGTGAAGGGAAAGAAAATAAGATCAACATAAGCCGCTAACCAAATCGTGGCATTTAGCGTGTTCCTCATCAAGTCGCAAGACGGTATCCTCTCCGTTTTCCATGACACGGGAGCTCGCAGAATACCGGCTTTCTTTCCCGTGACCGGAACATATTCTTTCATGGTCACTGTCGTCGTCATGCTTGGGATCATCAAGGACGGATATTAGCTGCGTGTTTTAATCCAGGGCAGCATCAGTATGTCCCTGTATGCTGCTCTCGTCTCAATGGACAGACCTGAATGGACAGACCTGCATAGGCGATCAGGCTCTCGAGATCCGTGATGTATGAGGCGGTGTGGGACAGAAGCTCATGCGGGAGCTGGTCCTGATCCAGGGAAAGCCAGCATGGGTAATAGTCGACGAGATCGTCGAGATAATTGCACAGACGCGAAAACATCGATACCTGGGGTGCTTGATGCGGAAGCATACCACGATGGAAGGAAATCCACGGGGTTGGTATGAACTACCTCTCCATTCTTCGTGTCCAGCCTGACAATGACACATAAATAGAGGAAATGACTCCAAAAACGACAGAACTTTTCTTGGAGGAAGTGCGCATGTGGTCGGTGACATCGACCACGGACGATTTCAGAGAACGTTCGTCTTCCAGATGTGTGGCAACATAGATGCAGAGATTCTCTCGGCTATCGGACTGGCAAATCATCGGCATCCCCGATCGTCAACAAGAGACAGGATGATTGGGCTAGTAAGTTACATGAGTAAACCGGTAGGAAGAGCACCATCCATGCAAATGTGAATGTAATATGGTAATGGTCCTTGTCGATGCTTTGCGATAGTCCCAAAAGCTATGGTCTGGTATCGATTTCTGAAAGAGAAGACCTATGAAGGTCTCCACTATACGACAACGGGTATCTTCTACCGAGTGAAACAATGGGGCGAATTCGCCCGTTGGAACTACGTCGTCTTCAATGATGGTGCCGATGTCTATGTACGACTGCATAGTACTGTCATCGACGCTCGGGATGGAGTGATCTGTTGTTCATATTGGTACTCGGTGGGTGTGTCTTTTCGGAATGATCTATGTCCATAATGATCAAAACTGATGCACCGATGTAGGAGCAGAATTCTTCTCTAGAAGGCGTGTGGTCCAAACGAAACAAAGTCTGAGAGTCGACATGAAAATAAGATTATTCAACGGGGCTTCAAAAGCAACGGTAAGATTCGGGAGTTCACCGACCAGTGTTAAGGTCTGGAGGATAGGGCGCCCGTATATCATGCTTTTTAGACAGGTTAGCGATTTTTTCATCGTATTCCGCACGAAGAACAGCCAGCCACTTGTCGAATTCCTCGCAATCTTCAGGGAATGTCGCAAGGATATCGAGACCGAGAACCTCTGTATAGGCATCAAAACGGTAATAGTAAAGGAAGGATCATCCTTTCCATCGATATACATTGAAGCCTGGGGTATCCATAACGGAATTGATGGCAAGCGGTTCAGATTGTGGTTATATGGTCGTGTAGCAGATAAGTCGAGACCCCTGAGTGTGGGGCAAAATTTGACAGTATTTGTCTAGCTCTTCCGACACGCGCCGAACGCGCCGACGACGAATTGCCACTGACCACATCACTCTCACCTTGCCTGGTAGCACCCAACATGGCACCAGACAGCCATGACGAATGGACGACAAGCGGGACGACCTCTACCCATACCGATAGGCCCACTGGCAGACGACCGCGATATGGCTCCGAGTCTGATGCTCAAGAGATGGTCATTCAGTCTCTACGTACCCAAATACAGGATCTGTACTCCCAAGTAACAGAGCTAAACACCAAGCTCGTAAAATCATACGACAGAGTATCAGATCTTGAGGATGACCTCCACGTTACCTCCACCAATTTGCGGTCGTCGACGCTGAAACTATCAGAGCTCGAATTTGAAAGGACTCAACATCTCTCCGCTCTGAATACGGGTCTGCTGGTGGAAAAGAGCAATGTTACTGCCGAGCTAAATCGTTTGATGGAGAAGGCGACGGAGGAGGCAGCACAGCGTGGCCAAGCTGAGACAGCGCGGGCAACAATTGAGAAGGAATTGGATGATCTCAGTGCGAGCCTCTTCGATCAGGCCAATACGATGGTTGCCGAGGCGCGATATTCCAAGGCGCTCAGTGAGCAGAAGGTCGAGGAAGCTGAGATTGCGTTGAAAGGTGCTGAGGAGGCCGTCGCAGTCATGCAGCAGCAAATGCAGGCGCTCCAGGCCGACAAGGAAGAGGCCGACAAACGTGCGCTGGAAATACGGGTCTCGATGGGTAAAGGGAAATGGGCAGAGCGACGTGAAGATGGCTCCCTGTGGCGCCCGCTGCGCCTTATCTGCTCTCACCTCCCGTACCAGGAGTTCCTCTTGTTCGTGGCTCACCTGCGCACTCTTCATATCTCCACCCCGACACCGCCAACAATGTCCACTCTTCTTCCGCTTCCATTCATTGCTCGCCTCTTGTCGGAAGACTCGTCAGTGATTTTCCGTCAGTTTATTCCATGCTCATTAATGCTTACGCTGCGCCAGAGAACCTGCTGTCCGCCTTGATCTCGCACCTTCGTTAAACTGGCTATCGCGCCGCTCAGTTCTTGCTGCCATCTATAATGGGCAGCTTACAATTGAACCCATCTCATCTAGTTATTTATTGCAAGATGCGTTCTTAAATGCACCTTCTATCTCTGGTCTTAGCAGTAACAATATTGTCTGTGCATTATGTGGAGAGTCTGTCTTCCCCAATTCCGAGTCGCGACCATCTGGCTCTGGCTCCTGGCCGTCTTCCCTGTTTAAGAAACCGCTGTCTTACACTTTGAATGGTTCGAATGGTTCAAATTCCGTCCCACCTTCTCCCAAAACTGCGAAACCTGCTCAAGTTCACATATTCAGAGTCTCATCATCAACGTCTCCATCATCGGCTCTTCCTAACCTCTCCATCCCTACAGCTTCTTTCATATCGACATCTTCACAATCGCAGGCAAGTGGCTCTGCCATCAACCATCACTCCAATGGTGGTACCCAATCAACAACTGCATACGCTCTTTGCACCAGCGGCTGGTGTCTCATGCGGTTGCGACAGACATGCACTTTATGGGCATTCGTTCGCACAGGCATTGTGGAAAGAGTATGGGAAGAGGAAGTCCCGGCATTACCTCCCCCACCGATACCAACTGCGTCGAACGGCGACAAGCCCCCGGTTCCACCACGACGCAGGGGACTTTGGGGTATGGCTAGCGCTCTTGGCGAGAGGGCGGTGAGCTGGAGCAGCGACGACAAAGAAAAGAAGAAACTCCAACAGGAGAAGGAAAAGGAAAAGAAATTTGACCTTACGTGGGAGCGGGACCAAGCAAAGGCCATGGCACAGAATGAAAAACTGCGAGGCAAGAAGTTCGCACCGCCACCTGTGCACCCGTCCTTATCCGCTGGTCCCAAAAGCCCGCCAGTAGTCGCTCCAGCTCCTGTCCCGCCGCCATTGCCTAGACGAAACGACCGACGTCCTGTTCCACCGCCCCCGCCAACGGCAGCAAAGGAAGTGGAGCCGCCTACATTGGAGCGCCCCCAAACGCCGACCCGCGTACCTCTTCCCGAGTCTAGACCCGCTACCCCCGCTACCCCGGCTTCCCCTGCAGCACCTCCTCCGCTCCCTCGAAGAGCTGCTGCGCGTGGGGCGCGTCCCTTGCCCGGATCGAGGCCAGGTACACCAAAGTCTGAAGGAGCAGCAAAGGAGAAATCAGAGGAGAAGGAGAAGGAGAAGGAGAAGAAAGCGCAGGACAACGATCGAGAGAACGAGGAGTCCGACGCTAAGAGGGACGAGAAAGCAGAGACCGAAGTAGGGAAAGAAGGCGAGAACGTAGAGAAAGAGGTTGAAGAGTCCACAGCAGAAGAGCGGCCTTCTGTTCCTTCTGAGGTGCCAACAACTGAACCTGTATCTGCCTCAGAGACCGTGACTGAACCCTATGAAACGTCGGGATCTGAACCAGAACTCTCTAGCGCAGTTGAGGTGGAAGAGAGCCCCCCTACTACTCTCATTTCGGAAGGGGCTGAACAGGCAAGGCCGTCTAGCTCGGAAAGCATTGAAAGCGACACACCCTCTTCACCTACGCCTTCGCATGTATATGGAAAGGTAGAGCTCGAAGATCGAAACGTGTCGGCTGGCTATGATGACGAACAAGAACGGTTCGAAACACCGGTCCAGTCTGTATCTGAATCCGATGATGGGAAGGAGGAACCAGAGGATGAAACTAAAGAGGTGTACATAGGTGATACGACTTGGGAAGAGAGGACTTGGAAAGAGTTGATACGGATAAAAGAGGACATGTTCTGGGCGCGTGTCGGTGGATTGAGGTAGTATTATTATACACAAAGGCTGCTTTGGACTTCACCTACCACTTCCTTGCGCGTTCTCTAGAGCTACCTAGTTATTTAACGACTACACTTTTCTTTCTTTGGAATCATGCTTAGTCTAGAACCTCATAAAGATACCCTCCATCCATGTGTCCGTCTTCGACCTGGTTATGTACATTACATCACTTATTTCTGCTTCACCCATTCTTCATGCCGTCTGACTAATTCTGAGATGATGTCCTCTTCTATCTCTTTGGAAGGATCACGGATCAAGTCAATACGGAGCCAGTGATCTACGAATGTAGAAGGGGCTGAGCCAGTGGAAGCGTCGCCATTGAGCTGAGGATTACGAGAGACGAAAACCACCTCGAATTTACGCCGATGAAGGTCATTCCCGATGACCACTTGGTGACCATATCGTTCTAGAGCTGCATGTGCTTTTGGTATCAGCAAAAGAGGATCTGTTTCGAGCTTTGGAAAGGTGATGAGAGAGGGGTACTCGGCAAAATACTTCATTACCTTGAACGAGACAATGAAACCGTCATGAGTCCATTCGTCTACCATTGACTTGAGGATCTTTGGCACTTGGTCCATCTCAATGTGTAGACTTCCCTTGCCAGATTGGATTTTGTGCTCTGACTAGAAGATTTTAACGCAAGTTCAAGGACCAAAAAGCCATTACGCACCATCTTCTGTCTTGGAAGGAAGAAGTCGCTGACAGCAGCGGCCAAGTAATACATCGCCCTTCTCCGCATGACAGAGAGCTCCTGAGAAACAGCGCGAAGAAGCCAGAGATAGTCATTGACAGTGATGAACGTCAAGGTAAGTAACGTTCCGGATGCATGCACGGACTTGTATGCCGTCAAGACCTCAAGCAAATGGGCTCTTTTATCTGCGGTCACACTAATCTGAGGGTCGCTGCTGTCCACCTGATCTATTTCGAGGAAGTCGAGAAAAGGATTGGTAGAATGGGAATAATGTCGGCTGAATGGCTGCAGACTGAACTGGCGATGCATGAAAATGACGGCATATCCAGCTTTAAGGAAATACTCGGCAGATGTGGCGCCTCTGGTACCTGTGGTTTCTTCAGAAAAGTCCAGTAGAGCACTCAGAAGACCACCACATACCGGCACTGAAATTGTCCAGAAAGCGAACACTGTTATACGTCGAATCGTAAGCGTCTCCCACCGCTGCGCAACGGAACGCTCTCACACATTGAGCTCCAAAGGAACAGTGGTCCCTCCACTCTATGCTTGTGGTACTGAGCAAAGCACCGAAACGGAAAATCGAAGGTCCTCACCGTAACCAAGACTACATTTCGATTCTGCTGGATTTGCTGGGCGACAAAGGTGCGAACGGCACTAACTTCGTGTTCGAGATTGGGTGGTGGACCCTGCGTAGCGAAGTACGACTCTGCAGAGAAGCTCGTAGATTCGCTGTGCATCGTCAGTAGGGCTACGGTACATCATCATGGACCCTGGACTCTGTGTCATCGTGCCATGTGACATGGTCGCAGTTTCGAACCTCGCGTCCAACGTACTCATTTAACAGGAATTTCTTCGTGGATACAAAGCATTCTCGTTAGACTACAGGTAAAAGGTTGCAGGTAATTGGACGTCATGTAACCAAATCAATACTATCAAAATACATATTATGACCGGGTGAATAAATACAGTCAACTGAAGAATGATCCGCCATCAACGGTGATCTAGAAACGCAGTGTCTTGAGACAGAAAACGTACACATGAATTGAGCGACACGTACCGTCTGTCCAGTAATGAAGTGCGACTCTGGCGGCGCATCCCAGTTCCAGTGTTAAAACATTGATGTCTAACGTTATTGAGATTCAGTCATCATAACAGTTAGATGTACCAGCGCTCTATGTCAACCCGCGAATGGCGAACTTTAATGCGCTATAATGACATACACCCGCATGAGCCAGGAAGTGGTCGGACGAGGAAGCAAGAGAGTTCAAACGAGTCATTCTTACCTCTCATCCCTGCGACAGAACTTGCGCCGATGATCCGCCCTCCCCAGCCTTGTTTAACCATCTGTTTGCGGCATGTTTATAGCAAAGGAATACTCCCCCGCTCATTTACACCAAAAATATGATCCTATTGCTCCGCCGTAGCTGATATCAGAATTCGAAATGCCCAAAACGTAAATAGGCATTCGATAACTCACTATCCATAAGACCAGAGAAGCTAAGACATATACCTGCATTAGCTATCATCTGGAAAAATCCATCAAATCGAATGAAAGAAAGAAGATTGAAGAGGTTGCTTACAACGACCAGCCTGCCTAACACTTACACGGTCTCATCAACCATAGCCTTCACTTCGTCCTCCTTCGAAGCGTCAGCTATGTAGATGAACGCTTTGTTCCCCAACTCCTCAATTTCGCTGCGAAGAGTCTCCAGCGCCTCTTTCTGGGAAGCGATATCGTTCAAAGCAACTTTGAAGCCATCGCTTGCGAGCCGAAGCGCAACGGCTCGACCCATTCCGCGAGCGGAGCCTGTCACTAATGCAACGGAGCGTTCTGCCATGGTGGTATGTTGTACGTTGCCTTCCTTGCAAGGAAGAGATATATAGACGACGGCCTAAATCCCATGAGGTGCTCGTAGTCTTTATATGTCCGATAAGGAGTTTATCGATGAATGGAAGACTGCATCACTGAATAGCGTGCAACCTCTCAGATGCCAGGCCCGTCTGGTGACGACATAATTCAAAGAAAAGATCCAAAATAAACGTAGACCACTGTCAGCCGTTCTTGAGGAATTTACGGCATCTACGAGACAGCGCAGTCAGCACCGTACGATAAAGCAGAAAACAAGGCTATACTATTGCCACAAGAACTCAAAACTAGACGACTTTTACATATATAACAGAGAGATTAAAAGGGAACATAGCGTCTATGCCATCTCTACATCCTGAGCAGGTGTTTCCTTTGCCGGTGCCGCCGCCGGCTCTGCGTCGCCCATGAACGCATCAAGCTCCTTGTCCAAATCCTCAGTAGTCTTGGGCTTTTTGGGACCTTTTGCTGCAGCTTTGCGAGCACGTTTCGACCGAACAGGACCACTAAGATCAAAGTCAGAGATACGAAAAAGACGGCAGTAAAAAGAAACACACGAGCCAGATTCCTTGGGGTTGGGTTCGTCCACACCGAGGCGGTCCAAAAGGGGAGGCTTCTGGATCCTGCTAAGAAGAGTCGACGTTGTTGGTGCGCTTGTTGCACGTCTTGGGTTCCGGGGCGGTAGCGTGTCGAAGGTTATCGACATGGCTTGGCCTTAATGGGAAGTCTAATCAGAAGGGGGTAGCCAACATAGTGCACACGTACCTTTGGCATCTTTGCCATCAAATGTCTTTTTGGCTATCGTTGCTTCCTCTGGCGTTTCGAAGGAAATAAAGGCGGTCCCTGTGGAGCGTCCACTGCGGTCGTACTTTGTAACAAAAAAACCGAAAGGCGCGGGTCGTTGGTTGGCTTTTTCAGGTAGCGTGGTGCTAGTCGGATATTCGTACCCTGAGTAACGGCTCGCGCACGAGCGTGCCAAATTGGCCAAAAATTGACTACAAAAATCATTTTCAAGCCCTTGTCTCAGATGAGACTCACTTACGGCCAGGTCTTTAGGCGTAATCTCGTAGTGCAGGTTTGATACGACGATCTTGGAATTGGGTGTGGCGAAAGTGGCAGGCACCCGTTTGACGCCGGGCAGACCAGGGGCCTTGTCGTGCAACCACTGACCATCGGTATTGGTTGGCCGCTGAAAAAAAAGAGTTGAATGAAAGACAGAGACGTTCGCAAAGAGGGACGACAAACAGTGTAAGGTTTCCGAGTATTTCTGTTTTGAAATGCGGACATGGTGATGGTAAGGAGTCAAGAAGGGCGACGAAGAAAAAGTCCGGATCAGTCTTCGTATCGCTGACTTTTCATCACCTGAAGCTGTTGCCAAACAAAGCACCTCTCTTTCCGGCCTCGATGTCGACGGCGGCGGCGGGCCTCAGTGCTGTCAAAAGATTTCGTCTGCACGAGATAAAAGGTCTCCGCCATCACTTGAAACGATATGGTCCCCTTCCAGAAAAACCCGACGCGAATCCTAAGGCTCTCCTGCTCCCTAATCCGTTTCTCCCGCGATTCAACCCAACGAGCGGTAGATGGGCACCACCCAAGTATTCCTTGCGACGCCAGGCGGAGCTGGTGAAACAGGCCAAGGTCACCAAGACTTTACACCTCCTTCCCCCAGGTCCCAAATTGCGGGCGGCGGAGATTCTCGCAGCTCCAACAAAGAGCCCGAGGCTGAATTTGGACGAAAAGAAGAAAGCTTTACGGGGGGGTTGGTTAAGCAAGGTTGAATGGGTTGGAAAGGTCAACGAGAAGCAGGTCAAGGGTGCGGAGAGTGGTACGCGGTTGTATTCAGGAAAGAAGAGGATGTTCAAGGGACACAAGTGGGAGCGCGTGAAGAGGCGCCGGTTCAACTACAAGAAGATTTTGCTGAGGGACATGGACCAACGCATCATGCGGTACAAGAGCGTATGTTGCTTATCCTTACTTCTTTTCATTGCTTTATGTGTTACTTTTGCAGTATTACAAGAACAGGCGGCCAAATCCTCTGGCTACACCACAAGTCAACAAGAAGGCCAAACTACCATTCTAGTTCTATCTGTGTCTACAATTTCATTCCTTCTACATGATATAGTGCACAAAGAAATATAAGGAAGAAACATGCCTCTCATCAATACGTAGGAGTGCACAGTCCCTTGGCTCGAAGTTTGAGCGCGTTAACTCTCAATATTGTACCACATTCAGCGCAGTATATTTCGCAACCACTCACTTATCAGACCTTGACGCGTTCTTGGATGTGGAATTCCTCTACTGACTTGCGAGGTGAGCTGCATAGACTTTTTCTTTCACGATGTAGCGCCCTGACACAATCTTCCATTTCAGGCGTCATTGTTCTTCAGGTATAATTCGTAAGGCGCTGACAGTAATCAATGCTCAATTTCTTCTCTCGCAGGCCCCAAGCTCATCCTGCGATCTCCGAGTCCCGACACACAGGGATTCGTTCATCGAAATTGTATGCTGCGCGTTTCTTCTCCCTGAAACGGCTGCCTGAACGAATGCTCATCATCAGCAATTCATTATAAGATGCTAGTCATAAATACGGATGCTTTTGCCTGCTGGTCTTTTCAAGGCGGTGTTTTTTACCTCATGAAAGCATGCTAGATTCTTCGCCCTCTTCCGGCCAAAATGCTGCTTCCAGCTCGACCACCCTATCCCAAACGCCTTCAGCTCGCTTCCAAGATGCAGACCCAGGCGTGATTCCAAGATCATTGACTATACCGGCCAAAGTATCAACGAAAGAGCTGAACTCGGTGCTACTCCAATTAGCCGACAAAGATAATAATGCTGACAATGTGGGTGTCGTACGAGTAGCATCAAGAGAGCTGACGAGTTGTGTATGGACAGCGACCCAAGAATCCAAATACACCTGAGCAGATCAAATTCGTATAGCAGAACCAGGAAGGGTGAGTATATACCGACCTTCTCCATTGCCCATAGGAACACCAAGCCCTCTTCCAACGAGCTGGAAACACGAGCCATCTCGGCTGTATAGTCTCTCGTGCCCTTTCGTTCCTTCCATCCTTCAATTCGGAGGCCCCACTCCTTCGCCGTCTCCTCGAAGAACGTGACCTCTCTCACGACATTAGTAAGAGAGAAGACCAGGATATCGAGTATGCGTTGGTTTAGGCGCTCCTCAATGGATCCAATTTTGTGTGATGCATCGTAGGGAATGGCCGAGATCAACGAGCCGATGAAGCGAGGATAAGCATGGGCAGCGTACAGCCTGTCCTGGGAGAGCCAGAAACCGAGTCGCTCATGCTGAAGGCTCCCCGAGGCAGCAGATGTCAGGAATGGATGCCTGAGCGCGTCTGCGTAGGGAACGGTTGTTTGCAGCGTCAATAGGTGGTCAGTGAGATGCATGTCTGAGCCTCCGGACATACGGACCGGGCGTCGAGCCTCTTTCAGTTTGGACATGTTTACCTGGAAGTCTTCCACTCGCCGACATATCAAATGCGTACAAATAATGTCCTCCTCACCTTGTTCCAGCAAGTCCGAAGATGTGATTGGGATTACTACGGCAACGTTTTCAATGCTGAGGGGCCATGGATCTTCAGTCACGTCTGTGGACTCTGGCGGGATACCGCATTATCCTCCCCTTCCCTCTGGTTCCGTCTAACCATCATTTCGTTTATGCTGACAGCTTCAAAAATGCTCCTGCGTTGCTTGAAACTATTTTAGTCACTCCAGCTCACATCCTTTGGACATCGCCGCGTTCGCTTCAAGTTCCAGGCCATATCCAGATATATCTATCCAGGTCTTTGCAGTGATTCTCCAACGCTGTCGTCGACGGAGGCACATCTTATTACGTCCGGAACTGTACTTCCTGGGGGAGATGACTGTTGTTAAAGAGGATCTCCTTGCCTTGTAATCATTGCTTCTGTACTCAATGGTGTCGGAGTTTCATCCGAGGACGATTTTACCCAGAAAGCTATATGACCATTTTCGCTACTGCCGCTCGCCTTCACAAGGTGGCATTGTATAAGGTGCATGGCCTGGGTGACTTCAGGTTGCCTAGACATGTCACATATTTCGCAGGATGTGCTACAGATCTTCATTTAAAGAAACACCAGTTCCTCGAAGAGTGCCACCTTGATTCTTCAATAGTTCAACACGTCGACGCGATCTCCCTGCCTAGTCTCCTATCCCTTCTCAAACTCCGGCGTCTATATGTAGATTCTACACGCCTACTTCGATACTTACATCTACCCTCCCTCCGGGATCTCACGTTGGAACCACACGTTCTGAGTGTCCTCTCGATGCAATCAACCTGAATGACTTGGTTCGCCGTTCACGTTGCTATATTGACAGTCTCGCCGTCGGCCCAGGCATAACCGTGCTGCCCAGTGTCTCTCCAACAATCCCTCTCTATGATGCAGTCGCTCTCCTGCCTTGACATTGCACTCCAGTCCACCGAGGACGACTTTTTCAGCATTTTAACCTCCACTTCAGCCGTCCTGCCCGACTTACAACATCTACATCTATGCTACTCTACAGGCGTTGATTTAACCTCATGGAACTCACTTATCTCTACGATTGGCGCACACTGGCATGTTACACCACTCGAAGTCATACGAATTACCTGCGCATCGAGATATGCCATAGAGTCCATAGTTGCACAGTTTGGCCCATTTCAGGAAGATTAGTTTAGATATCACGGCGTCGGTAAAACACGAGGCGCGAGATTTGGATGCGTTACGAATTACCTTTGCGAGGTTGGAAAGTTCGTCGTGGAGGGGATGGGAAAAGACGATATTGTTCCCGGCCGTCGGCTAGAGATTTCGTTGTTTACTCTGAATTATGAACATTTTCTCTTTGCTTGTGGTCTCTGTTGGAACGCGTTGAGGATATGGTCCCTGCTCTATTGGATGATAAACATTAAACAGCCAAACAACAGTATACGGAAACATGCCGAGCCGGCTCCCTCCCGAACTGATTCACGTCAGAATTCTGGTACTCCGAACATCCTCAGTGGTCCATAGAGTTATATTCATAACAACATGTCCCCTTATTAACAGCCTATGGAAAGACGTTTTTGCATATTACTTCCCGGGACATCTTTGTTCCAACAGGGAGATATCTCCTCTATCTCAGTCCTCTTATATACAACAATGGCTCTCTGATTTACCGCCTTCACCTCCCCAATTCCACTCGTATGATTACCTGCCATGTCGACATGGTCGAAACAAACAAGGACGCTGCCCAAGAGCCATACGCAACCTTATCCAATCTGCCCAATTTCATCGGCTTTCACAAATGTTTTCCAAATATCACCCAAATCTTCCTCGAAAGCAGGTATAGCGTACGAGGCAGATGGTTCCTCTTCGTCCTGTCTCAAGGACAAATCATCCGGACTCGAATCTCTATAACGCTTGGACGACATAACTTGGTGTCCTACCTGTGGACTAGGAAATTGCCGCTTACAACCCGGCACCCGAACATGTCTGCTGCAAATTTGCTCACCCCAATTGGACAATGTTTCTGAGCGATGTCGCTTGTGCTATGGCTCCTGGCACGTTCTTATGACGCATCAGAGCGATTCCTTTCGAGGATATGATATTAAGTTCGACGTATCTGAATTGCGTCCGGCGGTTCTCAGGCTATGGCATCTGTACCGAGACGAAGGGTGATATACGAGGCATGAATCGTTGCTTCACAAAGGCAATCCGAAGACCTTCTGGTAGAAAGTAATTCCTTTCATTGAGCGAAAAGGTCTCATTTTTATTAAGGTTTATGGACGTTCTTTGCGGAAGCGTATGAAGACATTGCGTGGATGGACGATACTGTGCGCGGACGCTCAAATTGGAAGGACATTGCATGAATAGGCTGGGTCGAGAAGAGAGTGAAGTTTATGCCTTCATAGTGCGGAGTGGTATGAGAGTATGTCGGTCGACTATGATGTGGTGAGTAACTGGGGAAACTGGGCATATTACGCTGGTGTCGGTAATGATCCTCGGTGATGAAATGGAGGAGCGATAGTGTTCAGTCTGATCAAGCAGGCTTGGGACTACTGTTCACCGTACTACCAATGAGCTCTAGATGTACTTCGGCCCATTTATCCCATTCCAAGAAGATGCTTTAGATGACACGGCGGTAGAAACAGGAAACAGCGAATTTGCTCAAATTACTTTGTGAAGCTTGGGCAATTTTCTTGTATTTGGACCACGTAGATACAGTCTATTTAGACAGAACGCCTATGACCAATATTATCGATAATTACCGAATTACCACAAATAACTGGAGTTACATAAAATCTGCTCCTGAGGTTGTCTGGACAATATTCAGAGCCCTACTGAATGTTCAAACATTTGCTCATGACTGCTCAACACTAAGTCTTGATCATACATCCTGCTCTGGACGAGCCAGGACTTGTTTAATAGGCAATCGGTAAGCACCTGCATCTCATTTGTGAAGACTAGTTCGAATGATGTCTAGAACGCGCTCTTTTGTATTTCATAACTCCTTTGCCTTAGAAGGAGGTGAGATCCTCTCAACTTTCTCTAGCAAACGAAGTGTATTCCCTCCTTTCTCCAGTCTCTCATCACCTGATCCAAGCTGGAATGTCGACAATTCATAAATCGTTCTGCGGCACCCTCTTTAACCGTCTCACCGTAGAAGAGCATACCATTAAATTCTTACCAGTCTTCAGCGACAACGATTTTCAGAATCAATCAGGACATTTGCCACGGACAATGTCGTACCTGTCCAACATAATCCCAGGGCTCTACTGTCGGCCATGACCAAACTAACTTTCGAAATACTTACGTTTCTGATCGTTTCCTGAGAGGTTCGGGTACGAAGTTACTTTTTCCACTCGAAGGGGTACTAGGTATGAAATAATCGGTTCTAGAGACGCCTTCGTCCCACGAGTCAGAAGGAGTCGTTCCCAGGTGAAGCATTACAGTGGCCGACGTCCAGGAGAGGCCTGGAGAAACTTTTTCGCACTCAGGGAGTGGGCAGATGTTCAAAAAGCATCGTCGGAGTCTTCCCGAGCCCGTACCGGTCGAGAGAAAAAAACAATCGACTTGTACAATTAAGTCGGGTCCCTGAAAAACTGCGAGGGTTTAAACGTTTATTTATGGGAGGAAGGAAGTTTCATTCGACGGACAGCCGATTACAGGAAGTACGAGCTCTACTGGGCCCAATATGGGCGTCTACAACGGCACTATAATTAGCTTCGGAATGGAAGGGATATCTACAAAGCGCTCGCGCCGCCGTCGGGTTCTCCCAATGATGATGACAACAACCACGCCGGTCACTCATAAGGCTCTATCGGTTATCATCCACAAAGTAGCACTCTATTACTTGACGAGGACCAACAGCGTCCCGATCACCACGAGAGGGGCGTATTCGTCGACATCGACGAAGGGTCTCTAGAGAATGCTTGCTGATGCTCTGGAGGACTGTACCCCAAAAATTAGCGTTGCAGGCTTACTGAAAGGTTGCCTACAGCAGGCTCGGATATAACTCCATCGGTGACTTGTCAGCTTCTCGGCTTTCCTCCAAATCACGCGAGCCTGCTAGTACTATTCTGCGTGTCAACTTTGATGCCGCGTATGGTGCTTTGAGAATTTGGGACACGTCCTTCGGCTCTGCCGAGGTTGTGCTTCTTCATGATGCGGTACGCGGGCCTGCTACCAGTTCCCGTTTCTCATCCCATACATCATGCTCTTATCTCTGCTCTGGAAAAGTCTGCTTGCGTTTTGCTTTTCTGCCTTTGGGGCGTCGTCTTTTGTGATTAATACGACGGTTGCACTGGACTGTTCCTATCTTTCTTTATGTCCTTTTTCAGTCTCGGAACTCATATTTGCTTCCTCTAGACGGAACTTTCACTGGGTTGCAAGATGACGATGCTGGAATTATCTACTTTCGTGGAATACCGTATGCGGACCCTCCTGTGAACGATCTGAGATGGAGAGCGCCGGTATTCCCTCCTTCTAACTATCTGGGAGACGTAAGCGCTGCTGAGGTATGTGTCTTTCCTCACTGCGCCAATATAAGCTAACAAAAGTCGACAGTTCGGCAATGTATGCATCGAAACGGCCACGTCTACAGTTCCGAGCGGCGCATCTGAGGATTGTTTGTTCATCAATGTACAAATTGCGTGTAGCGTCTCCATCATAGCTGTCTCTGATCTGTCCCCGTTCCGTAGGTCAACATTCCCGTTGGAACTAACAGCGACGATAAACTACCAGTTCTGATCTACATTCATGGTACCTTATTTCTTCGTTCTTTTCCCGGGTCTTCCTAATACTTCGTGAGGTGGTGGATTCCAAAGTGGTAGTTCAATTGGATTTCCTCCAAATGCATTGTTTCAATCATCAGCCAAACCATTCATTTATACTTCATTGCAGTATCGCCTGGGACAGTTTGGGTTTCTAGGTTTGGCCTGTCTGACTTTGTAGGATTTTCGACAAGCTAATCCCCACTGCAAGGCGGTTCCCAGTTGAAGGCTAACGGCGCTCTAAACGCAGGACTTCTGGATCAGGTATACTGAATGTTTCGACAGTACGTTGACACTTCTTGACGATTCATCTCTCCCAGCGAGCTGCTCTTCGATGGCTCCAGAAGTATATTTCCCACTTTGGTGGCGATTCTGGGTATGTTCTCATTGACTCTCCACATCACGTTGGTACCAATGGGGCTTCTCGTCAAGGCGCGTGACGATCTGGGGCGAATCCGCGGGCGCGGGGTCTACGATGTTCCAGGTAGAATAGCCACGGGGACGTTCTTTTTCGCGTCTGCTGATCATTGGTTCTTTAGGTTGTCGCGAACGGAGGTGACACGGAAGGCCTTTTCGTTGCAGCTATGGGAGATAGTCCTTCCATGACCTTTATGCCTGCATACGATAGTGAATATATCGAAGGGATCTTTACAGATTTCGTAGCAGATGCGTTAAGTTTTTCTACCGCACCACACTCCACAGATGCTGATTTCTGTTCGTAGTGGCTGTGACAAAGACGAGGACGTTCTGGCATGTCTCCGCGAAGCAGACGTGAACGATCTGGCGGCAGCCGGAAATGATGTCCTCGTGTCAAAGCCCACAACTATTTTTTCCTTTGCGCCAATCCTGGACGGGACTTTCATATCTAAAAGGGCGGTCGAGGCTTTCCAAGATGGGACGTTGGCTCCGATACCTCTCTTCTACGGGTAAGTGTACTTGACCGCTACGTTCGGTTATGCTTTACGGGTGTCCAGGTCGAACACCAATGAAGGTGCCCATTGGTCTGCTAACATCCCAGCACCATGGGCGAATACAACTTCCTCAAACGCGACCGAGGACACTGTCTACTTCTTTTTGCAAGGCCAATATAGCACCTTGACAAACGAAACGTTCATCAAGGCTCTAGAGCTGTATCCACTCACGGACTATAACAACTCGTATGACTTGCAGGGTCAACAGATGTATGGCGAGATGCGATACATTTGTACGGCGGTTTTAATCAACAAAGCCGCCAAGCGATCGGCGTTCCAGTACCGGTACGATAACCCACACCTCGGTTCGAACCATGGTGCCGATCTGGAGGCGTTGTTCCCTTCCTCTTCATCATCTGAGGCGAACGCGGACGATTTGGCGCTCTTCGAAGCTATGCGTGAGTATTGGACGTCGTTCGCTACTGGTGGTACGCCGGTTGCGCGGGAAGCACCAGAGTGGAGTGTAAGTGGTTTGAGGCACTGCTGTCTGGATTTCTGACGTCGTGGTGTTGGACTTGTAGGGTACGGGAGACCCGCGGATGCTGCTGCATCCTGGTGGTATACACCTCGAGAATATTACGGATGCGCTTTCTGCCAGGTGCGATTTCTGGCATGGCCTAAAGGAAGAGATCAAGATTTGATTTGATGTGGTGGGTGAAAACATCAGATTTCATTTGAGTGATCGGGGATGTGCCCAATTGAACTTGTTGTGTAGTTATCACCTTTGTGCACAGCAAGTTGAAGTGTTAGATCGACTGTGAAGTAATAATTTACATCTGAAACGCAGACCATGATATCTCGCTCAGCTTGGGCCGTCGAGTTATATAGGGGAATTGACATCCATCTCCGAAGATCTCGAATGAATGAATGACATTCGATATTTATATGTGGTATGTACATACTTGGTGTCAATGAAAAGCTGTCTACAAGAATATGGCCATGGAGAAAACGAAGTAAGCTTCAAAAGACATGGACGCGGAATTGGAGCTGGATCGACTATTAGTACGAGAACCGAATGGCACCAGACTAGGAATTGTCAGCTTTAATAAAAAGAATTTAGCTTTACACTAGTAGTAGACGCAGAAAGCACGCTCGTCTGCAACGCCTTCGCAGTCATCTGGCAGTTGGACGAAGACGGCTGGCCTAGGTCGGGCCGCTGTGGGCTGAATAAAAAAAAAGTCACTCCAAGATCAGACGCGGGCGGCTGTTGACTTGAAGACTCGAGCGTCGTAGTTGGCGGGCATGTTCGATGCGCAGTCGATCTCATATGCTGGCCTGGAAAGGGGATGAGCGACAGGAAGGGGAAGGAAAAAGGGACTAGGTACACCAGGTGGGAGCTTGCCTACGAGCAGGATTGCACGCGCGGAAGCAGAATTGTTGGTCAGACAAGAGTGCGAGAGTCGGAGAACGATTACACCTACTCAGAACGTCCATTGGAAGATCGGCTCAAGGCGATAGACGACATCTCCAAACCGGCGTGTAGGAGATGGGATCATTTACACTTGTTCACCAAGCGACGCGACTTGGATATGTTGGAATCAATTGTTTAGTGAGCATGAGGCGACGCGTTGGTAGTAATGCTGATTGCCGAATAGTTGCAAGAATCAGCTACGTGTCCGTGTCCGTCGCCCAAGCCTTGGTGGTTCGCCAATCCCATGACGTGTAACGGATCTCAACTTGGACACTGATCGAGACAAGTCACACTCGACTCCATATATAACGCCAACCATCATGTCCTCTTACTCGTCTTACCATGCTGCATATCGTTGCTATCCTCCTTGTCGCCCTCGCCTCGGCAGTTCTCCTTCACTTGCTAGCCTATCTCTTCGACCCGTACCACTTTCGTCCATTTCCCGGCCCTTTCCTTGCAAAGTTCTCGGATGCATGGTTGGGATGGGTATCATATGGAGGCCACCGGTCCGAGGCAGTCCATGAGATGCACAGAAAGTATGGTGAGTATATCATTCACTCTCCGCAGCATTCGCTCCATAACTCTGGGTTCCAGGCACCTTTGTCAGAATTGCTCCAAACCATCTCTCCGTCGCTTCCCCAGAGGCTCTCCAGGTCATCTACGCCCACGGCAATGGCGCCATGAAATCCTCCTTTTACGACGCCTTTGTCTCAATTCAAAGAGGCCTCTTCAACACCAGGGATCGCGCTCAACATACCCGCAAGCGAAAGATAATATCCCACATCTTCTCCCAAAAGAGTGTTCTCGAATTCGAACCAAGTCTGCGTCTTTACGTCGGCCAACTCATAGCTCAATGGGAACGTCTCTTTGACAAAGCTCTCAAAGGCGAGTCCGGTACTGACGGCGAAGGAGGTTGGTCCGGTCGCGATGGTCGTCTCTGGCTTGACTGTCTTCCCTGTATGTCTCCAGTCTCACCTACCACCTCTTTTCCTTTTTTCACTCTGTCTAGGGACCAACTACCTCGCATTCGACATAATCGGCGATCTCGCCTTTGGCGCCCCCTTTGGAATGATCATGGTTGCTAAAGACTCTGCCCCAGTTCCCAAAAGCAATGAAGAAGGCCTTGCCGCCATCGGTCAAAAGACTTCTTGTCAAGTCCTCGACATTCCTGCCGTGCAAATTTTGAACGACCGAGGCGAGTTTTCAATGACCATGGGTGTCTTTCCTTCATGGTGGCGCCCCATCGCTCGAAAACTCCCAATGTTCCAGGTCGGCGGAAAAGCCGTCAAGTCACTCGCCGGTATCGCTATAATGGCCGTCGCGAAACGGCTCGCCACACCTACCGATAGAACCGATTTACTCAGCAAACTACGAGCCGGCAAAGATGACAAGGTACTCTATTATTTACTCATCCATCATTCCTCATTCCAATAATCATCCACAGGGCAAACCCATGGGCCGAGATGAGCTTACAGCCGAGGCTCTCACCCTTCTTATAGCAGGCTCCGATACCACGTCCAAGTAACGAACATCCTTCTTTATTCGTATTGACAATACGTTAAACTCTAACCTTTCCACAGCTCGTCTTGCGCCATCATCTACTACCTCGCCCGAAACCCCCGTGTCCAAGCCAGACTCCACAAAGAACTCGACGAGCAGCTCAACGACTCGGTATCGACCGCCGATGAGGTCAAGAACCTCCCCTACCTCGACGCGTGCATCAACGAAGGTCTGCGGTTGCACTCGACGTCTGCTCTCGGTCTCCCTCGGATCGTTCCAGAGGGCGGGATGACCGTACATGGTCATCATTTCCCCGAGGGTGCCATTTTGAGTGTGCCCAGTTACACCATCCACCGCGACCCGACCGTTTGGGGCGATGATATTGACGAGTACAGACCGGAGAGGTGGTTCGAGAGGGATAACGCGCTCATCCAGAAGACGTTCAACCCCTTCTCACTTGGGCCCAGGTAGGAGACCTTTAGTCGTGTGTGAGTGTCCAACTGTTGACTCTTTTGTTTAGGGCATGTGTAGGGCGCAATCTCGCCTCGCTGGAGTTGCAGATTATCGTTTCGTCGATTTTGAGGAGGTTCCAATTTGCTTTGGAGGATCCTGATATGCCGGTATGTGCTCTTTTCTGTGTCTGTTTTTTTGTGGGATGTGAGTTTATATATTTGGTAGCTCCCGACGAGGGAGGGTTTCTTGAGGAAGCCTTTGAAATGCAGAGTGGGTATTAAGAGACGTGATGTACTTTGAAAGTACTCGTAGGGAAAAACAATTGTATCTTTATGGACAGGACTGTTCGAAAGTCGTTTCGTATGGGAGGCTAAAGCCCATCTAAACAGCCCACTGATATGGGTGCCTTGGAAACCACTTGAATTACACATCTCTGCTTTGGCGCAAGTCGGAAGATTGTCCTTCTTGTTGTCTGGCTTTTTTTTTGGAACCGATGTACTGTACCATTATCGTGTCCCTTGCGTCATTAGATCGTGTGCTGCGGAGGTTTCACTCTGTATAGAAAGATCGTGCCGCCGAAGCGGTCCTACTAAGGAATCCATCGCAAGTGGGTCGAAACCAGCCGGCGGATCCATTAGGCTAACCACAAAGGTAACCAGTCGATCAAAGCGTAACTGGCAGATGATCGACTGTGGGGTTCGCAAGCCTACATCGGTACTTCTGTTTGTTATATCGTATGACATCTCTTTGATTCTCTGTACATCACATGGGTAGATTTGTGAAAGAAGCCACCGTGAGCGATTGTCTTCCAAAAATACCTTCGGGTATGCGCCTCAAGCTTCTCACGGACCCGGAATCTATTTGCTCTAAGAGTCAGACCTTCTCTCATGTTCTTTTCTTCAAGACCATGAACAATGTCGTCCACGTCCACCTCGCTGGCTCCCTCTTCCACTGACAACGACAACAACGACAGCAACCCGAGCTTCTTCACCCCGGGCTCCTCACCCCCGCTGATCCTCGCTTTCCTGGCTATTGGCCTCTTCGCTGCAGCGATGATTGCAGTCTTTGGGTGGAGGAGGATACAGTTTTCGAGCACGGCTGACCCGAGGGCGGATGTGGATGAGCGACTGAGACATTTAGGCCAGAGACCAAAGCTGTGGGATCTCTGGACGCGGAAGCGGGAAACCTCATCTGATGCTCAGGCTTGGGAGGCTATAATGGTGAGCTTCTGTGCTGTTGGCGTTTTTTTGGTTTTAAATGTTTATCTAATGATCACACGCTTTGGGCAGCCAATCTCTGCAGCCATCTCGGATAGCGATACCAAACCTCAGGCTGACCATCGTCATTCGAAGGGGGGCAATGTATCCTTCCTGCCACTTCTTCGATCACGTCCAGATCATGGGGATTCGTCTTCTTTGAAGGACGTGGGCGATTCAGAATCCGCAGATGTCCAGGTGGCTGTAGCCGTAGCTATGCCATCCCCACCGAGCACGAAGCGGTTATCCGTAGCCCCCTCAACCACCTCAGGAAAAGAGCCAGAGAAGATCGTGGATGAGACGGTGCTACTGGAGTATTCCCTAGGGCTTTGTAGTACCAGAATACCTTGGCGCAGGGATGAGGGATAAACCCCGTCTTTTTGAGGCCTCAGGGAGCAGACGATCGGACTCGTGCCTTTGCCCTTTATGTATCATGCATGACGTTCCCATTTATCTGTAAATCGTCCTTAGTTATTACCACACCGACATGTCCAATTCAGCTCACCTTGGGACGGACTAACCCCGCGCTTGTCCTTGGCCTGAGCGTCGAAGCGTAAGGATGTACGTGTCATTAAACCTCAACGACGGCGTCAGCCCACCAAAATAATGGTTCGCTCCCAAGTAGTGCCCCCGGTTGAGGGTCGACGCCCTCCCCGGATTCGCAAACAGAGTCCTCATCATCATCTCGCGCTGTTTGTGGCTCAGCGCAGCCTGTTCAGCGTGCGTCAGTGGGATGCACAGGTATCGATATATACTCTGCAGCACGTTATGGATAGTCACTGTGTGGTTGCGGGCGTTCTCTACGTGGATAGGTCCCCACGACTCGGGGAAGGCGCCACACGTGATGATGATAAAACGGATGTGTCGATCGACGACCGCTCGAGCGAGCGCGATGAACTGGTATTTCCCATTAGAGTCGGTGGCTCCAGTGTCGATGGCGAAGTATTCGGGATCCTTCCACATATCCCAGTATAGCCGGCAGGATGAGGGGGCCCGGACTTCTTCACCGCGTTGGTATCTGGAATCGTTGAGGTGAGAATTGTCTATGCGGTAGGCGATGATGGGGTGGGGGGCTGCGTTGGGCATGCTTGGAGCAAAGGGAAGACCGTGCAATCTGGTATTTGAGCAGAGAAGGTGGCCCTTATACCAGTAAGTCACGCAGCAATCTACGCGGAACCGCGGCCCACAGATGGATAAATAGATATTGATGGCTTATACCCTCGTTCTAGGATGATGACTGCACGGTGTGGGTATCTTCACATGTACGGCTGCAGCCCAGATATTGTGTATTCCCTGCGTATCTATTCAACAGACAATAATACGGATCATGGTGTGAAACGTACCCCTCAGATTGCCGTCCAGTGAAACGGTTAGTGGGAAGTGAGAAGATAGACGCCTCTCTATCATGACTCAGTCTGATGGTATTTCGAGGTCCGAAGGGTATCGGATGAAGTTATGTAATTTCATGTTCCAGGCAAAGGATATTGGTACCAGAGTTGAGGTCGGGGTGGTGTAGCTCTGAAAACGAGAGCGTCATCAGCTTAAGAGGATCCAAACAAGAAAAATTGAATTACAGCTTTCACATAACGATCAAGATTGATAACGACTCTGACCCCATCTTGAATCTTCTACAATCAAATCGTACAGATAGCAGCAACCCCGAGCGTGCTTCCGTGGCGTCGATCTTCTCGGTCCCGAAATTCTAAGTTTGGGGTTCATGAAAGTATGCATTATGGTACACCCTTTGGTATATCCATACTCTGATACACTGCGTACGCTTGGCGTAGCTTTAGCCAAGCGGTCATTCGCATGGGCCGAATTGTCCCCTTCTCGACCAGTGACGTATTGGAGCTTCTGAGTAAACTTTCTGGGACATTTCACGCCTCAGAATTTTCTGTGAACGGATATTAGAACGTGTCAGAATAGGGATTCCTGTTCCTTACAGATTTTCCAGATGGTAGACGGTCGTTTGTATGGAGATGAGCAGACCCTGATAAAAAAACAGGAGGTCAGATGATGAAGTAACAACATCATGAGATGCTGGACAAACCCGACAAACCAAAAATATCGTAATAGATGTGTATCAGCCGGCAGCTTAGACGCCAGTCAATCATACGTCTCTGGGGTGATTGTGAACACGGATAGAAGTAACTTTTTCAAGAGCTGAGCAAGCGAAAGAATGGGGACAGCCTTCTCTAACTCATCATAGGTTAGTACGTTGGTCCGGATGTATGAGGAACGGTGCAGACACAATTCTGAAACCTCGAATGCCAGGCAGGGAGAGAGAAAGCTCAACGATTGGAGACCAGAGAGCGGGTGTGTTCGTCGAAAAAATGCTTTATCCACTGATTGAAGTATGGACATATTGAGTGAGCAAGTTGCCAAGGCCTGCCAGGTCACTAAGAGTGTTAGTAGCCACGTGCAGACCTCCCAGATCGGTGAATGAAACAAGAAAGGAGGCTGAAAAGGTTTGAAAGATCAACAAGATAACCCCGCATCTTCGGGCGGCGGATAGTGAGAGTCGATGAACACAGCCCACATCGAGTACTCCACCGCATCCTCAGATTGCGAGTTCCATACCTTAGTACGTGATCTTGATATATATGTATGATAATTGGTAATGGTGAGTTTCTTGAGGTTCGTCCCAAAAGCCTTCCAGACAAAGGCAAAAAACACCTCTAGGACGTCCATTGTACCGCATGCATGCGATACTGATCTCTTGCACTTCAGTCAGATAAGCCAAGGCCCCAGACATAGCAGCAAACTGGGAAATCAAGATCTAAAAAGTCGGCTTCGACGCAGGAATAAGTATGACGTACTACAGCAAAAAATCCGTTATCGGCTTCAGGAAAGTAAAACTCGATGCATCGTACAAGCTTGGAGATGTCTGGATCTCTTGAAAGTTGAATGATCATAGCTCCTTGAAGTACGAGGCGACGCATTCCCAAGTCAGAACAGGCATGACCAACAGGACAAAGGGGTACTAGGCGGTGATCCCTTATAGCATAAAAAGAGGTTATCTGGGGTTATTGTCGTGGGGGAGGACAGCAAGAGGACAGCGAAAAGAAATTTTAAGTTGCTGTCACTGATGGCATGACGGCCCGGAGGGCAATTCGTAAAGCAGACAACGTGGGCGAAACGCCCTGGCCCTTTACTCCGGTGTGGAATCACGAAACAATCAAATGTTCCTCTTCCTATCATAATGCTCCGAAAGGCCAAGTCCCCCAAGTATGCCCTCACCGAGGCTCAAAGGGTAATGTATGCCTCCGAAAAGCTCGTTAACTTTCGATGGATTTCCAAGGTGGTAGCCTCATATTCCTCGTATACCCTTTCCGGGAAGGACCTGGTAGAACCCAGTCTTCAGCTTGAGCTGGCGGAAATCGGTTCGTCCATCTTCCATGTGTCCGTTATTATTGCTCGTGTGACCAGGGCCCATAACAGGCCAATACGCCGAGATAGCTTCGAATAATATCGTTCCGGTGGAATTTGTCTTCGGAAACATCGACACCCTGATACAGCCAGATTTCCCACTGGAAAACTACCAGGCGCTTCAGGGATCCATACTTGTGTCTGAGTTTTTTGGACGGGTCTCCCATTTGCACGCTTACGTCGCGTACCGTCCACACACGAAACAGCTTATCGTGGCTACTTCAGGGACGACCTCGTTGCTGCAGACCATTCAGGATATGAGGTTCATAAAGCACCGACACCGATCATGTCGGGGGGCTATCCACTCGGGATTCTGGAACCTATATAAGGGCGTACGGGATTCCGTTTATGTGGGCATAGCCAAAGGCTTTCAAGAACATGAGGTGAAAGAGCTTGTTATCACAGGCCATAGCATGGGTGGTGCCGTGTCGTATTTACTTATGGTCGATGCGCTCACCCAGAAGATAAATATACCTCCGGATGTGCGGCTCAAGCATGTGTCCTATGGTGCTCCGAGAGTTGGGGATGCTTCCTTCGTAAAATACTGGCGAGAGTTAGTATCGAAGCATCGTGAGGTATATGGCGAATCTTCAATGGTAGAACTGTGTGTCAAGGCATACAACGACGGTATAGGTTCATCTTGTTCTATCAGTAGCTCTCCCGACTGATGTGCGTACATAGGTGTTCCGTCCTTACCACCCCTCTCTTTTGGTTATCGACATTGCACCGAGAGGCCGATGTATCTTGTCCATGGTTATCTCTTTCACATACCCACTTCGCAGTGCGAGTTCTCCCTTTTCGTTGCCGAGACTCCGTCGAACCATATATCCATCGAGTATCCCAAAGGAGGGCATAATTATTACAATGGACGCGATATGGAACGGGTGTTACGGCGGTTAAATTGGCTGGAGAAGGCAATGGGTAGTGAAGAGGATTGGATAGAGAAATACAAGCTTCATGCTGCTAAACACCTTAAATCCCTCAGTCCTGTGAGGTCTTCATGGCTGTCGATACAGTTTCTCTATCGATGACAACTTATTTTAAACTTCAATATCATTATGCATATACTGTACGAAGAGCCATTAATATTTCGTGCATTGTTTTATGAACTTTACCGATCTTTCGGATTCTTCTGGACGTGCTACAATTACATTTAACCTGATACTCTTTGTCGGACTGGCGTTACATAACCATCACAGAGGTTGGACAGTGGGTTCGGGTCCCACAGGAATGACGCGCGTAGGGTTGATCTAGAACAGAAGTTACTCTTCTGCATCGAATAAACAAGAAATCCATACATGAGGATGCGACCAATAATAGTGGGTCTTAATGTGTTCAAAATTTGTGGAGGACTTGAAAGCATTGTTATTCCAATACAGCTTTTTCATCCACCTGGAAAAACTCTTAGAGTGATAGTACGTGGGGGATGCATGAAGCCTACTTGTTGATCGCAGGATATCCATCCCGAATGGTCCGGATATTACATTTGAAATGGCCCACATACACTGGGTCAAAGCGGATCTGATGTCACAATTAAACCACTTGCCGTCGCCGTCAGTTATTCGAATGAGACATACGATAGTCACCCAGAGTCTGATATCGCATTCTGTCAGCTGGTTTCCAACAATATAATCCCTTCCGACGAGAAGTTTTTCGACTTTGTCGAGGGACTCGAACAATTTGTGGACGGCATCTTCGTAGGCAGCTTGAGTTGTAGCAAATCCGGACCGATAAACGCCATCTGAGAAAGAGCATGGTCATAATCAGATCCCGAAAGAAAGAAATTGTGCACTCACTGTTGATGGTGGGATAAATCCATTCATTGAGACTGTCGATTTCGGCTCGAAGGGATTCAGGGTAGTAATTGAGAGCTGCCTTGTCGGCCGGAAGCTTGCCATTGAAGGCCGTGTTGAACATTCGAATAATTTCAGAACTCTCGTTATTCACGACGGTCTGCAATTTCTTGTCCCAGAGAACCGGCACGGTAAATCTTGGGGTATTAGTCAGGCAATTGAAAACAAGCGAAGGCATCAACGACGTACCGCCCTTCGTAATTTGGCTCAGCTTTGAGATACAGGTCCTTCACATGTTGGGAATTGTACAAAGGGTCGGCATCTGCGCCCGGAAACTGATCTGCGGTGGCAAATGGCCAACCATCTGTGCCCATACGGGGCGAAACAACGGTAACAGCTGTTTTAACGACAACTCAGTCAAAAACGAGATGGAAGCAAGGAAGAAAATACTCACGAACTATGTCGTCGAGACCCTTGAGCTTCCTGACGATTAAAGTTCGCGTTGCCCAAGCTGAAGACGGTTAGCTACACTGTTATCGGCTGCGGCATTGTTCGTTCACGTACGGCATGCATAGGAAACATATAAATGGTAACGATCTGCATTAATTCCATAAATACCCTCGATATCATTCAATTCGCTGGCTCACCAAGCTCTGGTTCAAATTTCCCGCCTTTTTCGATAACACTTCGGAAAGAAGAGGGGGCGCGTTTGAAACTGCCGTCGTCTGAAGTTTTCATGACTGATATGTCAGACTGAGACTTGACAGTTCTTAAGGACATGGCAGAAAATGCTCTCCGAGCTAGAAACAACGACGAAGAGAGAGACAGGGAAGGTCTCACCAAGGTCAGTAACATAGATCGGTTGGACGGACCGAGATAACGTCAGCGAAGGCTTGCGAAAAAAAATATCTAAAAATAATCAAAAAACCATGTCGACCCATTCTTCATTTCGCTTCCATGTCGTGGCCCATCGTCGTCGTTACTGGTGCCAATGGGTACGACTCCTGCTCTCTGTTTTATTTCTTTACTCTGAGAAGGCTTCAGCGGTGTCGGGTTCTCGATATGCCAACGATTTCTCTTCCAACTATCCGACGTCGACCAGCCTTTACCATCCAGTTCTCGAGAAGGAGACCTCTTCCCTTACCCTTGCGAGGGCCTGACGCTCATAATGGCGTGTAGAAGCTTTCATCGCGCAGACATGGCGCGCCGTGAATTGTATGCGTCCCTGGATTCCCACATGTCCAAGACAAACACAGGATATGGAGGACACGCGAAGCGGTTCAGGGAAAATTTGAAAATAGAAATTCACACCGTCGACCTTGCGGATATTTCAAGTGTATTTGCTTTTGCCGACGAAGTGTCCGAAACGCACGTCGAGCGCTTGTTTCATTTCGCCATCTGACTTTTTCCCAGGTACCCATATATCTCGCATTTCATTTTCAATGCGGGGGTGGCCAGTTATGACCACATTGACTGGTGCAAGGTGGTCCAACAATTCCTCGTGGATCCCATGGGCATGATGACGACGCCCCAGTACAATGTGCATCTTGTCGGCGAGTCGACCAAGGATGGTTTGGGTCTGGTCTGGCAATCCAACCTTTTCGGTCATTACGTCTTGGTGGGTGGACTTGTGTTGCATTTTTACGCGTCTGACTGTGTACCGGTAGTTCCGTTCCCTCCGTCACCTCCTTTCCGCTCCAACATACAAGTGGGATACACGAGTTATCTGGATGTCGTCTATCGAGGCCTCTCCCGACCTTTACGCATCCGATGATTGGCAGCTAATAAAGCACACCATTTCCTATAATGCGGTCAAATATCAAATAGACGTCCTCGGAACGTATTTGGACCGGATAGCCCTTGAAACGCCTGATTCCGAAAAGCGAATACGACACATTGTTGTCCATCCAGGAATCGCCTCTACCCCATTTTCGAATAAACTTGTCAATTTTTGGACGAACGTGCTCAAGGTAGTCTTGATGTATATCGTACGTAGCATTTGCCTGTCTATATCTGCCTTGTGCTGAACACACTGCGCAGGCGCGTTGGTGCGGGTCGCGAAACCATGTGATCGATCCGTTCAATGCAGCAGTATCAACTATATACGTTTGCCTGGTGCCGTTGTCGATTCTTGCCTCTTCACAGGTTTATAAGGACGGCGTTTATTGCCCAGTAAGGTTTGCTTCCGAAACGAATAGGCTAGGACGACCTGAAGTTGGCGTCCACAAGGTCAGGTGGTGGCCTGAGCATCAGCGGGAAGCCGAACTCCTTGTTGACCGGTGCAGTAATCTATACGAGGAGTTCAAGAGTCGATAGTTTGTTTACATACAACTTCGAAATGATTACATTGGGATTTTTGGCAAGCACCAAATTCAGTTTAAACGTTCCCGCTAAAAATGTCTTCCTTTGTGCCCAAATAGAACACAGGAATTTCTCCTAGTTCTGCGCTGACATTGACAAAGATGCCGCCGTGTCCGAATTCAACATCTGTCCACCTAAGGCCACATTCAGTCAGAGATACTTTCCTTGCGCCTAATCACTCACCAGTGCGTCCACGACAATCCTTGTTCTACCCAAGAATCGGGGAGGAAAGGAAGATATACCTCCTTGGAAGTCACATTGGCCTCTGTAACTGGTGCGACGAGGATGCGCGGACCTGTGTTATGAGGAAACACAAGAATATCGCATGACAGCCAGTTACAAACAACTGATTGTTCTCACCAAACATGTATTCGTGGATGATGCTCGGGTCGTTCGCCTTCGTCCCGTTCACAACATTGTCGTCAAACAGCGAGAAGTCATAATATAATGGTCTCATGATGGTCCTGCCTGTAGCCTGAAGCATTTGGAACAACTTCTTGACGTATGGTATGAGCTGGTAGCGAAGAGCGATATACTGTGGGACGAAAGGTCTTAAAACATCCAAAGCTGTTGGAGACGTCAGGCATACCTCTTTGAGAATGACAAAATTCTCCTCCCCGTAGGCCCATGGCTGACGAAACTGTTAGAACAGAGCAGGAGGGTCAAATGAACGAGAAGTAACCTCATTTGGACAGTTATTTCCGAAGAGTACGTCCGCTGCCTCCGGAATATTACACTGCCGATCACTGTATAATCGATGAGTTCCCTATGCACAACACAAGAAAGAAAGAAACTGTAGTTCACCCATGAACACGCGTCTACAACGTGGATCAACATAGAAGCATGAACAGAAAACAAATCTCGACTCACATAGGGCAAGAATACACCCATAGCAAACCACCGAACGAATAGCTCTCGTCCCTGTTTCACAGACTCAAAGTCACTCACAGACTAAGAGAGCGATGGGCATGTCTTACAGCATCAGTATCCACATTCAAACCGTTGAACCCGCCAATATCCAAGGTCCACGAGGAGATCCCCGAAGCTGATACTGACACTCCAGCAGTGATCTGTTGTGCCATCGCACTGAAGTCTGACGAGGTGTCACCACTCCAGAGGTACGAACAATACCGCTGTCCACCGGCGAACGTACTTCTCGTTAGAGACATGTATTCACAAGACGTTGTACTTTCGCTGTTGGTCAAATTGTGCAAGCCTTCGTCTATTGCTGCCTGATGAAACCAAGGGTACAGCTTCCCCGTTGCCTCCTGCGTGCCGCTGAAGTACTGAGTGAATGTTCTTGCATACGGAAGCGCACTGATGGATTGCCCATCTAGGTAGATATTATGTTAGTTTTCACCCGACATAGATAAGGAGAGAATTTCTACTGTTGAGGAATGGCTCTCCTAGACTGCCACCTTGGAAATATATTAAAATGTAGAGGAAAATAATGTCACTGCGGAGCGTACCGTCGGCTTGGTCAATCCAGAAGTTATGTATACCAATTGAGAAGTAGCTATCGTTGAGGCGCTTCCCTTGTATACCCGGTAGGAGAAATCGTCGAAAACGGGCTAATACTCAAGAGCTACTTACAGAGAAACTGCCGAGCAGCAGGGTTCGTGGAGTCCACTAAATAAAGATGTTCCGGAACAAGCGCAGAAAAAAAAAAGAGAGAGCTTCCATACCAAGACGAATATAGACACCAGCAAAAGAATCCTGGACCCCAGTTCCGTCCCTGGTTGTTGCCAACATCCCTTCTTGTTGAAGGGAGATATAATTTACTGAGAGGTCTTCAACACTGGGCCATAGCGACACCATCATTTCTGCTCCAGTGAGTTCTTTAACTTGCGCCGCCATACCAGCTGGATCCGGCCAAAATTCGGGATCGAAAGACCTAGGTAGTGGGTCGGTCATAGACCGAAGAACTCTCAAGCTGACGTACCAATCGCCCTGATATTTCCAGGCAAAGAAGTCTAATGTCATCCGCGTTTATAGGTCTTTTTCCGAGTTAGGGGAAGGCTTACCAACGATGATTAAGGATACGTTGACCTTCTCGTCATGGAAACGTTGCGCCACATCGATAACTTGGGATTGGTTCCAATAGCGCAATTTGGACTGTTGATAGCCCAAAACAAAGTCTGGAGGCGTTGGTTGACGCCCTATTGAGAATAAATCAAACCTTGGGAATGTTAATACAGAAGAAACTATAACCAGTCACGCCAGTGTATTGCTGCTGAAGCGCGTCATAGTCCTGAGGTGCCGCAGTGGTTCTGCGACATATGAATTAGGGCTGGCGGAAGCGCCGATATAGCTCACATGAAATAATCTACAACAGTGGCTTCAGAGGCCACAAAACGCGTCCGACGTGTACTGAATTCTGGTCGAGACTTTGAGATTATGAGTAGCTTCCTCCCGAGGCAATTTCCGTACCGATCTGCCCTTGTCCAGGCATATTGAAGAATTGGAGATAACCCTGTTCCGAAAGTCAGAACGGAAAATATTACAAAGGAATAACGGTCACAACAAACTTTATTCGACATGTAGACAGGGATTGGCACTTGAGAATTGAAGTTGATAAGGTCGATAACTTGTCCTTTCTTGTTCACGGAGTCATCTCCACAACAGGCTTGTTGGCCCACACCATAGAACTGTTCGTCAGGATCCGAAGTGAAGGAGAATGAAGCCTGGAAGCTCGAAGTTCGGAAGTCATGCGTGTAGAATCTCGACGGAAGAGCCTTGGTGTCCGCGTACTCCGATGTGAGCAGTGTATCGGTGCCATTGGCTTCCCGACGGTAGAAGAAAAGCCTCCCACTCTGGACAGAGACAAGAAGATCCCCGTTGGTAAATTGTCCGGAATCTTGAAAGCCTAGCTCTGTGTCAAAAGATAGACCTTGATTACCACCGGGGCCTTCAATCGGAGGGTCGTACAGAGCGGAGCTCGGTGCCGTTGGGTCTCTCATCAGACTGGATCTCACACGAACTCCATTGGTTCCAAAAGGCTGAGCATAATTCAATTAGACAGAAAAGAGTATCGAAAGTGGAATATCCTTACTTGAATGTAAACGCGTTCGAAACCGTTGATTATCCGGATTCCAGCGGCGTTAGCTAGAGTTGGGAAAACTGTGGCCACTGCCAAGCACAACCGAGCACGAAGAAGCATAATTGGGAAGAAATGAGAGGACGAGCTGCCTTTTATTTATGCTTTTCGGTCCGTTGACAGTCTGCACGTAATAGACGGTCCGTACGACAGTACGTGCCCCAAGGATCATTGAATGGAAAACGGAGTTACGAGCACGTATGGCCTATCACATGAGCTGGAAGGCAATCGGAGACGAGCATATGAGGATGTACAAATTCATCAGAAGTTCCAAGACGACTCGCTTCGAAATGGTGGAGAAAAACCAGGTCGAGGTCACGCCACTGAGAATTAAATGAGGATGTACGTGAATAAGGGCATGTTATAATGTACAGAGACTGTACCGTGAAGACTTTGGAGTATTAGTCAGTCTGTCTGTCTTGCAGTACTTAGTACTAGTGCGCTGGCGGAACGGAAACAGTACCGGCATATCCCGGCCGGCTCGGTTGCCGATGCACTGCCACACGCTGATCGCAACCCAAAAAGCTTCTTTTTTTTTCATCTTCTCCGTATATGTCTCCGCCGGTTCACAACCCAACCAGCTTGTTCGTTGGCCAATGCATGCTCATAGATTTCGTTTCAGCTTTGAATATGCCTTATTCTCTCCCCACGTGGAAGCGCCCGTCTCGACTCGATCTGCGTTATTATTATTATTGTTTCTTCTGGCTCACGATCGTTGATTTTGCTCAAATTGCAAACCAATTGGTCATGGTAAACTGCTGAGCCGCGATGGCCCCCGAGCGTCGTCAGATAATACTCCGTTCTTGTGTTGTGAGTATCGCTCATAATGTAGTCTTTGGAAAATATAGAAAATATACAGCAGAATAAATTAACTCAGTAAGAGTCCTCCACTGTAACAATTCTTGGGAACTCGGAACTCGGTTGGCCGACATCGGACCATAGGAGGCGTAGCCCGACATAGAGGGGTAAAGAGAGGATCACTGCGGGCCATCATCATTCAGACGATTCCCCGACTGAGTTGCCCCTAATGTATTTGGTTTTATAACTCCAGCACTTGGGTCCGGTGGGCTTCCTATCCACGCCTCTTCACTATGGGTGCTTATGATGACCCCCTCGGGTATGTTCTCTGGTCTCCAGCCTGGTATTGCGCTGACCCTCTGGCTCACACAAGATCCATTCTCATCGGAACATGGGTATCATCCTTACTGTTCATGCTCATTATCCAAGAGACGATAAAATATTACCGATCGTTCAGAAGGGACAGCCTGGTACTCAAAGTCTTCGTTGGCGTTGCTATCACTGTCGATGCATTGTCGCTCATTGCTGACTATGCTGACGTGTATTTGGTTCGACATTTCATAATTCTGCTCATGGAGCCTATCTGACGCGTCTACGTAACAGAACACAATCACGCACTGGGGTAAGATAGCCCTCTCCCCCTTGTTCGCAGATAGCTTACAATTACCCAAGGCGACAAGGAATTCATCCTGAATCAAGTGAGCCTTTAATATTCTACCTCCCCTGTCCAGGTAGCTGATATGAGCAAGTAGTACTGGCCCGTAACGTTGTATTTATCCACCACCTCTTTCACTGGATTCCTAGTCCAATCTTTTCTCGTCAACCGATACTGGATTTTGTCAGTCTACAGCTGTCACCATCCCTCTTCCACCGTTCTTATCAGTCAACAGGACGAGAAACATTGTTGTGGTTTCTGTCCTCGTACTACTCGTCATCGTAGCGGTGAGAAGTTGGTCCGTCATCATGGAATATTATCCGCTAAACCACATGCCAGTTCGGTGGCTCTTTGGCGACCGCAATAATGCTCACCATTTATAATGCGTATGCTGAACGAGGCCACGCCAAGGTCCCTGTTACTCTGTGGCTTACCTCGACCGCAGTGACGGGTGAGAGTCTTAACATCACCACCATGCTATCTCTGACCGTGATTTAGATATATCTATCGCAGCTGTTCTCATATGGCAATTGTACAACATGAAAACGTCCTTCAAAGCCACTGAGGGGTTGGTTTGGATACTTTGCGTTCAGCCACTAAGCTCACTCTCGCTCTGAAAGTTTAATTCAACGTCTCATACGATCTGCCATGCAAACTGGTTCCACGACATCAATTGTCGCCGTTGTAGTTCTTATCACATATCTAGTCAACAATGAGAGCAACAGTGCGTATCTTTCTTGGCTCGCCTCCGCCCTATAACTCATAAGTCTGTAGTTGAAACTGGTTTTGCGTTCATTCTTGGCCGGCTCTATATTCTCACTTTGCTGTACAACCTCAACGTCCGGAAAGTTTCCAAGAAATCCAACGCAGCCTCTTCGGATCGTGAATATCGTGCCGAAAGAGCCAACAATCCCACGTTCACATTTGACGGCATCCGTGAGTGTAAGCACCATCGGCACAACTGCGCCCTTAGCCCCTTTTTCGTAGACGTTCAACACACAGCTGTGGTCCACATGGACTCGATTGATGACGGTTTAGCATTACCGAGCATCTACAAGGCACAGGTAATTTTTACATGTCGGCGGCTGTCATGACTTTTCCCTGACAAGACTATCTATTTCTCAGGACCTGACGAGGACGGACGATGACAATAATAAGAACAAATCCGAAGGAGGATCTGATCAAGGATCTTACGCTGCAAATTCTGCCATCGATATTGTGTAAACGGTTAAAACAGGCGCTGAATTGCTGACCTCTGCTGACGCTCTGACACTTCAACTGTATCCATACTTTGTCTATACTCCGTGCCTGATTCCTGTTTTTTTTTTTAAATTTATCATCATCATCATTACGCGGCACGGTACCACTTGAGAACGTCGGAAGCAAGTTTCACGCGTATGAAAATTTTTCGATTGTAAAGGATGCGGGTTCAGCTGGCTCAGTGCGAGGGGACAGACATAAAGCATTGTATGGCTTCCAATATCAGAGGGACGGAGAGACAAATCCGAGATGCTTCCCAGAGGTATCGCAGTCTGCTGCACACAACAGGATACCATCCTCCTGGATCAGAAATTGAAAAAGCATTGACACGTTTTCACGACAATATTACACTGGCTACACAATTACAGGATTACACGCGGTAACTCCAGACAGACTGATGATTCTAATTTTCTGTTTCAATGACAGTACAGGCCCGCGATCACAGAATCCGTCCTTTGCAAAGCGTCCACCGTTAGTCACCGTTTCTAGCCAAATTGACAGACTATGAAGAATCAAGTAGAGATTTGGCACGGCAAAGCTTTAACCATCTGTTTAATTTCATTGACAACAGCCATAAACTCGGTGTACCCTGCAGGTTGCATAATTATCGTGTCTCAGCGCTCGAGAGGAGCAATATCAATGATGAAGTCATCAGAATCGGTGATTCGTGCAGGGGAGAGATGAAGAGTATAAGAATGACATTATATAAAGGATAGAACTTGATCTCGATTGTTCCGGTGTCTGCCAGACGAGAAGATTTGGCGACGATGTGGCCAAGCATGATAACGATGTAGAAGTCAGAGTCGTAGAGGACTGTGAGATTACTGGAGATGTACGAATACAGGAGACAAGTGACGGAATAACAAGTTAGGGTTTGCGGACAAGCCTGCCCTCATGTCCACGTGACATACGCGTTGAGTTCAGAATTTGACCTTGGCACGCGCAGCTTCTCTCCACCACCTTGGTCCTCGATGCTTTCTGACGTACCCTTGCGAGTGGCATCAACGAATAATAATATCCATCAACTACAACTACTCTCATGCCTGTGCCTTCATTGTCAAGTCTCTGGCTAACGCCTGCCAAGAAGATGGCAGCACCAATGGTTGTACAGCCAGCAGCATCTGCGTCAACGTCGACTGAAATCTATAACTGGACTTATAAACAAGCGGAAGAAGCTACAATACTTTGTTTTGTGAGAGACATACATGCAATGACTCAGCACATTGCCAAAGGTATGCCCTATCGTCCCCTGGGATGCTCAATGATAACATATCCAGATGAAACCTTTTTCTGGCTGGGTAAGGTGCCATGCCGAAGGGTCAACTTTGTTGGAATTGTAGTTGGAGTCCAGGACACCGGGAAACGGATCAAGATATCTGGTGAGCCTCCCGCCGAAGAAAGGCAACCTTACTTGACTTTGCTTGGTGCAGTGGACGACGGAACAGCGGTTATTGATTGCATTCAGTCTATTACATCAACACCAACACCTACTCCTGCGTGCCCATTATCTTCCCCGAAACCGACCGCTCTTCCAGCACCTAACACTGCCATACGGGTAGGCCATCTTGTTCGCGTTAAAGGCAAAATCGAAGAGTGGCATGATACCAAGGAAATCAAGATCGATGACATAGGCAGTATAGGTGTGTCGGCTAAAAAGCCTCATACTCTTGCGAGCTGTCTGACTCCTTTGTAGAACAGTGCAAGTCCTTCAATGAAGAACCCCTTCATTGGCAGCGTGTTTCCTCGTTGCATAAGACGTACTACTCTTCACAAGAACCTTTTGTTATTCCAAGTGCCACGAACGATACGCAGAATCAGGACGTTGACGCACGTATGTCCCAACCATCGATAGATGCCGAATATTTCTCGCCAATTCAAGAGTCACAGACCCCGCGCTCTCCACAGAGTCCACACGTGAGCCCACGCAACTGCCTGATTTTTTGTCATCTGGATTGACGACTGATGCTCAGAAATTCAAACATCCCTCTCGCCTTCCTTCATCGCAGTTGACTGACAACACGTTTCGACTCTACCTCCAATATTACATGCAAAATCCACCGCATGCAACTTCTCACGCAAGGTCCATACCAGATACGTATGTTGAGCCTGACTCCACGCTCCGGCCCCGTAACCATCACTTGCGAACGTCATCAGACATCGGTGGATTTACACTCTCATACTTGCGTCGAGTCCCTGAACTGTCCAATATGGCGAAACTGGTCGTCCTCGCTGATATCAAGAAATCACGCAGAAAAGAGAGAGAAGCTGCCAAAGAATCGTCCCAGAGTCTTAGAAAATCTCAGAAACCGAGCAGGGAGCGTTTGGGTCCGAAGAAGAAACAACTGTTTATCAGAGCCCTTGTGGAACTTATGAAAGAAGGCAGTATCATAGTCTGGGATGGACCTAATCATCCACTTTCTACCGCTTCCTTACTTGGACCTTGGAAATCCACGTCTGCTCATAACATATGTGCCAGCACCGGTATCTCTTCCACGGCGATGTCGTCCACTTCCATATCCACGCTGCAGGAAGACGACGACCCACTTTCTGATCCAGAACCAACGGAAGAGTCATATGTACCGTCAACGCCACAGTATACGGCGGAAGTAGTGGAAAAAGCGATGGTGAAGATGAATGCACTTCCACCGGATCGTCGGAGACCTTTGAACCGCCGGACAATAGCCGGGTTTCTTCAAACAACTGATGACCGTTGGAAGAATCTGGGGGATTGGGCTGTTCAAGACGCCCTGGAGTTTCTGCGGACCAAGAATAGAGTGAGGTTCGCTGGTACTAAAGGAAACTGGGAGTTGTGTCCGTGACTAGTCTCGCCCTTTTTCGTTTACCTCTTTGCTACAGCCACTTGTATTGAACCCAGGCAGGCAGTTCTATACCGCGGACAGCTGTGTTTACCATGAATGTGACTTAGAATTCATGGATTCGTTCCACATCTTCGAAGAGTCCTACAGGCAATTCTCCCGTTCGAGGACCACGGAAACGACCGGTATCGAAAAGAGGTGAATTTGCAAACGGAAGAAGTCCTTCATCCATCGACCGGATATGAAGCCCGTAAAGCCCGTGTGCGGTATTCTCTCAAGAATGAGAAGATCTTGGATTCCAGCACGGTCAGCGTAACAGCCCATCGGGAATCCGGGCCGATGTTGTGTCCAGTGAAATTCTTTCCGGTGCTTGATGTTGAAGAAAGTCTGGTTCCAGGTATCCTTGTTAACTCAACCTCAGCAACCTGATTATTTCACTCGAATTCCTGACATAGGAAGTTGTAATGTCGAAGGTTTCTTGCGACTAATCATGTAGACGAACGAACGTTTGGACTGGTTCACCTTCCAGCTCCGGTTGTCGTCTTACTGGGGATGAGCAGATCTTTCTAAAGCTCAGCTATGGTCTTACAGCAACTTCCTAGCAGAGTGGTCAAGAATTATATCCATCTTCCAAACTCGGTGATCGAAGCAATCAAGTCCGACCCAGATTACAGCCGCTTAGCTAGCTCCCTTGCGGTCAGCGATGATTTTTATGGTGTGAAGCTCGCTATATTGGACAGTGGCTCAGGAATCGACAAGAATACCTTGCATTCCCGCCTTTGCGTAGCAGAGGACTACCCAGCGAACGCATTCCTCCACTTTGCAGTATTCAACGGGAGATCTCTTGACCACATGAAACTATTTTGCTCGAATCCAACATCGATGTCCTCGATTTCGAAGGATACCCTCCGCTACACGTTTCTCTCCATCCCGTACGCGCCATTCAGCTTGGCAAATCTTCCTCTATCAAAAGCCCGCGCCGTCGCCTCCAGAATGCTACGTTCCACCTTCTTCGTTTCTTTCTAAGGCCTGATTTGATTGCCTAATTCAATGCTATCTTTGAACGTTACGCCGCCGACCCTTTCGTACGAGGGCCTCGACCGTGTTCTTGCTTTTCAGGCCTACCTCTCCCCAAGTGTCACGCGAAAGAGGACAAGGCATACTCTTCCGACCTCATTTGTCTCTGCCGTAGTGAGAAAAGATTTGGGCCCTGTTGCAAGAGGAGGAACATTTTCGCATACAGCAGTGGAATGAGTCGCATCAGCGCATCGTAGTCAGTTGGTCTAATCACATTCCGTCCGATCCCCTCGAGCAGGAACTGATGCACCCCATGCACAGAATCATCGAAAGGGTACAAAATGCGGTGTCTACGCCAACAGATGGAAGACGGACGATCAGTTCAGACATCTTGGATGTCGCCAGAAGATAGATTCAAGACTTTATGAAAGTGACCTCTGCTGTCAAGGCATACGAGTACGTTGAGAATTTGGCGTTCCACCGCATAATCAGTCTCCTAAGTTCGCTGTTCCTGCTGTGCCCGTCTCTACGCCCACTGGACGATGACAAAGTACAGCATTTTGTCTGCACTGCCAAACGACCTGGAACGCGTTAGTGGACCAATATACTGAGACCTCAGGGGACAGCCGAACGAAGCGAGCCTCGATATCGAACGTGGAGCAAAATTAGGTTTTTCCTTGGGTGTCTTCTACCGCGTTGTCATGGAAGGCGGCAGCGTACCCAGGCACAAGCTCTGCGAGTACAAAATTGTGGGTGTTGCTTCTCATTTTGCGGTGTCTATTTCGCTCATTTGTTGCTGGATGGTCCTATTTCAGCACCATGCCAGAAGGCCGCTTGGAAGACTCACAAGAAAGTATGTGGGAAACTAGGACAGCGAGAGCAGGCGTTACCGGTATATATAATCGATTTAGCGCCATCTTCTGGTTCACTTATTTGGTTCAGTCGCAGGAAAGTCAGTCTCGACAAGTTTACGTGGGAGAGATTCGCAGAAAGGCTTGAAACCCAGACTGCGCCGATAGCCATGTTAAGAGAAGACATGCAGCCAATGGACGAACAATCTAGGCGGCAGCTTTGGGATACCATAAAGCGTGTAGAGAGAGGATTACAGCTTAGTCTCGGATAATAGGAAAATGATCGTCTAAATTGCATGAAGAAATAGAAATCAAAAGGTATTTACCATTAGAATACATTAGGTAGCACAAAACAATATGATCTTGATGTCACCGTCAACACTTCGTGTCCTATGTCGAAATGAAATGGATACCCCGAGTCGGACTCCGCGTCGCTTGTCATGGTGGACCAATTTCTCAAAGGCTTCGGTGCTAGTAGTTATGTCAGATTGGATAGATAGATTCATTAGTTGAATAATAACGCGCACTTTCGCGGCTACAGGCTTGTCAAGATCTTCAATCTACTTGCAAGTCCAGACGCAGGACGGTGTTTTTATACCAGTCAGACTGGCAGTCGCTACGAGTGTCAGCATTAGGTGCCTTCAAACAGCGCAAATCTCTAACTAGATCTCATTCTTTGAAGTACGAAAATGACTGACAAGACAATCAATATCCAACAAAGAGACAGCAAGCGCCGATGATTGTCAGATATTCAACTTGTGAAAATAAAAAATGAAAAAGTAAATGTGGCAACTTGAATTTGAGAAGACTCAGGCTCTCGACAGATGGCTCAGGATCACATCGAAAGACGAATGAAATGTCTGGACTCTGTAGTAACCATACCACCCAACTTGAACTTCTGAGATCTGCGAACTCAGCAGCGGATTCGTCTAGTCAAAACAGCTATTGCGGCAATTGCAAAACAGACCCATGTTCTTTGCGGACTCTATTATTTACGTACGTGATAGTGGGAAGTAGGGATGATGAAGAGGGATGGACCATTCATATTTGTTCGGATCAGACATGTCTGACTGTCTGACTCTGCCCTGGGTACATATGTACGTCCAGAAGACTTCGATTCTAAAATTGCATTCTGCCAACCGCCACTGCGAAGTACATACATAATTAGACAGACATGCATAAGGCGCAGCTGCAGTGTCTGCAGTCGCCATAGTGATATTCAGGAAACGACACTATCAATAGTCCAGAGGCAAAGCGACGACAAACACAATTTAGACGGCAGAAGGAACAACCAAGAACGGAGGCAATAGGTCAGTAAGATTACGATAAGATAAACAGAAAGCGATATCAATATTACGACGGTAAAAAGTTGGAACCACCTTGTCGTCTGTATCCATGTGCACGTAGTCGTCCCGAAGTTGCTTTTTTTTCACTTAAGCATCATTTGATTCATTTCTAGTAGCTGGGGATATCACTTTATCCGACCTTTCGACAAGCCAGCCGGGCAAGACGCTAAATGTGGGTAACAAAATGCCAGCAAGTAGACATCTCTAAACACTCTCAACTTGATGAACCTTGCTACCGAAGTCTTGGTTTTCTTTACACGTAAGGTCCTATTGGTCTTCCGAGATGCGCTTTAGCAATGAACGGTCTGATATTTTTGTCACAGTAATCTCCCACAGCGATAGCCCATTATCTCACATCTTCCGGACAGAGCATATACCGGAACCGCCACCTTCTATCCATAGGCTCGGTGGAGAGTGCCCAGAGAATGCCCGAGCTTTACACCACACTTGATATCAACACTTTTCCAGAGTCGTGTGCGCCCTTACAGAGGACCTTGCGGTGCCACCGAATGAATAGTGAGACTGAAAACAAAAATCTACATTAGAGATATAGAAATGTCTGTATTCTTTCACCAAGACCGACAATGTGCGCTATTCAGAGCAAATCGGTACGGGAACAAAATCAATGCCAGAAGGGTTCCACCGAGGATGAGGTTTACTAGGGCATGGTACTTCTTGGCTGTATAGTGTACGTCCGACCCTTCTAGGAATAGACCGCGAGTGTCCTTTTTACGATAATCATGATGACAAAAGATGTTGGCCCACTGTTCACACACCAATAAGTTCCACAGGGTTTGTAGCGTTGATGAGGCTAAATTTAAAAAACACGTCCATGCTTCTGTGAGATAAGGAGGTCGAACAAACGTTCATCTGTAAGTAATCACGAAGGACCCCCAAAAGCAAAGGCGAAGGAAGAATAGATAAGTCATGAAGCTGGATGATGGATACTTCAACCGAGGCGAAGAATAGAAATGGCTGTAGAACGTGTGTACATGATGCATCAAAAAGGGCTGCGCCATATTCGCGAACAACTCTACGCAGTAAAGCTCTTGCTGGCATCGGTGAGGACAGCTTCTAAGACAAGGTTGACATCAGCATGCTGTAGAGAAAATGACCGACAGGTGGGATAATACGGCGAGAAGTAGCGTGTTTAGGTGGCCAGCGGTAAGTTTACTCGGCATGAGCTTGAACGTAGAGGCGCAAAGTAAGAACGGAGAGGGTAGTGGCGTGAAACCTTCGACATCTGGAACATCAACGCTGAACGATAGATAAGAAGATAGACAGCTTCATGGGCGTGAAATTCACCTCCTGTGTAGCGGCCGGTTGGAAAAGAGCGGATTTTTGAGCCTTCATGATTATCTTCTTCGAAGCATAGGTAGAAATCTTACACAGAACATCGTCCGCGTTGGCACCATCAATGATAACGCCAATACCGAGATATTGCACCGAGTTGGACGATAGCCGATAGGTAATCAGGACGGCTGAATTCTTGACCATGGCTGGTATTGGCGTTGAAAAGCATTCAGAATTTAAAAACAAAATCTGCTCTACGAAGCTATCGAGGGTCCCGGTCAGGAATGGTCCTCGTCGTCGTCGTGGTCAAGGGAAAAGGGCTGACAGTGTGACCAGCCGTGACCAACGGTTCTCCTCCGAACCTCTCCGAACAGACATGTCGACCTCGACGCCCCAAGTACTGTGCAAATAAAATGTCGGTACCTTTGCATTGCTGAATATCGGTGCGTCCTCTCAAGCACAATATTTTTCCATCTTCTGATAAAATTTCTTGTTTCTCTGTAGTCATGCATCCTTCCAGTTGCACATGAGTCATGACGAATGATTCCGTATTTTTCAGCAATCTATGATAGTGAATCGTGCGACATTAATCCATGCTTCATCATCAATCATGCTTTTCGACAATTACATGACTGTCTAGAGCGTCGATATATCATATCGCGACGCGAGTGCTACGTAGCCGCGCGCGTGTTTCAATGCCGTCAGCTGTCCACAGGCCATCTGCGTCGACCTTTTCCCACTGACTCCAATCCTTGGACAAAGAAATCCCCAAGCATGTCTTTCTGCATATGCAGCTACTCCGCAGGAAATCCCTTTTTGCTTCGCGAAGTTGGAGAGCTCCAATGGGTTGGAAATTCCGAAAAGGCGCGTATTCGGTGTAGCATTGTGTCACATTTGCACAGCCGGTGGTTTCCTTGTCTGGAAGATCTGCTCATCATTAGAGGCCAATATCCACTTTTAATCGATTGCCTACGCCACCTCGATACCCATCATTGATCGTACTAATCTATTCTTCATTTTATTCTGCGCCGGCAGTGCATTGGTTCATCAGAATATTCTATCAGCGTCAATGAAGTCTAGACTAACGATACGTTGGGAATCCTCGACGTATGGATGCTGTCTGAAAACTCGGAGTATATGCGTGCTTCAGTGATGGCCGAAACTGCGAGTGTGTAGACGCGCTCAGCACCAATCAACTAGGAGCTGAACTGATCCCGTACCAAGACTTTAGGTGACGGGTTTTCTTCTCGAAATTAAACTTTTCATTCATATGGTGCTTTAAAGACCAAGGTCCTAGTTGCCGAAAGCCCCCCCTATGCTAGTCTTATGCGGGTCCGCTTTTAGAGTGCTTGACTGAGCAAACGAGGCCACTCATACGCCGTAATTCTGCCTCGATGCACGTCTTCCAAAGATCTTCCTGTCGTCTGAAAATTTCACCTGCCTATGAGAACGGAAGGACTGAACCATCGTCGCCATTACTTTGGGAACTCCTCGGTTTCTACAAAAGCAAGTACAAACGAAGGCTAGGATCTAATTTTGCTCGACCATTATTAGAAGCGTTTGTTGAAAGATGGTTGATGAAATGAAAGGCACGATGCCTGAATGGGTGATAGGAAACTTAGAACGTGCGCAACGGTCGCTCCATAGGACAATGCATATGTTAGAAATGATCGTGGGATTGATCGTACCGGTTAGAACTAACCCGGACTGGCGTTATTCTTGTCCTGTTCTGGTGGCAAGTGTTGCAGGGCCTTCGAATTCAACAGCGTCATCGAAATGATTATCAGGTGTGTTCCTGTCATTAACGATTTGACTTTCTAGGCTAACATCATTTTAACATTGTAGCCGTGTGCAAAGGCGGCGTCAAGCTGATTCTCAGGAAGTCGTCTGTTTACAATCCCAGGGCAATGTTCGATCTTTCAAGCACCAATGTGTCTTCATTTCGGTCCCAAGACATCCGTGAATGCTACTTTTTTACGACATACGCTGAGAAAGTGGTGGACTAGAATATTTACAACGGAAAGTACTTCTCTTCCGTATCTAAGTGGGATAGGTATCTATCGCGCTTCCAGACTATTTACGAACACGATCCCGGCACCTGCTCGTACTCAGAGATCGCGGCAACCTTAGCCGCCGAAGCGGAGCTCTTGTCAAAAGTGTAACCGAGCCACTCCTTGGCAAGCCTGCGAGCAAGCTCGATACCAACGACACGCTGACCCATGCAGAGAACCTGTGCGTTGTTGCTTAAGATGGCACGCTCGACCGAGAAACTATCGTGGGCAGTAACGGCGCGTATTCCTGGGACTTTGTTCGCAGAAATGGCCACCCCTTGGGAGAAGATGGTTTAGTTATCGCGTCAAATGATGCAACAGTAGACCTACCAAGACCTGTTCCGCAGATCAGCAAGCCGCGATCAGCCTCACCTGCTGCAATCTTCTTTGCAGCATTGACGGCGACATGTGGGTACGCAGTCTTCTCATTCGAGTCGACGACCCCGACATCGATGACCTCTGAAACTCGCGGGTCCTTTTGCAGGTCAGCCTTGAGTGTGTTCTTGTATTGAACACCAGCCTCCTATAATAAACGGTCAGGTCATTGTGAATGGTCGTGGGTTGGAGGCGTACTCACATCACAGCCGACGACGACGCGCAATTGGGTTTGAGCCATTGTACCAAATACGAGGAATGGGTGTTTGGGTTTCTGGGGCGGTACCTCGCCAGTCGTGGTCTACTTAACGCTCATCGAGATTCCAGGGTCCTTTATGCGTGTTTTGCAGCTCCACACATCACGAAGATGGAAGGACCCTCATTTCCAATGTTTCTCCGGTTAATTTTCGAGTCTCACGCTATCTCATATCTGTTCTATTTTTTCAAATCCTGTGGAGTCCATTTATGTTACTGCATGCCGACTGTCGTCTTCCGCTTCTCGGTGTCCCGTTTGCAAAACAGCACAGGAATATCCTGAGGAGTTACGAAGGAATCGACGTCCCATTAGGTTAAGCCGGTGTTTGCACCATTCATACAACCTTAGGCTCATCCTTTTTGTTATCTCTCAAGTTCTAAAGATATCTGTTCTTCGTGTGTCCACGATGCAGACGCCGCCTAAAACGACCTTCGATGTTCCATGCTAGTCGGACAAATCCGGCGTGCTCGCGGTTCCTGTGGGCCTCGTTTTCCGTTCATAGAATTTCATCTCCTACGTCATAACCTTGGGTACTACAGCCATCATTTCATATCTTTTCCCCTTAGCCATCTGGTATCTTCTGCTTACGGTGTTCAACAGTGCGAAAGACCTTCATGTTCTCCTGTTTTACATGGGAATTATGCCTAGAACGTTGCAAAAGTTGATGTGTCCTATCAGCACCCCAAATTTATATCCATCAAACACCCATTCTTTTTCGAAATTGGGTAATCATCCCCAATCACACCCGCCTTTCAAGGATATATACCGAACCACAAGGGGAAACGTGGACAAAGAAAGATACGGATAGGGTGTGGTTTATTCCGGGATACCACTCGCTTTTGGTAGGTAACTCATTTTTGCGCTTCTTCGCATATGTATTTTGCAACAATACTCTTTCAGCCAATTGTTTTGGGTCGGAGATGCCTTCAGGTGGTATTTAAGACCACCGAATTTGCCAACCACTCCATATCGCTTCCCCAGTCATGTCAGATCTTGATTTGAAGTCCATCCTCGACTTTACTGTCGCTCTCGCTTACGACGCTGGGAAATTGATTATCGAGGGGTCCGAGGCTATCCAGCAACCAGCATCTGTCGTTGACATCAAGAAAAACGCTGTTGACCTTGTCACTGAATATGACGTCAGAGTCGAGGAGCTTGTCAAAGAAAGACTTGGGGAGAAGTATCCCTCATTCCAGTTGTACGTATGCTTTTTACCAGAGCGCGTTTATTCACGTATACTGACTCTCTTGACAGTATTGGTGAGGAATCTTACGCGGCAGGTGCCCGACCAGAATGGACAGACGAACCGACGTGGTGTGTTGACCCTATTGGTTAGCAGATGAGCATCCAGGTCACTTTCTTCGCGCTAACACGTTTTCTCTAGATGGAACAACCAACTTCGTCCATGGCTTCCCCATGGTTGCTCTCTCTATTGCTCTCTTAGTCAAGCGCCGTTCAGTTTTGGGCGTCATCTATAACCCCTTCCTTGAAACCCTGGTGAATTATTCGAATTTTGGTTTTCTTTCTCTTCTCACGTGCATCTCCAGTATACGGGCATCAAAGATGGGGGCTCCTATGTCACACGTGGTGGCCCCGAGGGTGTCCGCCGCAAGCTACCTTTTGCGAACCCTCCTCAGCCCTTTCCTTCGTTGAGCAAAGCACAACTAGGTTAGACTTCATTAATCCTCAATCAGCTCTTGTGCCTTGACAAATGTACCTCATAGCTGTTGAATGGGGCTTCGATCGTCGTATTCCACCTTTGGCTGCTCGTGCCGAGAGTTTCCACAGGCTGGTCAGCGACGCTGCCAATGGAATACACAAGGCCCGCATGGCACACTCCTTGCGGTCTCTCGGTACCTCGGCTATGAACTTCGTATACGTCGCACAAGGTGCCTTCGACATGTACTGGTAAGTAATTGGGACTTATATGAGGTGTATTGATGCGATCGTTTATGATGTTCCTAGGGAGATCGGGCCCTGGCCCTGGGATGTTGCTGCAGGAGTGATCATTGCTCAAGAAGCAGGCGGATTGGTCACCGGTTCCCATGAGGTCTTTGACGCAAGCAAAGACACCATCACATTTGGCGAGGTCGGCGAGGAAATCCTGACGTCGAGGAAATATCTCGTCATCCGTCCAATTGGTGATACTGAGGTCTGTTTCTGTACTAAGTTGGGAGTTGACATATCACTTATGGCTCTCTGTAGAATGAGACAGGTCGGGAAGCTCAGAAGCGAATCATCTCCGAGTTCTATGAGACTGTCATTGACTATGATACGGTTTAGGATATTGAACTATGGTCAGCTTAGCGTCGAGCTCGTTGCATTTGTAGGACCGCTGTTCATATAGAGTACTTTCCATAAAAATGTGTATCAAATGATTATGTAAATTTATTCAAGCAAGTCTTCAGCCAATCTTTCTTACTATGTGAAGCTCGATCTTTACGCAAAAGGATTGCCGCATGCACACACCCAGCTGTCTGCTGCATGTAACTCAGAGTGCCAACGCGAGAACCTGCTGCTTTTGATGGTCTACAGGCAGGTACCCGCGTCAATGAGAAATAATGATAGGTAAATGTGCTACATCGAAGGAAAGATCTACTCTCCCTTCTTCGCCTGCAGTAGCCTCTTTGGTCCATTATGCTGCACGAGGACAGGGACATACGCGAGAAAGCAGATACCGCAATGTTTGCCGGGGTATGAATCTCAGACTGAAATTCTTGAGAACTCGGAAAAATCAAGTGTGGTCGGTCTCGGCTGTGAGGCAGAGCGGTGTCGAATCGAGTCATCGTTACGAATCTACGAGAATGGCTATGTCCGGTAATGGATTAGAGCTCCATAGAAAAATCTTGGCCTAGAATTGTACCGGGCCCGATGTCAAGTTGAAGCAAGCTGTTCCATAGAGATGTATCTACGACGAATGTCACGGCGAGGTGAGAAATGTTAGAACAAAGCAAGACATAATCCCTGGTTTACCAATTCTTTGCTGTATGTCTTGTTTCATGATACGATGACCCTTGTGCTGGCGGCATTGCCCCATATAGAAGCGCGTCGGCAGCGGTACCTGTCAGTCGAGGGCCGTCGCCGATCATCCTGTTTCCACTGCACCTGACAAGCAAAGCACCGAGAACCAACGCATTGAGTACAGTTAAGACTGCACATGCATGGCACTCTCATGTTTTTTGGGAGATTCAATATATAGGTCACCAGGTGTCGTAAGTAACCTCAGATGTACATATGTAGTATGTTGAAAATACTCATTTGCCATTGGCAAGGATAGCTGTAGCCGTAGGCACTCACAGGTGTGAGATTCTTATTGGTCGCCATAAAGGTCTCCAGAGACAACACCGAGTGTCTTGTCTGGGAGCAGAAGCCATTCAAGGAACGATAATCTTGAATCTATTCCCTTGACGCTGACATTCACCGCCGTGGCCACCGAACGTTCTCGTTAACGTTGAAAGATGCAGGATAGTCAATCTAGTCTTACCCAGCCTTCTACGTGAATCTCGCTCTCACGATGCAGGAAATCAAAGGCCATGACTGGCCAAAGAAGCTTGGGACTGCCATACCGCTTCGTAGTCACCGTAAAGAAAGGCTCGTACCGTACAAGCCACTGAGCTCGCTGTGGTCTTCTGATCCATGACTGGTCTGCTCCCTTCACAATCTGCAAAAATCCGATTCTCGGGTGAATGAGAATCTATCCCTTCGTTTACTGAGTTTACCTCATGCGACTAGCAGGTCTGCCTCCATGCTTATACCGATACAATACTCGCTTAGTCACTACGGTCATGGCGGGGCTGTTGGGTAAACAGGTGCACCTGCGGAAAAATATAACAGGTATTAACTGAATTATTTACACAATAATGTCTCTGTACGGGCTAGGTGATGCGTACCACGGCTCCGACCACAACAGTCTTGGCCACAAATTGCGCTCTCGGCTATTCTGAAGATGGTGGGTAAAAAATATCATTTACGTCAAAAAACGACACTGACCGACGAACGGTGGCCCAGCCTGCGAAACCAGCTCTTGCCGTACCAAACTAATGTGACAGAGGTGGCTTACAAGATCGATAGTAGTTTCCTCCAGTGGATCCCGATCTGAATAGTGAAGCGAAAATCATATGGTCTATATTTATGTTTTGATCCCTGACAAGGACGCGATTTGTGGCATTTGGTGGACAGAAAATCAGAGCCACAATGGGAATCCTTGAATTTCGGAACGGACCAGTCAGCGGTCCCGCCTAATTAATGGCGAGGTATGTGCGGCCCAAAGGTGACGTGTTGAATATGATATTATGCGACCGCAGGTGTCGATGTGACAGAGAACGCCACGGATTTCTGACCGGACAAGAATCATTAAAATATACAGTACACATTTGTACATACCGCCAGCCGGAGAGCAACCGTCATGTCCGTGTCAATTATGAGATAAACACTTTCCGTAGCGCGGTAAATTCACAAGTCGTGCCGCTCCGAGGGCATGTCACAATGCCATTATTTCTTGCGGCCATGTCTTCCAGAGCCTGTCAAATCGCGGGTTCCGTCAATATGTCTGGACCAGGGAGATGAAGAAGAAAGGGTATGTACCTCCCGAGAATATACATGCCCATCTGGAAAAGCCATCGGACCATTGTCCTCGTCCATTATCTTACCGCTGATCCGACAGACAATGACCGAATTTGCATGATGGCTCATTGGGACGTCTTTTGCAAGGCATCCAAGCCCTAAGCCTTCTCTGGCGTCGCCAGAGCGATCTCGCCCGCCCCAGCCTACGTCACAAACAGGACAGTCAACGTTGCGCGTGTCATGACTGCTGCATGCAGGAAGCTTAAGAGCAGCAATACCAGCGTAGAGAGCTAGATATAGTATAGGTTCTGTCGGAAAGGCATTAAGGGCGTAAACGCTGGAACGAAAAGATGTAGTAAGTGTCGTCCAACGTGATATATCATATAGTCGCTAGAACAAAGCGTGTCTTAAAACCATTGACAGGAAAAAAAACGCAGGTCTAGATACCTTGTAGACACCACAGTTTGTCCCCGGTCCGAAAGCCAACAGGCAGGCAGCTTGCTGAATGGGTTGAAGATGCGTATCCTGCCATGCTATCAGATACCGCTGCATGTATACGATAGCATCCTGCTTCTCTCCACGTCTACACATCTCAATGTACTCTTGCAGTCGCAGCTCAAACTCAAGCGTGTTCTTCATTTTCCTTAGCGCTGCTTTGTTTTCGCTACACCAAGCCAAAGCCTCAGTACATCTATGTTCTGAGAGAGCAGATTCGATGCGATGCATGTCCATGAACAGATCTATATCCACCAGCGTCTCGATACCTCGAGACTGGGCTATCGAGCGGGCAGTTAAAGGCTTTCCCGTACGCAGAGCCCAGTCGACAAGCCAACGGTCGAGCTGGGTAGAAGTTGACGTTGATGAGTCAGAGAGATGCTGTAGACGCTCCCGGATAACATCAAGGGTTGGTTGACCAGAGATGGTGTGCAAATCTGAGAGCTGCACGTCGGTGAATACATAGCTCGAATTGAGCACGCAGCCAGCGCACCTTTCGTTTCAGTCCCTCTACCCTCGAAATCATTGAATCTATCTCCTCTACGCCTAACCGTGACCCAGTGGCCGTTCGCTTGATGAGCTCGCCGAAATCCCTTTCAAAATGCTTCTGAGACGTCCGAAATACGCGGCGATAGTTCTCATACGGCACCTGAATGGAAGAATCAGGTTATATTTCTGCTAGACAGCAATATAATCGTACACGCGTGAATGGCTGTTCTATGTCCGTCATCGCAATGGGTCGTCAGTAGTATCAAGATGGAATTAAGAGGGAGGATGGAACCCAGAAAACACGTGGCTCCTGGCGGTATTGCTTACAAAGTCTCACGGTGCGCCACTCTAAACTTCCATCAACCGTAGGTTCGCTGCAGGGAGAAGTTCAGCATATTTATAAGCAAAAATATTTGGATATCTGTATTCAAATGATGCAAGTAAATTGGTTGAATAAATACTCGGACCTTGGCTCTTAGGCACGTGAACAAATAAGAATGTACATAGGTATGGTATGGTATATACTTTCTGAGATGACTACCAGCTTGCAAAATATAATTTTAATGACCACATTCCTCCAATAAGCCCCATAGCCGATTTGAACGACTGACCTCACCATTCCGAGGATACGAGTGGCGCGCTCTACCACTGAGCTAAAAGGGCAACACCTATTGCTAATGTCCTGAAGTATTTGATCCCTCACCAACACCTGGTCCTACAGCTTTTCTGAGGTCCGAGTCTGCCAAAGGTCTTCGTTCTTCTATCGGCCAGACGTTATTGGCCCAAACCTGCATATCACACGTTCTGAGGGGACACATACGGCTCACTACAACAGAACGCAAAGCTTTCGCAGATTACAGGCGTAGATCTCGGTTTTTGTGCCGGTGTCGCTCAATTCGCTACCTGTTTCGCTCCACTATTCTTACCTTTCTTTCCGTAAGGTACGTACATATGCACATTCTGTACGTTGGTTTAATGTTTCTCCATTTGTTTTCGAGCTATCAATTCCTGGTTCAAAAACAATCGTCAAGTAGACGTCAATTCCGTAATACAGTCTAACTGCGGTACCGCGGTCAATTGGTAGGAACCTCGGCAGGTGCCTTCGGTGCTTTTCGTGTTTTTCCGATCCTTTGTGTGGCCCTAGGTCTTGTTTTCGTTTCTTTTCTATTAGCTCCATCTTATGTACAGCGTCCGGTGATACGTTCTATCAGCGAGTCTTAGTGCATGTACGTATGGGAGCTACACGAGGCGGGTACATGAGCGCAGGTGTAACGTACGGATCCCGTCAGCTACCAGGACGCACGCTCTAGTGTGCGTCTCTCTAAATAACGAGGTAGTATTATTCGGTACATGGGAGGTGTACGACAGCCTGAGACCAGGGGCGCTTCTGAAACCCAATGTATGTATAGTAGGAAATCCTATCGGACGTAAAAAATTGTCCTCCAACCCGGTGACGACAGCGACAAGGGTCCAGGGTGCAATTCTAAATTCAGATGGCGTCACTGCAGGGATGCAAAGGCCTGAAGGTACCGTACGCGGCAGTGTACGCCTATTTCCAGGACACCATCCTCTCACCCCCTTAATTAAATGCCGTTAAACCAGGGACTAACTCCAGCATCGTGGGACTGGTTGGTGGTTCACCCTACATTTCAATCATTATAACGGGTCCGAGATCTGGTTCGTGAGCTCAGCGCTCACTGTACCCCCACCCTGATCCGTAATACCGCTGTGTGTTCTGGAGCTAGACATACTACCCATGGCAACGCGTGGCTTGATTTCTTCTTAAATTCCCACCTTGTCACTTAACTCAATGGTTGGGAACGATTGCCACTGGGTTGGCTCGCCAGGTACTTGGTGATGAACTTTCTACACAAATTGCGAGGAAGATCACCATCGATCAGAGATCATCCACGTGGGAATGATCCGACCCTTCAGGTTCTCGGGTTCCTCCTCCAAGTTGGAAAGTTCTTTCAACTGAGATGGGGAAGAAATGCCATTGTCAGTAAAGTCCCGAGGATTCGTGTATGTTACTGCTCCCACGGAAGCAATGTCGAGTCTTACTACAATCCCGTAACCAATTGCCATTTCGTAGTCTGAAATATCTCATGACATTTGTTTTTCATCATCGACTAACTATATCATCGAATGGTCATGCATACCTTCCCACGCTTTCAAGGAATACTTGTAATGATGAAATGCCATTCAAGAATGTTTGTGTGAATCACGAGCAATATTCAAGTTATCACGCGTCCGTTTTACTCCACCTAACATCGGCGTTGTTACGGAAAACAGTGGAGTTGTAACAGACTGCTTCGACGAATTTTAATCCAATATTCATGAGATATTTGTTGCAAATTGTATTATCATTTTTACGGGGAGACAATTCCGTCCGAGCCAACGGTGTTGACTTGGTTCAACTACGGTCTTGGTGAATCTGATCGATAATATTACTGTCAATTTCGTCGATTAAACAACTAGGTAGTATCATATCCGCCAGGTAAGTGCTCGTCCGATAAATACGGCTTTACTTTGTAGACAGTTTTCAGTATACATTGTACTTGTCGTACTGCACATTGGGAGAACCTAAAGCGAATTGACGTGCATGGCACTCATTGTACAGTGAAGACAAAGGAAACGGCGGATTTGTTTTTTTTTTCGATAACCCTGGATCAACCCTAAAGTTGGGTTTAAGCTGCGGCACAGCGTCCCAAATTTGGGGCAGTCGATCACAGACACGTGGCGTTTTCTGTTCCTTTTAGTTTTTACCCCCATCGAACCGACGTCTGGGACGTAGATTCCGTTGCTATTCCCGTCGGCTCTATACTCGGAAATTTAGATTGGCAATTTTCTCTCTTACCAACAGGGACAAGGATACCCCCGACATCGCCACTTGGCATTTTCCTACGCTGTTTCCATCTCAGATCTTTAGTGTTCACGGGAACAGATACATTCACCATGGCCGTAAGACGAAGACTATCCGAAGCGACAGCGCTCGTTCCAGACCTTCATGTTGGAGTGCCAAATCTCTCCAAGACGCTCCATATACACGAGGTACCTGCCTGGATGAGAGATAACGAGTATATCGTCTCTGGGTATCGAAGGTATGGTGGAACCATGGCGCTTATCTGTTCGTTCCCGGAACTGAGTTTGAATCGCAAATAGAGCCCAAAATCACTGGCGGGGATGCTTCCATTCTGTCTTTGGATGTGAGTCCGCTGGTCGACATACTTTTTGAGTTGAAATCAGCTCATTGTTACCAATCCCCATTTTGTTCTCCGTCGGTCTTCCATATTGCACAGATTTGCACAACGAAACTGGTAAGTATGTTACCTGCCAGGATAAAGTATGCGGGCCACTTAACATCCCCAATAGTCAATATCCACAGCCATCTCTGGGGCGCGGCCTTGTTCCTTTATTTCCTTATTACATTTCACCCCAACTTCCTAGAACCGTACCCGAAAACGACATGGATTGACTTATTCGTTTTCGTGACATTTTTATCTTCGGCGGTCTTCTGTCTAGGTGCAAGTGCCTTCTTTCACACATCCACCTGCCATTCCAAAGAGGTACAACACCTTTGTTTTCTTTCCGGTTTTGGCCAACTTCACACCCCCTTTGTTATAGGTAGCGTCGCGTTGTGTAGCACTCGACTATTCGGGGATCGTCGTACTCATCTTAGGATCCTTTTACCCATCTATATATTACGGCTTGTTTTGCAGTCCCTATGCCCAAGTGACGTACATATCGCTACTCACCGCGGCCGGTCTCGGTCAGTGGGATGCTTAAGATTTCCTCAAGCTGTAGATGCTGATATTCGCCGCCCATTCCAGGCGCGGCGTACGTTGTTCTCCAACCAGAATATGCTCGTGCCACACATCGCGGACTGCGAACGAGCGTATTCATCGGTTTAGGACTAACTGGGGTTATTCCCGTGTGTCACGCATTGGTTACCCATGGCTTCCTGAAGCTTTTCTCAGATATGGGCTTAAATTGGCTTTTGTTTTCGGGGGGATTATACATCGCGGGGGGCATACTTTAGTACGGTTCCGTCTTCTGATTGTGAAGATAGGCAGACTGACAAGTTTCCTCTTCAGTGCAAATCGTATCCCAGAACGGTTCTCGCCAGGGATGTTCGATTACTTCTTTTCTTCGCACCAGATATTCCATGTATGTGTTGTGATAGCCGCCCTGGCACATTTTGCCAGTATTTCCACTGCTCTGGATTTCTGGCACAGTGAACAAATGTCGTGTCAGCTGTAGATGGATGCTGTCGTTAATGCTATTGTCCTGTCATAGCTCAATGCCTTCTTTTGTCGTGGCGGTCGCGAAGTCTCCATCAAAAGAGACATTTCTGTGTCTTGCCTAGTCATATGTCGTTAGTCAACGGCGCCATGGTCCGAAGGGCGGTTCGCCTGGTTGAGTTGGAGTGTGCAATGTGTACCCAGATTCGTGGCTGAGTACTGTCATCCGATGGATCAGATGTCCCTGGCATGCAAGGGATTTTGAATACGTTCTATACACTTATCATTCCTAGGAATAGTCGTTCTTTGTGGATATCTAATTTTGGGAGGATTGGGACACTGATTGGATATATAATTTGAGGACGTGAGACTCTTCGGAAGCGCATGCATATGCTCATCAGGGCATCATTCGGGGTTCTTTGCCTGGGCGCGGCCTGTTGTCATGTGCACTTGAACGTATAAAGCCTTTAAAACTTGGCTTTGACTTGCGAACTTTGAAGGGATCGTGGCGGCGGATGATTTGATACTGCCATTTTTGGTTTTAGACGGACTCTCCCGATCTGGGCCGATCATGAATGTACCTTCAACTTGCTCCCTCTCATCTCGCTCTCCACCTCGAGAAATGCAAATGATCCTATCATTTGTCTTTTTTCTGATTTCTCGGTCGATTCACATATCAGACAGGAACCTTCCGGACACTTTACGGCGGCGACGAGTTCTATCTATACTCTTCTCAAGACGCGTACAACAGAAAAACATTTACAGACAGAAATCCGCAGTCCGTAATTGGTCTACCTAAGGGAATCACGGTGTCATACCAGCATATTCCAGCCGAGAAATGGACTCCGATCACAGGCAGTGTAAGCTCGTGAATCCGGCGACGTACCAACTTGACAAACTATCGATGAGCTTGAAACGTGTTCGTAGGGAGAGGCCTTCCAAGGCACGACCCTTCCGTACCGGGCAATCGAACCGCCAAGAACAGTAGGACATGAGGGGGCCATCTCGGAACCGACCTCAGAATCCACAATACCCAATCCCAGTTTGTTGGTCCATGACTACATATTCATTTCACTTACTTGTAACCCAAATAAAGGTACCCTGCAGTGGCACGATCTCCGAGCGTTTGTAAAATAGTTCTATTCATTTCCGGCTACCGATCTCACGACAGTCCATAGACTGACTCCGTGTTTGGGTTGATGCTCCCTTTGTGAACCATAACACCGTACCTCGTCACGGTTGCGCGCCGAGAATTATTGATTGGACATATTTTCGTGTCATCCGCGGGTCGGGTCCAGCCATCACCCTGCTAGCTCTTTGGCTATATAATGTCACCTGTGCCGTGGGTGGACGCACTTCATCCTAGAGTTCTTTCTCCCTCCAGGTTTACCTTTCCATATTCTTTTCCCTTCGCCTCGCCTACACGAGCATGCCGTACTCCGTTGGCCTACAGGCCGTTGGTGCTGCTTTTATATCCGCAGGCTTCGCGACACAGTTTACCACATCCGTCATTATCTTCCTTCTTATCGTCTTCGTCACTTCTTCTCTCCACGATGACGCGCTCAAGGAAGACTCGCCCGCATCACTGCCAGGGCACCCACTCTTTGCGATAATCCCTTTCTTTCGACGACGATTTGACTTTCTCAATTGGGGATTCCACGCAACCGGGCAGGCCATATTCCAATTCAAACTGTTGCGAGTGCGTTCTTGCGTTAACCTCGTTCTATGACACACTCTGATTTCAACTCTATCATTTGTTACAGAATACAGTTATTATTGTCTCAGGGGAGTCAGCTCGTCAAGAGTTTTTCACCGCCAAACATTTCGACCTGACGGAAGGCTTCAAGATCTTGTCTGGGGCCGTGAGTGTTCCGCATGCCTGCCCTGTTTTCGTTTTGGGTTTCGTTACTGACCGCGTTTCCACCGCAGATACCCATGGTCAGAGGAGTGACATCTGACTTGCAGACTAGAAGGGTTGCCCTAATTCATAAAAGACTCGCCGGCCTCCAGCGCAATGAACCCCTAAGCCAACGTATGTACTACGCGTTACCAAATCGCACACTGTTTGACGACTCATTATTACGCATGACAGTGATTCCATTGTTGTTGGAAGATTCTCGGCAAATCTTGGAGGGCTGGGGAGATTCCGGAGTGCTCGATCCTTTCAAAAAAATCTACGAGGTACGTGTTCCCGTTTCTAGCGTAGTTATGTCGGCGTTTCTCACGAACACTTTGCCAATAGCTAACGTTCCAAACCACTGTTCGAAGCCTGTCGTGCACAGAAATATCGGATGATGCGATCTTGGTATCACGTCTGAAGAACTTGTATGACAAGCTTGATACTGGAACGACACCGGCCACCGTATTGATGCCATGGGTCCCCACGCCATCAATGGTGCGAAAGTTGTGGGCGACGAAGGAGATCTATGATATTATCGTCGCTGCGATCAAGTCTCGTGAGGAGAGCGGCGTGCAAAGGGATGACGCACTGCAGATGCTGCTGGACTTTAAAGACGAGAAGCTTGTTGTGGTTGGCGTAAGCGCCCTTATTTCTTGTCATCAAGTTACGGCTGCTGACGAACCCTTTGGTTCAGTTCATCATGGGGCTGTTGATCGCCGGCGCCCGAGCCACTGGCACGACAGGCAAGCTGATCTTCCAATTGGAGTTTCTGAAAAAGTGATCTAATATTAGTCTTCTTTTTTCAAACAGCGTGTTGGCTACTCACATATCTCGGAGGCCATCAAGAATGGCGCGCCAAAGCATATGACGAAATTCAATCACTATTGGCGGCCCACCCTGCGCCAGAGGGCTGCGCATCCCTATCGAAACACCTCGCCGCAATCCCTCTGGAGACTTGGGAATCTTCGACACCTGTACTTGATTCCATCATTCGGGAGACACTTCGAGTCGCCCAGCCGCACACTGCTATGCGGAGAAATTTAGGTCCTGATACATATATTAACGGCAAGCTGATCCCGTCTGGGGCGTATGTGGTGTATCCCTTTAGCGATATCCACCTCGACGCTGGACTCTATCCGGATCCCTGGAAATTCGACCCCGGGCGGGAGGAGACCAAGGTACCTTTTGGATATGTCGGTTGGGGTGGAGGTGGGTAACCTGGTGCTGCTTTTTTGATATAGACTAATCACTGATTGCTATTGGTTAGGCAAAACTACTTGTCTAGGAACTCGTCTTGCGAAGGTGGAGTTGAAGCTGATAACCGCGATGCTCCTGCTTGGCTTCAAGCACGACGTCGTTGACGACAGGGGAGTCGTTGCGGATCCTCTCCCAACTCCCAACTGGAATGACATTCTTCTGTGTCGTCCACCAAAAGGAACGTGCAATCTGAGGTACTCGCGCACGGCCATTCCTCTGTAGGATTTCTATGGACATTTTCTCCTCCTGCAATATCCTTATTCTTGTTTTACGTCGTTTTTGTGCAGCATAGTCACGTTCATTTCTTTTATAAAGGTAAAACTAAATTATCCATACATAGCACGCATGCGTTCTTAAACTACTTACCTTCGTACTTTATACTTTACAAACCGCTTATCGCTAGTAGAATGTGGTTAGACGTCTTTATTGTTTGGCGGGCAGTGTTGCTTGTACTGATCTAGTATGGAATTCAATTCTTGGACGGACCATGAGTACTGAGAGTTAACCAAGCAAGGCTTTTCTCCATGTGATGACGGGAACGCCTGTATATGACCTTCTGGATTACCGGCTACCATTTGAGTGAAAGATAAGTGGGCTTCGCTGAGAGATTAAGCTCCATGTCCCCATGTATTGACCGGCGTCTATGAAGCTCCTACCCGCGTCGGGCACGATGAGACCCAAGAGAGGTGCTCTTCTTCGCCTCACAAGACTCGGAAAGGAGAACGGGTTCCGCGAGTTGGCGGTGCGCTTTGCACTGGCTTCCGTTATATTTGCTCAACTGTTGTCGGATGTAGCGACGTCATGGACTAGTACAATTTTACTTTGGCAGAGGGTAGTTCCTAACAGCAACGACTCCCGAGGAACGGGATAGACCGAGCACGAGGTGGCGCCAAACGTGCCTAGTCAGTGTAAAGGCCGTAAGGAAATCACAGCAGCGCCTTAAAATAAATAGTGAACTAGGAAAGATAGATGGGTATTAACGCAATAAGAGAATACGACAGGCGGCTTGAAACGAGTCTGATAGCGAAATGAAGTACAGGCATGACGTTTCCGGAACTAAACGAGGATCTGGGTGCTAGGGCGCACTAGCAAGCCTGTTCTGCGACGGTTCCGCAGCGTGAGGACGATCGCCTGGTTCGTAAGGTGAGTTGTGCGGTTGGCATGAGAAAATGAAAGGATACCAACGAGAGCAGTGTCCGATTCAAAAGGCAATGAATAGGAACGTAAGGGGACCAGGGGGTGCTAGTCGAAGGTGAATCTGTCGTTGGAATTAAGGCCAGAAATCTGATCGGAGCGGCCCGGTGGGAGATGAGAATCGACCATATTCTTCTCTTTCCAGAGCTTCTCCGCTTCGAGTCTCTCCCTCAGCTGGCTCAGTCTCACGAACTCGGCCGTCCCTTTCCGCTCTTTCGCCCTCATCTCGATTCGCCGTTCTCTGCTAGGCTCCCATCGCCCCTTCAGGATCCGTCTCACTGCGTCAGGGCTTATCTTGAATTTATCGGCGAGGACCTCAGTGTTGAACTTGGCCCTGTCGAACTGGTGCAGCTCTCGAAGCCCGTCCATCGCTTCTCGTGATATCTTTCGCGGAGGATTCCAGCCATCTGGGAACCGTTTCCTCATCGCCTTTCGGTGGCGAATATACTCTTCAGGTGTCGCTTCCTTTGGTGGCTTGCGACGATGGACGGGGGGTGTCGACGCCCGGACACGGTTCACCACATCATTATCCTCTGATAGATCCAGTTTCACGGGCGAATCGTCATCCAGGATAGATTTGGATGACGGCGACCCAAATATACCCCATTTTTTCAGAGAAGAGGGTGAGGGCGCAGAACTGGCGTAATACCGCGCCAGAAAACGTTTTGGGATCAACGAGGTCATGGTACGGAAGCAAAAAAAAAAGTGTCTCAAGACGCCGGCAACTAACGCCGACGGACATTGCCTCTTTGGGGGTGTTCCGGTTGCAGGACTTTTGCTTGCTTCGCGAAAAGATAGGTAGACTCCCTCATGTTATCTCTCGGTTCCGTCGTACATCATGGGATCACTGCCAGTTCAAATTGTTCAAATTGGCTGTGCTCGCCAAGTTGGATACTGCGATGCCCTAAACCCGCTCACATTCCCTTTCTATTGGATGCTAATCCAGTCCCAACATGTGCCTCTGGGTGCAGATTGCTGCGTTCCTAACGGAGCTACTGGATAGTAATTTTGGCAATTCTTATTACTTTATCCCTTCCTAATGCACCGGTACCGCAACAAGGCCTGGGTTCTGTAAGCGTAGGATCTACTTGCCAGGAACGTGCCCATCGGGCGTAGACCCTGGATCCATACTGGACGGATGAATCATCGGCGGCACTCACTTGGGCACAACGAGACCTTGCATAAACACACCTCGCAGCCTCCTTAGCGACTCAAGCGGGGCTTACTTTAAGCTTGTGATTCACCAGGGCCTCCACAAAAGTTCCCTTGTTCTTATCTTTACTCATCAAATCCCATGTACCAAGGTAGTATGAGTCATCTGAGAAATGTCCATGCTCCTCACAGTTTGTATGACTCGATATCTTACCTGCGCAACACTCGATCCCGGTGTTTATAAAATGAATACATACCATCTTTTTTACAATATTTCACAATGGATTCTCTGCCGCCCGCTTATTCTCTCGATCCCTCCGACGGTGAATCACGTATTGACCTTACACCAGCGCGTTCTGCTAGCAACCGTTTTACCGGGACTTTCCTTCGAAAAGAGGGAAATTTGTCTGTTGTATTAACAGAACAAGAAGATGGTTGCGTTTTACCCTCTTACGGAAGAAGGGCAGCAATCAACGGCGCTGTTTTCTTCGAAAGACGCGACTCGGTTACTTCCGTACAAGTCAAGGTCGTCACGGTTATTTTTCTGTATGTATTTTGGTTCTGACGACTCAGCTCGGTAGCTGGAAGGACGAATGCAGGTTGCAAACCACGAACACGGATCGGACTTGGTGACTTTCTTAGATGAAACTCGTACCCTGTGGTCCGTTGACTCCGCCAATCCAACAACATGTCCTAGCACCGTACCCTTCTCTCTGGTGATCCCATCCGAGTTCGAGAAGGACGATAATAAGAGATATGAACTACCACCTTCGTTCATCGTGTCGTCTCCGGAGCTCAGAGTATGGATCGGGTATTCCCTTACAGTGCATGCCATCGAGAGCCACTACCCTCTCGTTGGATTCCTGAGAGGATCCCCAAGGTATGCAAGCCTCGTTAGGTGCAATGCACATTTGTCTTTCTCCTCCTTAATAAAGCCTACGCGTCGTATTCAACTACCGCCCCCGAACGCGCCCTGCCCAACCGATACTATCCAACCCCGCTTTTCTCTCTTCCATCAAGACATCCCCCGAAGAATGGAAACAGAGCCTTACAACCATCAACCCTAAACCCAACAACACAACCGCGGCGCCTATACATTGTAGCGTAAGCCACGGCCTCCTTCAACTATCCCGCGGCCCAAACCTCATTATTTCTCCTCGTAGCTCTTCGTTCCCGCTGTCCAGATCTTCGCCATCTCTGATAACATCCCATTTCACGTTCAGCTAACGGCACCGCTCGCGTCTCTGCGGCAGCTTTTCCCCGTTCCAGGGAACGTACATGGCAACGCCTCTCTTCAGGTCCATATGGTTCGTCAAGTCACGGTAGAGGTTGACGGAAATGTGTCATCACGGAACGTAGGCATAGGAGAGGGGAGCTTGCGTCCGGTGCCTCCGCTAGCGTCAGAAATACAGCCTGGACCGGAGTTTGAGAAGCATATGGACTGGGAAGGGGAGCTCAAATGTCAGCCTGACGTTGAGGTGGGCAGTTTCCTCACGGCAGGCGTGTCAGTAAAGGTTCGGCCTCCATACAGACTCAGATTCTTGTCTGAAGCTCTATATCCTAGGATTTTATCATCGTATCGCTCTATCCCCCTGCGAGATCGGATTTTCCTCACTCACGGAATGGCATTCGCATAAGAATAGTTACCGATCCTTGGACAGATGAAGTCGACGACTGAACTGGGCCATGTTTTGTCTTTACAACGGAAGGAAACACGCCGAATAGCCGGCCAATACGCCAATTCCAATTACGCTTAGAGCCAGAGTCATAAATCACCACCGTGTCTAAGTGTTTGCCACCTGTTGATGCTGCCGCCTCCAAGCCAAAAACTCTCGCAGAGCGGCTGCAATAAGAGGTATCATTGCACTAGCGAATAAAGGCGTGTAGACGGCATACTTGTGTTCAGGAGGGAAGTACAGCAACGCTAACATCCCTGGATTGAAGAAAGCGCGAGAGGCATGGGTTGCGGCGTCAGCAGACAGACGCATTGTTTCAACAAGAGAATTTGCGGAGACGAAATGCATCTGCAAGGTGGAAAGTTAATGTCATAGCTAAACCCAATTTTGAAGATGAACAACTACCTTTTTCAGCGCAGACAGGGCGTCCCACACGTCATCCCGTACAACCTGACCGACAGGCATGTTTTCGATTTGATCAACCAGTTTCACAGTGCTACGCAGTGTGTCTTTGGCTCCTTGATCGTTCTCAAAAGCTCGCCGGCGCAGTAGGGCGTCCAACTGCCAATCTGAAAGCAACGAGTTGTCGTCAGGAGAAATTCTGACGTCGGCGTGAAGACCTGGAACACCAAGCAACGCGAGAAGCTGATTCGAGAAGGCCGGAAACAGAGTGTCAAGATCCGCTGAAGACAGATATCTGTGTGGCGAGGAATCATCAGATGGGTTGTATATCATCACACCTCCCCATTGAGGAATGAGGAAGGAGTTGGAATGTGAAAGCGACCCTACGTCATGAATCAGCGCGATCAGCTAGACAGGTGAAAAAGCGACCCTACCATCCGGATTTAGTATTACGAGGGGTTTGCGCACACTTGAAGGAACAAAAAGCACAAAATGAAGTACTGGATCGTTTGAAGAGCTGGAAGCTGGCTAACTGTCAGCGACCTGGTGAAAACGAGGTAAACGCAGAGCTTACATAGCGTCCACTCGGCAGAATTAATGAAGACAGTCAAATCCTCCGGAGTTAAGCCAAACGACTCGTTGTCGAGAGCCTGTGGCTTGAAAGCAAGCGGCGCGTGAAATTGTACCTGACTTTCAATGGTGAAATTATGCAAAATGGATAGAGCTGTTACTATGGGATCGACATGGTCTGGCAGAAGAAATTATGGCATTTCTATGCGGCGCTAGGAAGCCTTGAACTCACGGCGTATGGCATTCGTAAGATCCCAGCCAGTGATAACTTGACCGGCTGCCGCATCTTCATTAAGTAGGGTAAACGAGAGACGGAAACGAGGCGAATATTGAGCGATACGGTATTCTCGATCAGGATCTGAAGAATATGGAACAAGAAGAGTAGCAAGAATGTCTGCTAGGTGGGGTACTGTGTGCCACAGGAATGAAAGAATTAAGTCACGCATCGTAGGGGAATGAAAGTCCAGGCCTTACAGGGACGATGGTGGATCGGGAATGATATTCGTCGTCCAGATATGACAGTGTCAGCTGAAGGCGTCGACGTGACGGAATACGTGCCAGGGATGTTCAAAGAGTCTTGACGATTCGTGAGAAACGAACCGTATCGCTGACCATGATAACATACCCGCTTCGCTGCCTACTTCAACGTGGATGGATAGCCCGCTCCACTGCCCACCTTTTGTGTCGAAAAACTGCTGTAGCTTTCCGGTTATTGAGGGATCATCTTGCACTAGAGAAGGGTCCAGTCGTATTGCGATAGGGAAGGATAAAAGCGTCTTGGCCTGGTATTGAACCTGAGCAGTTGGTAGTGAGAGACGCTCGATACTGGTCGTATGCCACCACAATGGCGTTGCGAGTAGGATAACGACCCAGTACGACGCAATGATCAGTCTTCGTACACGGTCAGACTGGAAGAAAGTGCTGGCGGGGTCCCTCAGAGGTGTCTCCTGCTCTTGGGACGCGCTCATGGGTGGTACATGGATGCCCCTGCTTTACGCCGGCCGCGGGGCCGTTCTACTTGCCGAGGCTCGGCATCCCGTTCGAGTAGTGCGTGCCTTATTTACTCCCGCTTATGTCAGCAGACTTCTTTGTTTGGTAGCTATGCTGCTGGACGCTTTAGCTTTCTTCAACCCAAGTCCCTATTTCTCCTTTGTCTCATTTTTCGTTCGAAACGTTACCCCTTATTGTCTCATTATAATTTCTTTTGCTGTCTGAGGTTCCCGAAGCTTGCGTACCCACTGCGCCTCGGTTTCGGTCTCCGTCTTTTGGTGAAAGCTTTCAATTCTCCAAGTCCCAATGGCGTCCGGGATGTACGATGCAGGCCCCTCTTCGTCGGCGCCTCTATCTTACCCAACCAGTCGTCGTCCTCCGGGCTCTGGCCCTCTGTCATACGAGGTTGGCGCTATTTCCTTATTGTACATTGACCGGCTGACCGATTCCGGCGTCCTTGCTGTACTCTTTTTAGCGGCCTCTTTCACGTCGACGGTCACCTTCACCGCACCGGCTTTATGGGAATGATACTCCAGTCTTTCATTCCAATTATCCGAATGTCTATCGACCTAATTACTGGCCGGATCGTGTATCTATATATGACAGTTTATCATCGAGTCCGGACCGCTATGAGCGTTCGCGCGAAGCCGACGTCGACCCGAGGGATCGATCTGGAGGTTGGGGGCCTCATTCAGAACCACACTGGGAGGGCAGTTCATCTTTTCGGAGGGAGCCTATATTAGCTGCTACTCGAATGTTTGAGCCGTCAGAAACTTGGAAAAGAAATCATGACGATCGTGCGGCGCCATTTGTGAAGTAAATCTGCTTGTTATCTGAGATTTCCAACTTCTGACTTACACTCTAGGTACAATCTGGCGATCCCGGCCATCGACAAACTCCCAGACAGATCCGGAAGAGACATTGTCGAAGAACGATCCATTCGAAATGATCGACTCCTCAGAGATGACGATCGACATTATCGACCGTCTCAGAGCTTTGCAGCAGAGGCTAATGGAAGGTCCGGATATAATTCATATAGACCATCGTACGATAGAGACTCCTCTTCCTCGCAAGTGCGGAAAAGGTCCGTTTCAGTTGTAAATGACGGGCGAAATGGGCGCTCTAGCTCTACCCGGTCGTCATCTCGGGATAGTCGTACCCAGTCTCGATCTTCCTCTCGAGACCGCTCTCAACGTCGATCGAGTTCGAGGTCACGCCTACCTATTCGTCCACGAATACCTACACGAACCACATTACGTTCACGATCTATCTCTTCATCCCGCTCACAGCGTCGAACAAGATCGGGGGTCCTCCAGTCTCGTGGTCGTAGGCTATCTGTCACAGAACAGATACCGCGGCGTTCTTACTCACGCCAGAGGCCCTCAGGTTCACGATCCCGCTCACGGTCGTATTCTGACTTTCGTTCTCGCTCCCGCTCGCCTGAGGATAAGTCTCGCCGACGTAGCTCGAGCCGAGGGAGATCCCTTTCTCGCCATCGCAAGCAGACTACTCCAGACCGTGTTTACGAACCAAAGAATGAAAGACGATCTTGGTCTCGATCTTCTATTGCTTCCTCCCGTGCTTCGTCTCCCCCTCCACCGATCACAACCGCAGTAGAAAGCTGTGTTGATGCGCAAAAGTTTGCGCCTGATATGCAGAAAATTGAACAATCAATGGAAGAGGAACCTATCATTAAACCTCCTCCTTCGCCTGGGCCGACGGTTCCCGAGGAACAGGTTCTGGCGGAAGTGATCTCAGTAAGTCGGAGCCTCTCTAGCGTCTATTAGCATCAACTTTATTTTCAGGATAAAGACACCAAAGAAATTGTTCAAGCTCAGATTAATGAGATAGAAGATGGTATGTGAATCTTTGTTAACAAGACTTCGTTCCAAACTCGTCTCCGTTGCTCCAGGCCAACAAGAGCTTGTCACAGATTCGATCTCACTAGGTTTCGCACATCTGCCGTCACCCCCAGTCTCCGAAGCAAAGGAAAGTTATCCGGAGAAAGATGAAATTTTACCAGCTGAAGTGGACATCTACTCCCTCAAAGCCAGGAAACCACCCATAATAGACTTCACTGAGGATGATATACCCAGAATTTCTGAAGCGTCGTCACTACAAGATGTCATCAGGGCATCAATAATGACAAAGCTTCTTCACTGTCCTCAGACGCAAGAAGAGTGGGTTGAACGTCATATTCGTTCAAACCAGGCTTTCGTCCGTCCTCACACCAGCAGGACATCAACAACCCCCGAGCAACTTCTTGAAGAGATAAATAGCGGAGAGTGTTTGACCCGGAGGTTGGAAACTTTCGTGTCAAGAAAGGATGCTCTCATCGATCATCTCCAACAACGGCAAGCCTCGCTTACAGCCAAGGTTAAGCGTCTTCAAGAAGAGTATCTCTTTCTTCACGAGCGCTGGTTGTCACGTTGTCGTGTTCTGGATGCACAGAACAAACTTTTACCTGCGGAGTTGGAGCCCCCCTTACCATCTTCGAGCCGGACAACTCGTCGCACGGCTGCCACCTTGGGTGATGCGGTCCGTTCCGACTTCGAGATGGAGCAGATCATAGCTAGTCTCGGAAACGATGAAGCAACCGATCCCGCCCACTTATCCTTGAAAAATCATGCCGTAATACCAGACATGATCTCAGTTCTACGTGGGTCTGTGGACTATGTTTACGATGACACGAATCTGTTGGTCGAGAATCCTCTGGAGTATTACCGCCCTCGTACGGGGATGGATGATTGGACGCCGGAGGAGGAGCAGATTTTCCAAGATCGCTATGCCGCCCATCCAAAACAGTTTGGCATTATTGCGGACTATATTTCCAACAAAACGGCAGCCCAATGCGTGTCGTATTATTACCTCCACAAGAAGCAGCATATCGACTTCCGGAAGGTCGTTTCGCAGCACGCGCCTAAGCGTAGACGCCGCCGAACAGGCAAGCAGAAAGCCAATGCGCTGTTGACGGATATTAGGCAGCATGATGCTGAAGTATATGGCAATGCTGATGGGCAGGAGTCTACAGGAGGTCGTGGCCGAAGTAAAAGGGTTGCGGCTCGGAAGGTTCTGATTGAGGAGACCCCTACGTCTACGCCGACACCAGAGCCGGAGCAAAAGGTACGGGCGAAGCGACGTCGAACGGTTGCCGTACGGTCTGGACTTTCTATCAATAATGAGGAGGAGGGGGCCACCGTGAGTATTGTCATCTTTTTCCTTGATTCATATGTTAACTTCTGACCTGCAGGACCAGGAACGCAAACCCAAGCGAACGAAACGGCAGCGCAAGGTCAAGTCGGCGGCGATTGTTGATGAATCCCAAGCATCAATTGTAGAGATGAAGTTTATTGATCAGAGCGATCCTTCACAGCGTCGTAAGCCTCCTATTACCATTACTCAATGGTCCGATGACGATAAGAGTGCGTAGTGGTTACATGTTTCACCCAGCCATATGCCTGACCCACGGTTGCAGAGCTTTTTCTGAATCTGCTTGGCCAGTATGGTGATGATTTCAAACGAATTGCAGCCTCAATGCCGAACAAGGTATTTTTGAGCCCTCATTGATGTACAAAGTGTCTAAAAGCCAATGGTTTCTTTTACAGACGACCATACAAGTTTGTAATTTTCACAGAACTAATTGTGATGAGATGGGACTCAAGACAGTCGTCGCAAGTGCGCCTAAACGTTCACCAAGTCCGGCGTCTGGCGATGCTGGGGAGGGCGTGTCATCAACTCGAGTTGATATATCGGCTCCCATGGCATCCCTTGCCTCGGACAATGTAGAAGGCGTACACCACCGAGATCAAGTTACGACAACCGTCCCAGATTACGTTCATATGCAAACTTCCTCTTCGTGGTCTACATTTTCGTCAGCCAATAATAGCAGCGCAACCACACGACCCTCGGACGCTAATTCAACGAAAAATTCCCCTTCCCAGCTTCATGTGCATAATGCCTCTACTATACCCGTGTCTTCGATTTATCCTACCCCTCCACCCGGCGTGCAATACCCGACTGGGACCCATCCATACGGCGCTCCTTCTGGTTATTCTTATCCACCGTATGCTGCACCTTATCCGTACATTGCCAGCGCTACTCTACATCCCCCTTTCTCGCAGCCCTCTCCCCCATACATTTATCCGTCTTCAAGCTCGAGTTCATGATCACTCGCATATACATCACATATTTAGCATTCACGTTAAAGACAATGCAGAACTTTGCTAAAGTTATTATTAAAGGCTTATTGTATGTATTGGCATTCCATCTGGTATTTTTGCGGGATATATATTGTAGAATGCATGTCTTACGATACGCCCATCCATAGCTCTCACCGGCGAGATCTCAACGCCTGCCTTCGACCATTATGATGTGGTATCCGAAGTTGGTCTTCACGAGGGAGGAGATGACGGGCTTGTCGATTGTCGACGGCGCTAAGGCGAAGGCTGCATCTTGGAAAGGACCCACCTAGAATCACGGGGCATTAGAAGTAAATGACAATGACAGGGATCTGGGGTAGGCATCACGATTCTTTGTGCTGAGAAACCAAGACCCTGAAACCTGAGATTGCGGCTCCGGCCTTGTATCGCCTTTCTGATTCTGAGAAACAGACGTGATAGATGGACAAGGTGGTTCCTTTGTACGCAACAAAGGGAACCACTCTATCAAATGAATCCGTTTCTGGAACTAGAAGGAACAAAGGTACAGTTCCGGCGACGCGTCTCGCTTTCAGGTTCCCTTTTCCAAGGACAAAAAAGTCGCACCATCTGGCAGTGAAACATGTGCACTCGAGCCGGTCTTCCCGCTGAGATGAACCCGACGATAAATCAAACAACAGCTGGTTTCGATTGGTTCGAGTCATCCGAAAGATGGTCGGAACACGCCTTTGTTCCCAGTAGATGAAATATGCGAGAATAGCTCACCATGCTCCCCCTTGTCATCCAACCCAAACTGCCGCCGGCTGGGAGACCATATGAAGTACCAAGATCATGAACAGAAACAACTTACCTTTTGCTTTATCTTCAGAGTATTCTTGGGCAACTTTGTTGAAAGCGACGCCCTCCTGGAGGACGTGTTAGACGCAGATAGAAAATAATGTTTGGTATACTGAACTTGTATTTTTGCAAGGGCTTCGGTGGCCTTGGAATGTTTCTCACAAAGAATGTGGCGTACGTTGACAGCAGTAGCTGCCTTCAGAGTGTTTTTTCCCTGAGGAATATAACTGTATTCATGTCGTCCCGATGACTTGATGGAGTCGCACCTTGGGATTCTCTTCTGCTTCTTCCTTGGATTTCCCTTTCCTATCTTCTCCTTTCTTGCTGCTAGATTTCTTTTCGCTAGTGTTAGCTGCCTTCTTGGCCATGGTGGATTTATGTAGCTTGAGCGAATCATCGTAGCGGGATTATGGAGCACGTGCCCAGTGACGACGGCACCGAAAAGAGAAACCGAATCACTTTTTGTAACGCACCCTATTCTATATCCAACACCTTGACCATGACCGACAAAATTACACGTATCGCTATTGTAGACTCTAATCGCTGTAAACCGAAGCGTTGTGCTCAAGAATGTAAAAAGGTGCGCCGACCTTCATAGGAGCAGTAGGTGGCTGACGGACTTTACAGTCATGTCCCGTGGTACGGATGGGTACGCTTCTTGCACACATAGCTGCGAAGAATGACTCTGATGGTCGTGGATCTTAGGAAAACTCTGCATCGAGGTTAAGCCTTCCGACAAAATCGCATTCATTTCCGAATTTCTGTGTATCGGTTGCGGTATATGCGTCAAAAAGTGCGTACAAATCGTTTTTCCCGCCCGAAACGCAGCCTGATTTGTTTTAGGTGTCCTTTTGAAGCTATAACAATCATCAATCTACCTACAAATCTCGAATCACAAGTAACGCATCGATATACCGCAAATGCATTCAAGCTGCATCGGCTGCCGACACCACGGCCTGGGCAGGTTTTGGGTCTAGTAGGAACGAACGGTATAGGAAAGAGTACAGCGTTGAAAATATTGGCGGGGAAACTAAAGCCCAACTTGGGGCGTTATGATGTGCGTTGCAATTTTTTACTCATCAAGATTCATCGGTTTCGTGGTCAGGATTCATTCAAGACAAGGAATAGGATTCCTGTACCAATCGCGCTTTGCTTTCGAGGGTGAATTCTGTCAAAAGGACATTGCCTGTGGTTCATACAAAACTTACCCACGGTTTCGCTCCCTGCTACGACCAGTCCCACCACGGCATATTTTTGGTGTGTCGGGTTCGTTCAGTGGTCCTGGTTATGACACCTGGGATTGCAAGGTCTGGCGGGGAGGCCTAAAACTCGAATTCAAAAGCGCGAAGTATTGGTCCTATCACTCGTCTCTGAATGAATTTGGACCTAGAAGATGTGATTTACCCGAATCTGCAGGATCCTCCCGATTGGCAAGAGATTCTCAAATATTTCCGTGGATCCGAACTACAAAATTATTTCACCAAGGTATTGGAAGACAATCTGAAGGCCTTGATCAAGCCCCAATACGTCGATCATATCCCCAAAGCTATCAAGGGCAAGATGTCGGTTTCGCAGATGTTGGACTCCAAACTAGAGCTGGACAACAAACAGCGGATCTGCAATGAACTCGAGCTGAACCAGGTCTTAGACAGAGACGTGTCACAACTTTCCGGTGGAGAACTACAGCGTTTTGCCATTGCAATGTCGTGTATACAGAAAGCTGATGTGTTCGTCTTCAACATGCTATGCTGTATCAGAACACTGTTTACCATTTCCACAGATACATGTTCGATGAACCGTCCAGTTATCTCGATATCAAGCAGCGTCTCAAAGCCGCAGAAGTAATCCGGTCTTTGCTTACGCCCGATCGCTATGTTATTGCTGTCGAACACGATCTGTCTGTCTTGGATTATCTCTCCAACTTCATCTGCTGTTTGTACGGGAAACCATCCATGTACGGCGTTGTAACCATGCCTTATTCAGTTCGGGAAGGTACGATTTACATCCTCATCAATTTTATCAGTCTTAACCGCATGTACAGGAATCAACATCTTCCTGGACGGTTTCATCCCAACGGAGAATCTACGGTTCCGAGAAGACTCGCTTTCCTTCAAAATGGTTGAAACGGCAGAGGAGTTCATTCTCGAGAAAACTGCACAGTACTCGTATCCTGCTATGACGAAGACCTTGGGCAGCTTCAAGCTTTCCGTCGAGGCTGGAAGTTTTACGGACTCGGAAATCATCGTGATGCTTGGCGAGAATGGCACCGGGAAGACCACTTTCATCCGTCTTCTCGCTGGAGACACGCCTGACGTCGAGACCGATAAGCAGAGTTTGTCGGTGTCCTTGAAGCCCCAGACGATTTCTCCTAAGTTCTCCGGCACTGTCCGCATGCTGCTGTTGAAGCGGATCAAACAAGCATTCATGCACCCCCAATTCCAAACTGATGTTGTCAAGCCTATGAGCCTTGAGAACATAATGGATCAAGAAGTGAAGACGTTGTCCGGTGGTGAATTGCAGCGTGTTGCCATCGTTCTTGCTTTGGGTGCGTTTTGTGCATTCAGTGAATTGACGTTGTCTAAACAAAGCGATATAGGAGTGCCTAATGTCTCTTTGTACTTGCTCGATGAACCTAGTAGTTTCTTGGATTCCGAGCAGCGTATCATAGCAAGTAAAGTCATCAAACGGTACGTTACGATCGTGAACAACTCTATACAGTCGTCTTACATCTGTACGCGTAGATTCGTTCTTCACGCCAAGAAGACGGCGTTTGTCATCGAGCACGATTTCATCATGGCTACCTATCTCGCAGATCGTGTCATCGTGTTCGAAGGTCAGCCCGCTGTGGCCGCGACTGCTACACCGTACGTCGGTAACTATCAATCAAAATCAACCTTCTGAACTCCTTTTCTAGACCTCAGACTCTGCTGTCTGGCATGAACAGATTCCTAGCGTCTTTAGAGATTACGTTCCGTCGTGATCCCATGAACTACAGGCCTCGGGTGAACAAGCTTAACAGTATAAAAGACCGCGACCAGAAGGGTGGGTTTTTATGTCTGTTCTCAAATTGTCCTTCTTGATTCTTATAAAACTGATTAGCGTCCGGAAATTACTTCTTCTTGGAGGATTAATGGGAGTCAGAGTCGTAGGTAGTGGTGCAGCTCCGAATGCATTCGTAGCTTGATTGATCTCAGCACTTCACAAGGTAGTCGATCCTCCAGTATTTTGCTGGGTCCTTTATGCTGGTTAACCGGGAGCTCCGTCTGGCAATGAAGGATCTAGATACGGATACGAGGACGAGATTAGAATGCATATTTTCGATGATAGTGTAGGACAATCCCATAGAAAAAAATTGAAATGGATTGAGTCTTGTCCGTCGGACCGGTAACCCGGGTGCCCTCCCTCTTCCCTCCTATCATGACCGTCTTTGAACTTCCGGACTTCCCTCCTACGGCTGTCCGGAAATCTCTTTCTCCGTCACAGCTCGCGACGCTGAACCAAACGATAACCGCACGTCTACAGGAAACGTTGGCACTTCCGCCAGAAAAGCGCGACACCCAAGCGTCCCGTCGATTTGTAGCATCATTTGCTCAGGATACAGCGCTGCAGACCCTTCAGTCGCTGATATGGGGGAACCCGAGCAAGCTTTCTGCGGTAGAACAGTCGATACGGTATCGAGCGCTCTCGCTGGCGGAGAAATTAGCTTCCGGGATCGAACTGCAGACACTGTTGGATCTTGCCATCATTTACTCAAAGTCTCGAACTCGATTGCAGAAGATCTTTGAGCATTCTACTCCTCCACTACTCCCAATCATCCGGGATGAGCTTATCCCAGCATTTGCGGCCATTCTGGGTGATTCGTCGACAGGCTTGTATGGGATCCGCAAATCGGCCTACTGCATACTGTCGTTTTTGCGTGTCGCTCCAGAGGAGGCCGTTCGTTCGTTTTACCACTCTAAACAGTTTGTTCTTGCCCTCGCCAGGTGCTATGACCAAGGTCTCGCAACGATGGCCCAGTCCTACGGTGGCCTGCGGATGACGGAGAGCAGAGATTTGGACGACTGGGAGCGGATATTCATTGAGACCAAGGTGGATATTATAGATTCATTCCATATCGTTCTTTCCTCGATGCTTCGCGACCTCTCAAGTGCGTCAGGAAGATCGCTGGCAGTGGAATCCGAACGGACTTTTGATATCATCTTTGCGTTACTGGATATTCGTCCTTCGTCTGCAGATCCAAACACCCCGTTCCTCAACCGTCCGCTCTTGGCCGATTATCAGCAGTCGTATACTCTTTCAAGAACTCTGGCGTCGGCTTTGCGGCATGCGTCAGAGAAAGACGCGAGGTTGGACGTTCTTGAGAGCTCTTTGAGCTCTCTTGAAGGGGAGGGGGAGAAGGGACCTGGGGCGCTTAAACTGATAATCCGCTCGTCAGGTATTCCACCCGGTGTGGATAATCGGGGGAAGAGCAGCGGTAAAGGAAAAGAAAAGGCTGTGCCTCCTCCCGAGGTAACGCTTCCCGATCCAGATATTGATCTCAAAGTATCTCAAGTACTGGATATTTTCCCGGACTATCCCCCCGATTACATCAGAAGTGCCCTCATGCATCCATCATACCCTTATCGTGGGAATCCTGAAAAGCTTATTGAAGCCTTATTGGAAGGCACGGCTCCGCCTGAAGACGATGTTCGTCCTTCGCAGACAAGCCAGCCACGCAGGTCGTCCAATGAGTTGGTATATACGAAGGGTCGACAAAACGTGTTTGACAACGAAAAAATGGATTTGTCCCTCCTGCAGCTTGGAAAGAAGAGGTGATACTGCTTTTGCACTTCAGCCTGAGAAAAAACCTAAATATTTGCCTTGCTACTTTTCAGAGAGGATGAAACTGCCATTCTGAGGGACCGAACATTTATGGAACAGATGAAGGCCGACATTCTTCGTCGTGCTGAAGAGATATCCGATGAGGAGGAAGACGAGGCGGGAACTACTGGCGTATTCGACGAAGAAGACCTCGAATCTACAGTGAAGGTAGGCGGTGATGGAGAGGAGAGTGATGAAGACGATGCGGAGGGCGTTGATGTAATAGAGGCAGCTCCCGCGAAACAGCTACCCGAAACCATACTTGAATTGGTGTATATTCAAGATCCAAAACAGTTCGATAGAGATGCGAATACTAGACGTAGTAGAGGTCGCGCTGATCTGAAGGTGCAGACCGGTGGGTGTATCTATCAACTACGTTATACCGTTTTCTGACTATTCTTTATAGGCTGGAGTGATGAGCAGATAGAAGGCTGGCGCATAATGCTGGAACGCAATGTGTGTGACTGAAGATATATCTTTGATGGGTCTCTAATATGTTCGCCTTTTCCAGCCTAAGAAGGACAAAATTCTACAAAAACACGAGTTTTCCGGAAATCAGCCGATGGCAGGTCCTTTGCAAAGCAATCGTGGAGGTGGACCTTCTCGTGGGGCCGGTCGAGGCCGCGGAGGTGGGGGCGGGGGTGATGAGCAACAGTCCAGAGATCGTGCCTGGAAAGACAAGAATAAGGCCAGTCGAGGAAACCATAACCGAAAGCGTGGACACGATAAGAAAATGGCGCGCGGAGGAGGTCCGTCGTAGTCTTTATCATGTCAATATACTGGTCCTTCGTCGTCATATACAATATCACTCAGAAACAAACGCCAAGATCATCAATTGGATCTCTGCATCATATCGTCCAATGTTATGGCAGACAAAGTGGGCATTCATGCTTGCCTTTCCCTGTTTCCGAGACGCGCGACGTTGACCGTCGATTTCGTGACATACAAAGCCCCAATCGGAACAGGGTGCAGTGTCCATTGGTCCATGGAACCATTGAAAATGAAGGACTATATGTGACCAGAGTTAGGGATAGGATAAAACAATGTCCCTCCAAGCACCACATACATGGCTGAGTGTCCATGAAGCTTGTGAAAAATCTAGCATCTGGTCACGGTCCTCCTTGTTCCACCACAGAGAGATCTGTATCTCACGAAACACAGCACGAAAAACGTCATTGGTGAGATGTCGAATGGGAGCTAGTGTCGAGGAATACGCTACCATGGACTTGTAAACTGCATCGCGACGGCTTTGCATCTTCGATCTGACTTGATCGATACGATCTAGCAAGGCATCGTAAACCGATATCTGCTGTTGGAGGACCTTGATATTTGGGATTATCTAGTCTCGGTCCGTATCAAGGAAAGGTGTTGCGCGAAGAATACCGGACACCTGAGAATTTAGAGCATCGGGTGGGAACACAGGCTTTGGTATGGAACGCGCCACTGCATCCAAGTGCAGTATTGCATCCGTTGCATCCATGGCACCTCTAACTGTGTTCTTGACTTAGTACTCCCTGTTTAGATGATGTAAAGAACCACCCTTCAAGTTGACGTCCAAGTAGAAGACGAGGTTCCGCACCGGACCCGTAAATGAACCACAGTCGGAGTTGGTAATAGTGCTTACCTTGAACTGCCTGCTGCACGTTTAATATGAAGTTGAAGACAGGTACTTATATTACTCCGTCTCCCGAAATCTAATTTTACTATCATATATACTTGAATGCCGCCTTTGCAGATTCCGTTCCAGAACCTCTCCTTCCTATCGACGCCTACCATTCCCTAATAATGGGTATCCTTCGTGCAACATGACCTCTTCTTGATACATATTATGACTGAATTCTCCCGAACATCACACTCCTCGAAGAATGACTTCCCGTGTGCAACACCTTGATAGGCCAACCTTTCAAAGCTTCGCAATGCGATTCAAGCGGTCGTGGAACAATTATCACCGATACGCGTGCGAGCTCCCACCCGCCGCCTGTCAAGTGACGTTCTTCATTCCGTGTTTCGGAAAACTCAATCAACACTGAGAGATCTCGTCGAGAGGTGGTCAGTGACCTGCTGGCCCAATATCGAGTTTAGGTAGGATCCATTGACACTTGACCAAGTCTGGAGAGACCTTGTCGTTAACCTTGAATTCGGGTAGTCTCGTAAACCCGACTCCACGATCCAAAGTCGTTCAATGGATGCAGAGTCTGGATTCTGATCAGGGGGCGGAAGGGGGTGTGAGCGGAATCTGAGTCGGGACCTGATAATCTATTTGCGCGTGCCTCTTGAAAACCATTCTTCTACGTTCTGGCCAGCTTCCTCTTGACCTGGTGTCTCGATCGAATGCGAAGGAGCAGATTGAGCTGTGGCAGACAGAGCACGTCGATGAACATATTGATGAAGACATCAAGCGAGTGTACAAATTTCTGGCGGGATTAGCAGATACGAAGCGTTTGGATCGGAAACACGTCTTGGGGAAGTATTCCGGGTGTTTGAACGTTCTGTCACCTCACTGCCGATGACCAAGGATGGTTGTCTGGATGGTCTGTTTTCGATCTTGAGATTGTTCGCGGACGCTGCATGTTCGCTGACGCGAGAGTTGGATCCAGCGTCGTTTGGGTCGTCCCGGATCGATTGCACACTTCCTTGGCATTTGTATATCATCCTGTCACGGTGTATGCGTGTCAGAGACTTTTCGGATCGAGGTGATCCTGGTGGATGGCATAACGAGGATACAGAGGCGGAAGAGGAAGTCCGGGTAGATGGACATAGTCCTACAGCGGATTTAGTGACGAGCATGTACGCGGGCCAGCTTGAACAGATCGGGCTTGTACAGGAAGCTGCATTTGTTTTGTTACATATTGAAGGGTCTGCCGGGTATGTTAACTAGATGATTTCTCCTTCTTCGCTGACTCTTTTTTGTAGCCGGGAAAAGGCCATCAAAGACCTGCTGGCACGGTCTGCTCACTTACTGGATAACTGGATAGTCTCCGGTTTGGTGCGTAGTTTGAAACTGCCCATGGTCTGGGTGCAGGAGGCGTGGTAAGCTGAGTTCTCTGACGGCGCTGTGTTGGTGCTGAGGCATTATATAGGCAATCTACGCCCTCTATCAAAACTCGCCGTTCGGGATCTATGGATTGTATCTTTCGGCCAGGCTGTGACAGCCCAGCGCACGACATTCGCAGAGCTCTCACCCGGGGAAAGGTACTTTCATCGAATATCCACCGTCCGCCTTCCCCAATCAAACCTGCAGCTATTTGTCGACTACGCAGACATGTTTACATGTTTACCAGAGTTGTATGATAGGTGCGAAGAAGACGGAGGGGATTGAGAACGTTGACGGGTACCAAAGCGAGGCTAGTCAGGCTTCTGCCAGATGCGCTGGACGGGTGGAACAAGGAGGCCTTGACAATAATGCTGGATGCACTGGTGAGGATGGTAGAGGAAGAAACCGGAGCATATACACGGGACCGGCGTGAAAAGGTTTTTGAAAAGTATACAAGTAGGATAGAAATACAATGGTATGTGTACTCTACAATATATGGCTTACTATCTGTGTAAAGTAATGTGCACGAGAACATCCCGACAATCCATACTGTCGGAAGTCTAACAACGAGCACCCTAAGCTGGAGTTGCCGCATTACCTGAGGCAGCCGCAGCTGTGAAGCGTCCTGACTTTCGCCTCTTGGGTGCAGGCTGGGCACTGTCCTCGGATGGCCGCTTGTTGCCTCTGGGCTCCAGCTGATACCTTGCGCGATCATTACGGGGCCATCCATCCATCTCCAGTACTGCTTGCCAAAAGTCGCGGAGACGACTGTGATCGTGAAAAACAGGCTTCTTGTTCAAATCGATAGCGGGTTCGGTGTCCAAGGCGACAGCGCTAACCTCTGGCTGTTGTGCTTGGGCAGTTTGCCATTGCTTAATGGCATGGATTGTATGTTTGATCCACTGATTGAACGGACCGCAAGCGAAGTGAAAATCTTGGGGTAGGGGTCCCAAACCATGCACTAAAGCTCCCTTTCCGAGGGCCCCGACCCATTGTCCATTCCCAACATCTATGGCAATATCGAAGATAGAGGAAATGATGTTCCGCAGACCGGGACCAACTGCACTGTGGGTCATGTAGCGGAGGCCATGGTGCAGCATTACATATATAAAAGATTCGAAGTCGTCTTGTGCTTCGTGTTTCTTGTTTCTATTTCTAAGAAGACCGATGGACATGAATTGCCAGGTGCCCTGTGCACCATGAGAAAGGGAGAAAGATCAGGTAAGATGTGAGCACTGACCGTGCGCTCGACTTGTCGCGCTGGTTTGTCCAAGTCTGCCATGCGAATAGCCATGTCCCAATCGTTCAACAAACCACGACCCCCGCCTTCGTGGTCATCTTCCGGTGTTTCCTTGTCATATACGATCAAAATATTCCCCCCACTAACATCACGATGAAGAATTTCGCACAATGTGAAGGCATCTTCATGAGCTAACATCGAATCGAATTAGATCAATAAGTTTGAAATATCAGTATCGTAACTCACCCAAAAATGCCTCATAGACAACTCTCGTAAGTTGCTTCGAGGACCTAAACTTCTTCAAAGGCTGCCCAACCTCGACCGTCAGCGTTCGCTGGTGCTTACGAATACAGGTGAGCGGTGGATGGGCTCCAAAGTTCCAAGTATCCTTGATATACATATGGGAGGTAGTTATCTGGCCGGGAATAATGCCACCACAGACGAAAGTAGGGACATTGCGGACATTCTTTTTATTAAGAGTCTGCA